GCCATTGGATATTTTTTAGAAAATTAGTATATTCCTATTTAAATAAATAAAAAAATTATTACATTATTACTTTTTTTTTCTGTTACATGAGAAAATATATATTGTCGTCTTTTGTTTTTATTTACATTTTTATTATTTAAAATTAATTCAACATTAGTCTATCACAATTTTAAATAAGATTAATTAAGTGCTTGTAAGGAACAGGAAAATGATTTAAATGATTTTAATTGAATATTGACTAAAATGTTTATTGTGCATTTGGAAGCCTGGTGATCAAGGTTCAATCCTCCTGATGACATATATTCATTGTATTAAAAGTGGCTATGAACATACTCTGATGGTTACAACTATTTTTTTGGAGAAAAAGCCTTTTGAATAAATCACATTAAAGAATTGACTTAAAATTGACCAAAATTCCCAACACAATTTTAAATATTCCATGAAAACATTTAAGATTTTTTTGATACTGTCAGTGTTATTAATTTGAAAAGCCAGTTATGCCAAAGAATTCCACCATCAAAAACTGCTACCATTCAAAATTTTCCATGTACATAGAATACACAATTTACATTATTCGAACTATTGTCCTCATCTTTGTCGCCATATTTATTACATTTCGTCGACATTCCAACCACCTGAAGAAGGTGGTTGGAATGTTAAACTAAACCCTTTATTTCGTTCACTGGGGTAGACTCTTCTAGTTCCACGTGCCATGTTTAATGGATGTCAGTTATCCCCTCCACCTTAACCAGGTATTGAACTCACACTCTTTGGGTCCTGTCACTGGATCTAACTAATGCCTTTATCCACTGTGCCATGTGTCCTTGAGGACATCGTGTATGAATTTCTGGGTATTATAAACCTAATGTCTTCAGCAACCATTTTTTTACCAGTGCTCATATTGCAATTTTTGCTGTTATCATTGCATGTTTTTACCAGCAATTTTTGTTGTTATTATTGCTTTTCTCTGACACTCCTTATTACTGGTTCCCATATTGTATTCATTTCTATGCTTGATCGGCTCAGGAGAAACTGGGATAGGCGGGTACAAGAGGAGGAGGACAACAACAGTCAGAAAACAGTCTGCCTGCATTATGTGAACAGGTTATCAGAGAAAATAATATAATATCTGGTAAAAACATGCAATGATAGCAGCAAAAATTGCAATATGTGCACTGGTAAAAAACGGTTGCTGAAGACATTAAGTTTATATCAACATTCCAACCACCTGAAGAAGGCTGAAACGTAATAAATATGGCGACAAAGATGAGGACAATAGTCTGAATAATATAAATAGTGTACATAATAGCTCATCTCAGAAATATAGACAGATATATAGAATACAGTTAATGTAGTTATGGAGTCCAGGTATTTACAATGATTTTCCTTTTTGTTGAAAGGTAACAAAAAAATACTAACCTGTAATCTTACACTTTATTAATATTATCCCTATGAATAGTCACATTTCCGTAAGAAAAAAAAGAAATAAGTTATTTTCTTCCAAATTTCATTTCATGTCACAGTTTTATGAACTTCAGAGATGATTATATATGAACACACTACAAAGATTTTAAAATTGTACACAGTTACTTTTATTTTATCCTGAACGATAAAAATAAAATGAAGTTGCTAATGTAATTTAAAATGCACTGTACTGCAATCATTAACCAAATACTGTATTTGTTTAAAAATAAAAGTTATTTACAGAGATATTAAGCACATTTCAGTCTGCTTTATTGCTATCTTTGTTAAAGATTGATGACAGTTTTGACTATGTTGTCAGTGTAGTGATTGTAAATAATAGAAATTTTTTTGGTTCTTTTATATGCTGCATGTGGACATAATAGTGATGTTCACTTCAGTTTCATGCTGCTACCAAGAAATAGCCACTAACCACTAGAATGTGTCTTTGTTTATAATTTGATTTCTCCTACTTTGAGCTTATTTTTTGCTCTAAGCTTGTTGCATTTGCTCTAAATACTGTGTAAATTATGTTTCAAAACTTAATGTAAACTATATAAGTTCTTATTTTTATTGATACAAACTGAATAAAAAGTTCAAGAAATGTTAAATTTAATTTAAATCTAGCTTATACAAATTTAGTGCATTATACACAAAAGATCATCACCACCAAATTTCTTGACCTAAAGTTTGCATGTATATTATACATGAATAATTATGGTAAAATAATGTTTTTATCAGCTTGGAAAATAGAATCATTAAACACTGAGGATTTCAGTTGAGATGGCTTCAATTTTATATATATATCAAATCACTAGTGAGCAACTGAATTAAATTTACTCAAATGAATTGATTTTAATGTTCTAAATCTATTTTTTTAAAATAAGCAAAGAAAATATCAGACATCAAATAAAAGAGCATTTTATAGAAAATTTATTGCATTTACCCAAAAATTGCAGTTGGAACTTTTTGTAAAATTGCTGAGTAGCTAAAAAGCACTCACCACTTTTCTTTTAGCATTTTAAAACAGATTTTATTCAAGGTGTTTGTAAAAACAATTTTTGTTTGTGCTGCATCAGTTTAAGAAGTTGTTATAAAATTAAAATTTTCCCTTCATTGATACACTTAGAAAGAAACTGAAATTATTTATTGGTGATGTTAAAGGTGACAGGAAGTGATGGAATCAATGGAAGAGCAGCTAACTGAAACACACTTCATGAACTTCTACTAAATAAAAAAAAAAATGAAGAAAAAATTATAACAATTTAATGAACTAGCTAACAAAAAAATCCATGGTTTACAGGTTTTAGTGTAATGAATTTTGTAAACCTGATGTTACTTGTTCAAATCTCATTAGAAGCTCAATGTAAACTTTTAAAGTAATAGATTATCTAAATATTTACTAAGATTTTCAATTAAAAATTTAGGGTAATAAAAGATGCTGTCATTCCATGAAGTTTCAATTACCTGAATAAAACCATATTTGGTTCTCCAAGTTGCATTAAAAATGAAAATAAATACAAGTTATCAAAGACTACATTCTTGTATATTTAGTACTAATTCCCAATCTTACATTTTGCTAACAGGTAAAGCAACAATAATTATTATTTTTAAATTCTTGTAAAAATATCTTTAATAAACTATTTTATGTTTGTAAATATGTAAGATATTTATTTTCTTTATCAATTTCTCATACAATTCCTAATGATACTGAATTTTATTAGATGAAGCATTGTCAAATTTTTTAAATTTTGACTAGTATTTCTTTCATCGTAATTTTTAGTTGCTTTTCATTGCCATTAGTAAACAAAGTTTATAAAAGATAACTGAAGGCATGTATTCAGCTATCCATGCAAAAAAGAGCCAGGATGAACTTGTCAAAATATATTTTACAAAGCCACAACAAAATTATTTTCATTAAGAAACAATTATTTCATTAAAGAGTTTGAAAATGTTTGTAATAATTCATTATTGTAGTTGATACAAAACAAAATATACTGAAATTCAATTTCTTACAAAAAAGAATTCACATGGAAGTTTATGCAATTTCATTAAATTTCAATGTATTCTTTCAACCACATAACATGCTAATAAATGAATATGAAAGCAACAGTGTATATGAAATGCATGCTAGATAGAATTTATTATATTTTAAATTTAATAATTTTACAAATTTTAATTTTTAATGCATTTAAATTGCATCTCCATGAAAAAACATTTGCCAACAGAATACAGAATTTGTGAGATGTTAGGCTAAAACAATACAAATTGCAGAAGCCATTAATTACTGATGTGAAATGAGCTTTCACAATTCAGAAGATGATAATCTTTTTCACGATTCCATTCAAAACTATTTTGAAGTCCTCAGAATTTCATTTATCATTTCATTCACAATTATGATACAAAAACTGAGAAGAGTGACATTGAAAAATAAATCTTATAAAAAAAGTTCATTTGTAGCCTAATAACAATTTCTTTACAAAACTCTGTTAACTTTTGCAACCATGTGAAAGGAAGAAGTTTATCTTTGATGATTGGAAGGCTTTGCATACCCAAAACATTTGCGTTATTAACATTTGGTCTTCTTCTTCCAAGAAATTTCTTAAAAAGATTTAGAACTGACCTCTGAACTGATTATTCATCCACTAAGTTGAACATATCTGCTACATTTCAATTACGTAATTGATATTCAAATAAAAAAAAAAAAAAAAAAAAATGGATTTTTTTTCAACAAGATCTCAGAGTGGTCATCCATTAAAATATTTCAAATAACTGAAGTGTTTTTACTTCCAAACAAATTTACTTATTTAATCCATTTTCTCAACATTTCTGACAAAGTTGGTTCAATTAAAGCAATATAGAAGTATCTCGTATGATGAATTACAAATGATTGACTAGAAACATAAGCAGAAAATCATTTCTCAATTTTTCTTTTTCCTGCACACATTTTTCTAGCAGCAGTACATAATTCTTCGCTCTCTTTTCAAGCATTAAGTACATCAATTCACACTTATTTGACTAATTTATTTGCAAATGAAACATTCAATAAAGAACGGATTAAGTATATATGATCATAAGAGACACGGAAAGAAATGATATATTTATATCATAACAAATTTATATTTTTGAATTTTCAAAACAAATATTGTATTGAGAAGAAAAGCAATAGAATAGAGGGGTAGATGAACCAACCATGTCAGAGGATAGAAAAGGTTAATTAATTAATGCTTCAGTCATTTATTTTTATAATACAAAGACAGATTCACCATAGAAAAGTGGAAGATTTGAAAGTGGAAAAAAAAGGTTAAATTTTAAAAGTCTATAGGAATTTACAGCAGTTAGGTAAGCATTAGTTGAAAACAAATATACGGACGTTGCATGAATCTGTTTTTCTCCCACCATTCTTATCAAAATAGAAAAAAATGATATGGTAGTTAAAGAGGGTAGAAGCTAACATCCCTCTTGTTTCAAGTGAAAAACAAATCTTTCAGGTATGAACTGAAAACATTATTCCAATATATTTTTTTTTTTTTTTTTTTTTACTGAATATAGACTTTGAGATTATTGGCAGTCTGCATGAGCATTTTAAGACCTGGCATAAAACTACCAATTTCTGAAAAATTGCCTTGACCGATTATGTGGGCATAAATTTGAAGTCCTTCATTATAGTCACATTTTTGTAAGGCTTGGACAATTTGATGGAGACCAAGTAGGATGTTTTGTGATAACTGAAATCATAAAGAAAAATAGAGAAATTAAAATTAGTACAAAACATGCAGTCTTAATTTTCAAAAGGAATTACCATTAAATCTATAAAATGCTGATGATTAAAATGATTAAACAATGCTCAGAATATTAATATTTAATAATTAATATTTATGTTACAAAATGATTCAACATGAATTTGCAATTTCAAAAGATAAAATAAAATCGAAATTCATATCAACTTACACTATTGTCTCTAAGTTTATCATACAAAGCCTCAAGTTTCCTTGTTACATCTTCTAGTTTTCTCTTTGTTTGCTGCAAAAACAAAATCATTTTATTGCTTAAATGAAATTTACATAAGTTTTTATGAAAAAATATTTAAAAAAAAACTTACATATAATAATGTATGAATAGCATTAGTAACACAAAGACATTTCTACTTTGTCAGTCTTTCCCTAATTTTCCCTTAGCATGAAGAGTAATATACTAAAATAGTATTACTTTATAACTTAGTAATAAATCCAGGTACTTAAAATGTGTGAAAAAGAAAGGTTATTTTACAAATCTATAGCAAAAAAGTACTTTCATATTTTAATTTATGTATACATTGAGGATTCAAAATTTAAACAATAACTGAATGTTTGATAATATATTTATAAAGATAAATATTATCATTTTATATAACTTTCATTGTTTAAACTTAATAATTACTGAAAAGCTTTTTCAAAAATATATAATGTTCATGTTCAGATGAATCTGTAAAATCTTATAAATGAAAAAATGTGTTATATATCAAAAATGTTTCATAAAATCAAGTATGTGTTTATTGTTGAAAGAAAGTCTGCTTAAGCATTCAAACTAACCGCATTATTAGCAGCTTTTAAACAGTTATCAACAAGACCATCAAAGGTATCTTGCAAGACTTGATGTTCATTTGGTAGAGGTCCTTTCACCACCTCAGGCACAGGTTCAGCAGGTTGAACAGGAGTTTGTGGCTGTTAAACAAATATCACACATTAAAATACATTATTATTTATCTTATTTGAATAGAATTACATTAAAAATATTACTTTCATTATTAAGAAATTCATCAGATTAAAATATGGGTTCTTTGATAGGTGATATAAAAAATAAACAAACAAATAAACAAATCATGATTTTCACATTTCTAGTAAAATCTATGTTAACTGCATAATTCTTATATTTCTGTTTGACTTACAAAACATCTCAAGTTGATTTTCAATTATATAAACTATTGTTTCAGAAAGATATAACTTCTAGTGATAATGAAATCTAATTAAAAAATTTAATATGAAATACAAAAGAAAAAACCATACTGTGTGAACAATATTATAAAGCTAAATAAAAATTAGAAAGAAGACAATAAAATAATACTTGCTAAAAGCTAAAAGACAGAAAGTTTTTTATTTATTGGTTACTAGAAACAGGAAAAGATTGACAATAGACAATTTCTGATATAAACAATGAAACAGAACAGAATTTGTTACTGGATTCTGACTTAGCTTGGCATGGTAAGTGTGCAGTTTTATTTCACCAAAGTAGTAATGATCTAGATGTGACTAATTAGTTGACTATTGTTCTAGGATAAAGTGATTTTGATTTTTTTGTTATTAATCCTGTTCAGGATTTTTCAATACTTTAAAAATTTCTAAAAAAAATGTCTGAATTTGGATATTCAAATTTAAATATCAGTAATCTAGAAAATAACGATTGAAACATTTAAAAATGGGTGTTATGAACTTATTGGAACCTTATAACAATTATTGATATGAGTAAAAATGAAAACAAAAATGGAAAAAACAAAATACAAACATTTGTACTTCATAATTTAAAAAGCAGTTGAAAAAAAATTGGTATGAAAAAAAAAAACCCATAAAAATTAATTGAAAAATTACAAATCGATACTGACAAGTTTGTTTTTTAAAATGTAAACAAGATTTGATTCATATATATATATATATAGAGAGAGAGAGAGAGACACACACACACACACACACACTGATATCTCCTAATGAGTGGACAGAGCGAGTGCTAGGTCAGGATGCTGTAAATAACATCAACCAGCTAAGTGACAAATTTTATATTTGTATTAATCTTATATATATATATATATATATATATTATTTCCAGTCATCAGTATTTCCTAATTTATTATAATATGAAAACTTTTAATTAACGCTTCATTGATCAATTTAAAATGTATGGATAAAATTAAATCTTAGATCAGGTGAAGTTTGAAATTTAAGTTTATAATCACTAAACATGTTTTGGCAAAACAAATACAAAAACCTAAAGTTTATTTAAAAAAAAATTAAAAAATTTATCAATACCGACCTGTACTGGTGCCTGATGTTCCTGTGGGTTATAGATAGTAGGATAGTTATTAACTGGTGCACCAGGTGGTGGCTGCTCATTATTAACTGGTACACCATAGATTGGAGCAGTAATTGGGCCTGTGACATCATAAGACTGTAAAACAAAATAAATAAATATATGTTCTAATGAAAGACCAACCCTCCTTTTAATTAACCACAGCTCCAGGTATCAGATTTTTGCTATATTCAAAATTAAAAAGAAACATGAAATTCTGATTTGAATTTTGTTAGAATGTTTTAATTATTGTATATGTGTTTTCTTTGGATTAATTTCTTCATCTTTATTATTTCACAATAGTCCAATTCTGGTGTTTGGGAACAGACACACAAAAAAGGTTAAAAATAAAAAATAGACAAAAGATTTTTCTGAAAAGACTCATAAACAATGATGACTCTTAGTGGAAGAAAGTTAAAATATTTTAACCAAATTAAGAAGAAATACAAACATGCTAATCAATGTGGACTTGAAATAATAATTCCTGGGTCAAATAAATAACCAAGCTGTTAAAAAAGATCTTTGAATAAACACAGATCACTGAAATTATATCATCTGTTCAAAATAAAATTTAATTATTTTAAACACACTCTAAAATTAAAAAAATAATACTAGTAATTTAAAGTAAAAACAAAAAAATGCTGTGCATTTTGAAAAGAAAGAACCTGATAAACATTGAAGTATAATAATATTTTATCAAACACTTAGAAAAACATCAAAATATATATAAATGACAGTTATTTTAAAAACAAATTTTAAAAATGGAAAATGGCAATTATGAACTCATTTTATATTATCTTAGATATTATTATGCAAATCAATGTTTTCACAATAGATTTGGTATTAACCAATTGATGCTGGTAAAGTATTCAGATGATAAGTATATTAATTCCCATAGCTTATTACAAATATTTACAGTAATATTTAGTGGTATGATATTTTATTATGCAACTCAAGGGTTGTTCCACATATTGCAAATAAATACATATAAATAGTACAGTTGTTAATTATTTTTAATTTCAGATTATATATATAAGATTGCCTTGGCTCATAAAAAAGAAGTAACCTGAAGAAAAACAAAACTTTGTAAAGTTACTGAGTGATGGGAATACAGGTTACAATTTGTCAAAAAGTTGAACAGAGATAACAGAATAAAAAAATTGAAAACCCTTGGCAAAATACAAACAAGAAAAAAAAACAACTTTATAGAATGTCACAAAGAAAGATTTGAGAATAATTAAAAGGATAATAATAAAGATGCAGAATATTAAAAGAAACATTGGCTGAAGACATGAGAGCAACCAAACTATCACCTTTAAGTAAACCTCAGAAAGAGAAATATGTAAGTTGGGTGGAAAAATGACATGAAAACTGATTTCTCAACTGTAACTTTTAATGATGAATATAAAGCTCTGGGATGGCTGGTCCATCATGAAAATAGTGAAACAACACAGCTTAGAAGACAACAGTGTGGAGATGGAATAATATTTTAGGCTAGTATTGTAGACAGTAAACTAATAGATCCCTTTAAAGTTGATGATGTTTAAAGATTCAAGAAGCTTTAAGCTTAAAGAGTAATATTCATGCAAGATAATGCCCCCCCCTTATATTCTATAAAACTTTACAAAAAAAAAAAAAAGTTTCAAAGACACAAAATTAGTGAAATAATCCCCAGCCTTTCCAGTAGAAAACCTGCAGCTTATTAAAAAAGATGCACATGGAAAACAATATTTGAGCAAAGATCTCAATGAAGCAATTAAAACTGCTGCTGCAAGAAATGTTAAAGTTAAAAAATTAAAAAAAAAAAAAAAAAAAAAAAAAATCAATAATTGGAAGAGAGTCATAGAATGTCAAGGATATCATATGAAAATGTAAAATAATGAAATAATTATTTATTCAGGTACATGGATGTTAAGTCTAGATGAACATGTAAAATAATTATTTATTTATGTATATGAGTTATTGTGTTAATGTTTTTAGCTGATATATTTTGGATAAATAAAAAAATTATGTTGCATTTTGTTCTGAAAAGCTGACATGCTATCAATATTTTTCATAAGTATATATTATAAAGTAATCTCACACAACATATTGCTTATATAAATATATCCTGAAAGTTTTACCAATATCAATTGGTTAATAACAATTTTATTATGAAAACATTGACTTACATCATAACATCTGACAATGTATTAACTTTGAAAAACTTTAGTAAAATTATTTTAATGATGTGAAATTGTTTCATTCTAAATTGGGTAAAAGGAACTGGCAAATCAGTTTTTACTTTTTTTGACAAGTACACCTCAAAAAAAAAAAAAAAAAAAAAAATATATATATATATATATATATATATATATATATATATATATATAAAATCAAATTCCTTTATGAACAGATTTTTATATTTGCATTTCATCTCAGTGTAAAATTTACTACATACAGCATATAAGACATTTATAAAAGTTGTAGATCAAGATATAGGAAAATTGGTCTTAAAATCTTAAAGAAGATTAATGTTTACTTTTAAACATTTAAAGATATCTATTGAATTTACCTTTTAATTTGGAAAACAAAATGGAAAAGAAAGAATGTAAAATGTACAAATCACATTGCCCAATCATTTTTCATTTGAAATTGGTTTCTGCCAAAGTCTATCAAAATCAAAGAGAATATGATTTAGCAAATATAAAGCACAAAAATCTAAAAGAAACAAATTGTTTAGTAATATGCAGATAATTAGTTAATAGTTAGAAGATACAGAATGAAAAACATCTATGAAGAAAAGAATGTCAGTAAGGAAAAATGAAATGGGAAAAAAAGAAGGCAAACAAAATGGAAAATATTAATATCTCATGGCTAAGGATTATATTTTATTTATTTTTTGTGTAATTATTTCAAAGAAAGTTGTTTTTACTAGGGGGTGCTGAAAAGCCCCAAAAAGTAAAAAAAACAAACACTGGTGTTTGATCATTTGGTCTAGAATTTTTCAACACAGACTTGTAATTTTCTTGGAAAGTGACAACATTTATATTATAGGATAATATAAAGTAGGTTTAAAGTATGTGTATAAAAATCAAATTTGTCCTGTATTGTAAAATAGTTGTGTTTACTATTATCTGGATTACAAAGTCAATAGTAATTTCATTAGTCCATTAGTTCTAGAGACATTTGAATCTAAAACAGGCAATATTTTATTTGAAAAATAATTGTACATCGAATGCTATGACAAAATTATCATTTCTAATAGGTATTAATTTTTTTACTCCTCTTTTTTAATATGAAAAAATAAAATTAAATCCTCTTTTAATTTGCCAAGAGAACATTAATTTTACATTTACTAAGGGTTTTTTCTTTACCTTATAATTAAGAAGACAAAGAAGTCAAAGAAAACATCAATTGATATTTTACTCTTTTTCTTCCTCAAATGCTGAACATAATCTTAAGTAAAAAGTATTACACTAACATATCAGTAAAATGTTTGCATTAAGTCAATTCATTCTAATTCTACAAAAGAGACATTATAATAAATTTGCTCAGAATCTCTTAGTAAAACTTAAAGGATCAGAAAAAAGTAAAATCACATTTATTGTGGAACAATGCAACATATGATGGTTTGCTGAAAAGTTCTCAGCCCAATGAAGAAGAGATAAAAAAAAAAGAAAAGGGAAAGAATTTCTGATGTTTGGTCATTTTATTAAATGACCAAACATCAGAATTTCTTTACTTGGGAAGGGAGTCAAGGCTGAGGAATTTTTCTGCATCCCTTTTGTGTGAGTGTGTGTGTAAAAATGGTCAATTAAAATATTTTTTTTCTTATGCTGAATAACTAATTTCAATGAAAAAAAAAAAAGACTATTATAAAAATATTATTACTAATATTCCTAAACTTATTCCTACAATGACATTATTGTTATATTAAACTTAAAATCTGAGTCAATTTTTGAGTCATTATGAAAGAGAAAGATGCAAACGGTGTTAAACAGCAAAAGAGCGAGACACAAACATGAAAAATTCAACAAAATTAGTAAAGCATTGAAATTGCTATAGTGCCACAGCAAGGATGAAGCAAATGGATTGCAGAAAATATTAATAATAGCAGCAAATTTTGTTAATATTCATATTTTAATGGGTAGTATATTAAAAATTTACCCAAGGAGCTATTTTCTTTTTTTTTTTTTTTTTACATTCAAAATTTACATATATGCATGCAATAAATGAAGTAGCCATATGATCCACTAAAAGTAAAGAGGAAGTGATGATTCATGAAAACACAAAGAGTGTGTTATATGAACACACTGAAAAAATACATATAGAACAGAGACATGCCTGGTGATTTACAAGGGCCAGAAAAACCCTTACCTGATGAGATTTTGGATCTACCAAAGGGGGATCATTCCAGCCTGTCTGCTAGAGAAAGAAAATGGGTATCTACAATGGGTTCAAGTCAGGGTACACAAGAGACACACCAAGGAAAAGGACAAATGATTTGTCTTACAGGTTTTGTTTATATTAATGAAAACTGTGACTGTTCTTTGCAATTCTTGTTAAACATATCGTCGCCATCTTATATCTATTTCCATTAGATTCCGTTTTCCTTTTGAAAAATCAATTATTTATGATAGCATAATATTCTGAAACAACCTATTCAGCTATTATCCTGCAGAATATTAAAATACTATTATAAGTACCAGATAGAGACACTAATAATATGACTAGTAGTTATAAAATGAAACTGTTCTGTTTTTAGAGTTTTCTGGCAAATATAATTATAAATTTCATAATTGTTTTCTAAAGTGGTGGTCTTTAAAAAAATATTAAAACTTAGTAATTTATCAGAAAAATTATATTGGACAGTTTAAAGATTATATTCTAATTTATAGTTTGGAATATAAATTTAAGAAACAAAGATTTAATATTTGAATTCTACAAACAGTTTGGTATAAGTACCTCCCAGAATTTTCTAAAACAGAGCATACCATGATGAAAAAAAGCCCCAAACTTTATAAAAAACAAAGTTCTATTGTCAAAATGTTTATTATTATGAGGAAAAAGCAAAGTATTTTTTATTGAACTTTCTAATCCTTCCTAGCATGTTCAAAATTTTGGTTTAAACTCTTGTTTTTCTTGCTGACTATCAATTATATCTATTTTACTGAGAGAAAGTAATATAGTTAAAAAAGAATACATGTAGTAATTTTTCTGTTATGTATAAAATCTTCTTTCATAATTAGTTTTCTTCTTTTTTCATTTACTCTTCAAAGTGTCTGTAAATAATAGGTACATTTTGCCTTTGAAATAATACAGATAAATTACTATGTACAATTTTTTAACTAGATTTATATATTTGTTAAAATATTTTTGCATAGTTGAGATTTTATAAAAATTACAAAAGCCTAAAAGAACTCTTCCCATTTTGTAACAATGTTAAAAATAAATAGGAAATTGCCTACAATAGAAAAAGATTTTTTCTTTTACTTATTCTAACTTGTTTACTCCATTTATAAAAGCGGCCATTTTCCTACTTGTCAACTTTAAACTGTCAATTGTACAACACATTAGCAACTTTGTTTTCCATTTTATGGAAATAAATTTCCTCCTTTATGATAGATTTTGTTAGATTATGTTCTTCAAAATTATGTATTTGCAATGTATTGCATTATTGTATTGTTATTGCATTTTGCAATAGTAGATATTTGTTGAATGAAGCCAACTTTGAAACAAGATCATACAAAGCAACCAATTGGGAATGAACAATAGAAAAACAATCTTAGATTAATTATTTATATTCAGTTTGTTTCTGGTGAACCTGATAATGAATTTCAAGAGCATTCATTGAAAATACTATAAACTGCTTATAATTTTGATTAATAAATGCTGCTTTAATTAAAAGAGAAGGATTAAAATGTATAGAAAGTTCACCAATTTCAGAAATATTCACAGTAAATTTGTGTACAATATTTCACCTTTCTTAACAAATCTTCTGTTGTCACAATGTGTAATTACTTAAAGCACAACAGTGATGAAAACAAAAACAAGTGTTGAGAAACTAAATTAGACTGACTGTGCCGTGTGTCTGGACATGTCATCTGCTAGAAATGTTAAAATTTACTCTTCCTACATCTTCAGCATTTTTCTCTGTGCATAATTACAACTGGCATTTACATTTATATCTTCCCTGCTCCCTACTATATAAATATAATTCCATCAATAAGAATATTACTTTAGTCCAATGATGTCCTTTTAGAGGACAAAACATATTGCACAGAACTTTTTCCACTTTGTTATTCAATTGCAATAAACCAATATAGCATAATAAAAATGAATATTTCATTTATTTGATTTTAGACTAGAATTCATAAACTTACATTATATAAAAGGAAACAAGCAATGATGAAATGCACATGAATATTGTATAGTGCAAGTTAATTTAATGTATTTATAAAAAGCATGCCAATGTTAGGTTGTAATACACTAGCAGAAAATGCAAGCATCAAATAAAAAATTAAAAAATGATCCTAGTAAATGTTAGGAAAAACAATACAAGCAAATGATCAGAATCAAATAATGTTATTCACCTGTTGAGAAGTAGATTTATCTTTTAATAATGGGGGGTCATTCCATGGTGTATGAGGCTTCGTTTCTTGGAATGAGGGCGCAAGAGAGCCAACAGCCATCACAGCTGCTGGTTGTGGAGCACCTGCATTTTAATTAGAACAACAATTATATAAAGTCACATTTTTTCATTTAAATGTTCTAAAAGAAAATTTTTACTATATATATTTTATTCTCAGAATTTAAATATATTGCCATTAAGTAAAATATTTAAATTCTGGCTTATTTTTCTTTTGAAGAGTTAAATAAAAATAACAATTCCATTAATTGACTAGATTTTTTTTGCTTTAAATTAAAATATTTAAAAAACAAACATTAATTCAGAAAAATGTTTGATTAGCCATTCTTTAAAAATTGGAATATACAAGATGTGTCAAATCCATTGAATTCAAATAAACTTGAAAAAAAAAAAAAAATATTTCTATCAATGGGGCACACTTTGTATTTTCCTGTGGAGAAGTTTTCTCTTCTCTCTTATCAAACATTAATTTAAGCAAGGATGTCATAAAAATTTACATTATCATCATCTATACACAAATAGCCATCATAAAATTGTCATAATCAATAATAATATAATATAAAGATCATGACATAATAATGCAAATAGCAATCATGATAATGACGCTAAAGTTAAAATAACTGTTAAATGTTATACAAGGGTGGGCTGAATAGTTCATAGGTAAACTGACATCTGACAGTTCAAAGATTTTAAAACTAACAAGTAATGACTTCTCTTGAAAAATGGACAAAATTTGCTACCTGCATGCTGACATGGTTGTGACATTAGGAGATGACAACCCACCTTTATCAACATTGCAAAAGTAGGCAGCTGAATTCAAGAGGGAAAGTGAGAGTTTTGAAGATGATCCAAGGTCTGGACATTCTATAACTGCCACCACCAAGGAAACATTGATTGTGTTCACATGGTGATGGAAGTCAAGTGATTGACTATAAATCAAATAGTCAATGCTATTAACATATCCTGTGAGAGTTAAGAATATTCTGCACAATGAACTTGGCATGACAAAGGTTTTTGTTTGGTAGGTGCCACATCTGACACATGATCAAAAGTTCACAAGACTGATCACATCACAGGAAAATCTGATATTTAAGGCAGATCCAGCTGGTTATCTTGAATATTTTCTAACCCAGGATGAGTGTTATCAGAGACAAAGAGACAATCCATGCAGTGGAAACACCTCACCCACTCCAAAGAATGGCAAGAAATGCAGGGAAGGTGATAACTTCAGCTTTTTGAGATGCAAAAGGCATTGTGTTTATTGACTACACCAGCAATGGAGAGTAATATGCCAACTTACTGAGGTAGTTATGAAAGGCTATCAAGACTAAACACCCAGGAATACTGATGAAAAGGGTTTTGTTTCATCAGGACAAAGCTCCTTGAATGGCTGCTGTACGTGACTGTGGCTTTGAACTGGTTGATCTCCCTTCCTATTCTCCTGATTTGGCCCCATATGACTATCATCTGTTCCCGAACATGAAAAAAAACACTTGGCTGGGAATCAGTATCACCCTTGATGATGATGTCATATATTCTTTTGATATCTTTTTTTTTTTTTAACCAACAGTATGGAAGCTTCTTCACCAATGGGATCCAAGCACTGCAGCACTGATAGAAGTGTGTGGACCACAAGGAGTGTGTGTGTGTGGGGGGGGTAACTATGCTAAAAAATAAACCTTATTTGGTCACATTTCATGAGAGTATCTTGGTTAGACTATGAACATTTCAACCAACCCTTCTGTGTATTAACAAAGAATGCAAATCTAAAAGAACTTGATTTCCTTCAATGGTATAGGCAGAATTTAATACTCAAGACACTTGTTTATAAACTGAAGTGCCCAAAAACTAGAGACAACTGTATAATACTGTTTTCAAAGGAAGAATAACTGAATAACAGTAGCTATGCAATATGGTGCCTGCCAGGTTACATGGCTAGAATCAGTGCATGAATATATTTCTCTAGGCACATTCCAGAGCGCTATCATCTCTAATAGAGTTGTTTGGTGGAAGTGACTGTAAAGAATTCAATTATGGTGCCTGCCAGGCTACATGGCTAGAATCAGTGCATGAATATATTTCTCTAGGCACATTCCAGGGCGCTATCATCTCTAATAGAGTTGTTTGGTGGAAGTGACTGTAAAGAATTCAATTATGGTGCCTGCCAGGCTACATGGCTAGAATCAGTGCATGAATATATTTCTCTAGGCACATTCCAGAGCGCTATCATCTCTAATAGAGTTGTTTGGTGGAAGTGACTGTAAAGAATTCAATTATGGTGCCTGCCAGGCTACATGGCTAGAATCAGTGCATGAATATATTTCTCTAGGCACATTCCAGGGCGCTATCATCTCTAATAGAGTTGTTTGGTGGAAGTTACTGTAAAGAATTTAATTAATTCTGCAGCACATCCCATATATTGTTTTTTTTTTTTTTAATATGGTGAGCACAGAAGCCAATAAAGTACCTGAAAGTAAGCTGAGTGTTCTAGAAATCAGTTTCATGTCACCTGGGAACAATGGGAAGGATTTGCGCTATCTTGCTGGAACATACCATCAATGGAAAAACAGAGAGCAGAAAAAGTGGGGTGTAAATGGCCTGCAACAATGTCAAGATGGACTCCAGTTTCACTAGTGGTCCTTGTGAATTCAAAGAGAGCACATCCAGCACTCTGCTGACAGATTGGGTCTATAGCCTCAGAAAGAACTGGAAATATGTCTTTTCTGACAAGATCACATGGTATCAGTCTTCTATAGTCCAATGACAATGTTCTATGATCCAAGCAAAGCAGAACAACTAATCCCATAGTGCCAATAATAGTAACCTTGTTGTTTGATGACTGCAAAACACCCTGGAATACAGTGTATGCTGTACAGTTTGTTGACTAATGGTCAATTAGCATCAGCATTGAATTGAGATGTGATTTTATACAACATTCTCCTTTATTGGGTTGTTACTTTGTTAATTGTTGGTGGTCCAATTTTTGTATCAATTGCGGATGTCCACTTTTTTCCTGTCACTGTTAGCTGTCTGAAATTCATATATTCCTTGTATACCCTTGCTATTGCTGTCTGAGATAAAATCCTAGAATATTTGCCACCTCAGGGATAGGATGCCCCCATCTTTGTAGCACCAACCACCATTCTGTGAATAAAATGACGTTAAATCCTGTGTCTTATGGCTACACTATCTGTACCTATTATGTCACCCACATCATCCAGCTGAGTTCATTTTTACAAATAAAAGGCAGTGTAATCATTCACTAATTTTTATACACTTCAACTTAATTTGTTTTTTGCTTTGAATAAAATGTCTTTGTTTATTAAATACTCATAGAAACATTCCGTACATTTTAAATTACACTTATTGATACTGAAAAATAAACTCAATCAGAAACAAAAAATAAAATAAGATACCTTTGTGTTAAATGGTGCTCATGGTATTAAAATCTTGTTTCAATGAAAACAGTAATTACATAGTAAATACATTTAAGACAATAGTTTTCCAGTTAAATGTAGGAATGCAAAATGTATATATACATTTTCTTGTACATATGAAAAGAAAAATAAAGCAAATTAGACTGAAAAGAACTTACCAGGTGTAGACATGGAGTTAAACGCATTAGTTTGTTGTGACTGTACTGGAGTGGGTTGTGGTTGGTAAATGCCTTGAGAAGGATAAGTACCACTGCCAAAAATTCAAATTTCAAACATTAATAAAATCAAGAACATCATCACAAAAATAGTCTCTCTGCTTTCCGGTTTCTTTTTTTAGTGAATTATTATTATTATTATTATTATCTGTGGTCAAAAGAAACAAAATTTCTCCTTTTCTTATTTCAGTAAAGTTGTATTGAGGAAAATTTAGAAGTTTAATAAAGTATTATAGTAATATTAAGCATGGGTAAAAAAAAAAAAAAAAAATAATCACTTACCCATAATAAGGCTGCTGTTGGTAAGTATTGGAATAGTCAGGAGTCATAACATTAGGCTGATTGTAAGTATCCATTCCATAACCTGTTACTGCAGGATCAGCTTGAGCAGGGTATTTATGTGCTAAAGGACCTGCAAAGGCAGTGTGGGACATGAAATAAAATAGTAAACAAAGATGATTTTGACAGATATTTCTTTACAGGACTTTTTTTGCGAATTAATATAGCCTTAACATTATTTTTTTGAGAATAAAAATGATTTTTCCAAATACAAGTTTGACTATTTAACCCATAGGTGGAAGGAGAAGATGGATTCATACCACTCCCAAAGGTATTTGTGTATAAGTGAATATAATGAACCTGATTTCTCATTCCAAGCAACTATCCATTATACCATTTGCACATCCATCCAAACATGTATAATTTATATATATATGTATATTATTTAACAGTGTAAAAAAAGTTTTAATTCTATAACAAATAATAGTTTGTTTTAAATCTACTGACACTGTGTATCTGACAATGTAAATTATACTCTTAACAATACCTTTTGACATTGGTGCTCCTGATGGTGGAGCCATCATTGAACTCATATGAGTTGGATAGGCTGGGGTCTGAGGTATATTGCCAGTGGAGGGAGGAGCTGAAGGAGGGCCATTAGTGTTTGGGTACTGATTCAGGCCAAAGTAAGAACTGGGTGTTGTGTTTGTACGGAATTGGCTGATTGCTTGAGTCTTAAAAAAAAAAAAAAGAAGCTAGTCAAACATGGCATACAGACACAAAAAAAAAGACAACAAATTAAATTATAATGATTGCTAGATTATAATGAAGTCAGTTATCCTTTCTTGGTCAGTAGCAGTAAGTAAACTGTTGCATTTTTTGCAAAAGGAAAAAAATATTGTTGATCTAAGGTCAATCTAAAAAACATCAACATAGTTACAAAATATTTATCTGAGGTCTTAAAACATTTAATATAACAATTAGGAAAGCATTTAATTCCTTCTTTCTTTGTTAATAATAAGATTAGTTAAAGTATAGTCAAATCAAAATAAGCTCAACTTTCCATATTTAAATATTTTACTTCCTAATGAAGTCAAACAAAAGAAATAAAAAAGAATTAAAAAATATAAAAAAAAAACCTCAGAAGTATCGTGAAAATTTTATAAGTGTGATTACATGTCTGGAAATAATACTTTAAAGTAGGTATCTCCACTATTTTGGTATATGTAAGGTTTAAAATGAATTTTTAAAAATGAAAAAGCTTTCTTGAGCTTTCATTTTAGCTTTAATTGAAAGCTAAAGGATTTAAAATTTACTATTTCCAGTAAGCACTCTGTGGTGCATTTCAAACAGAAATTATATTGATTGGAATCAATTTTTTTTTTTTAGTAAAATCAATCAAAACAGCCATTTTTGACACAAACAAAACAAAAGTTAATTCTCAGTTTTAAAAATCTTGCAAAAATATATATATTTCTGGAACATTATTTGAGGAAAATTAGCAAATTTAAAGTTAAATTAATCTGATTTGAAACAAATATTACTTATAGCATAAAATGTTGTATACAAACATTTCTTAACTATGGGGTCTTTTTTTTCTGACTTGTTAGTTGATTTATTGAGAGCAGGTTGACAGTTGAACATGTTCATAGTTAAGTATGGTGGAGTAGACGATAAAGTTTAAGGAATTTTTTTTTTGTTGTAAGAGAAGGAAAACCCTTAAAATACATGACCGTTTAATGATAGATTTATTGGTTTGTACATCCATTCTCCAAAGAATTCTGCTTTTGACTAATATAGTCACTAAAAATTATCACATTGAATTTTTCAAGTTTTCATAAAATTAAGCAATGGACTGAAACATGTAAAAAAAAAAAAAAAAAAAATACTTTTACCAAGATTTTATAATAAAAAAAAATACAAAATAATTTCATTCATCTGTGAATAAGTTCTGAAATTTCATTAAAATCTGACATTTATTTGATTTTTACAAGAATTTTCAAATTAATATGTCTGTCACCACAAAAAAGAGGCCAAAATTTGCTATGCTAAAAGTTAGTCAAACTGTTGATGCAGTTAATCAAAATTTTGAATGTTCTAAAAAGGAGTAAAAAATTTAATATTCAAAGAATACTTTGATCTATTAATAATAACAAAGATTTTGACAATAAAACTATGTTTTCATCGCTGTATGCTGATTTTTTAGTGTTTTCAGGGAGGTACCAAAGAATTTATTTTTAGAGCCCAATTCTGACCTGATGAACATTTTGCTGATGAATTTGTTCTTCCTGCTGTTTTTGCAAGGTTTGTCTTTGTTTTGAAGCTGGCTGATACAATTGTTTAGATGGATACTGTTGAGGCTGAGCATAGGCAGGTTGAGCAGCAGGTATCTGCTGAGTAGGATAAGAAGATTGCAGTGGCTGAGTTTGTTGAGCTGATTGGGCTGGTTGAACACCCTCAGGAAGAATGTCGATTTTCTCAAATGGAAATGGTGGAGCATCAATACCAATCAAGTTGCTACCTAAGGCTTGATACAATCGATCCCGCAAAATACTCAAGGATTTCTGTGCAGAAAGAGTTTTAATAAGAAAGACATTTTATTTGTATAAAAACAATCTGGCAAAATTATTCATTCAGCTACCATGATTTTGATTAGTAGATATAATAATCAAAATCAAGAAAACATTACTTTCATTTAACACAAATATTTTTGTAAGAAAATTTCATTTACAAAAGAAATTAGAAAGATTTACATTTCTCTATAAGTAGAATTTTAAGTACAATGCAGAAAATGTTATGTTATGAATATTCAGTACATTAATAACATTATAAAAGAGAGACTGTCATCATCATAAAGAGAAATATGAGAAACTAATCACTTCAGTAGATGATCCTAAGTAGTTCATTGCTGTATCCAAACATCCTTGAGCAGCCAGAATTGATGCATATGTACTGAGTTTGCCTGCGACCAAACCCTGCTGAATTTCACCAACCTCTCCTTGGGACAGTTCAACAGCCTTTCGAAGCATCATTACTTTTTCTACAAGATCCTAAAAAGAAAGAAAAAAAATAAAATCAAAACTTGGTTTTAATAAAATAAGTCAGAATCTTTCAATTAAAATTATCAATTGTCAGTTCTTGAAAAAAAGAAAAACATTTTTATGAATAATTTTATAAAAATTGTAAACTTTTGAAATAGTTTTAAGAAGACAATATAATTAACCATATATATCAAATTCTTGATGTTCTTGAGATGACTTTAAAACATTTTTGTTGTCTATTTTATATAACAAAAAGCGTGTAATTATAATAGCAAGAACATAATGTTAGATAAATGTTCCTAAAGTATGAAAACTCCACCTTAAGTTGGAAATAATATTATACTATATTCCCAGTAGAGGAATAAAGTTTTATTCTTATCTGAGGTTATTTCTTTTCTCTGAATTCTTACAATTTAGTTTTTATACACTTATATATGTTCTGAGAAGTTCAAGAAAGGATTAAAAAAAAAAAAAAAAAAAAATTTGGTCAGACTTTGAGAAGTGGTCTGGCTGAGAACTTTTCAGCACCTCTTAATATATTTAGCAAAAATTCATCTATTTAAGCATAAAGTACAAGTAAAAAAGTTTTGATTAAAAAAAATATGAAATTTTATCAACTATTTTTTTTTTTTATTGTAGAGCAAATGCTAAAACTAATCAGCAACTTCCATTTTTATGACAATTGATGTGTACTGCTCTTTTTACAAATTTTTTTAAAGATGTGGCATAAAAAAAAGGATGTTATGCCAAGTAAGGTCTGTATCTTGACACCTCAAAAATCTTTCTTGCCTAATATTCTTATTTTTAAGGAAAGTACAAACTTTTATGTTCACTGGTACAAAAATATTGATCTTCCTATCCTAAGAAAACTCACTAATGAATAAGGTTTTGAAAACATCTATTTCATTATAATAAAAGCTAAGAATGATAAAAATTAAAAACTATACAACACAAAATATATTTTACATAAAGATTTATTAATGTTTTTTCAACATAAACAAATCGCAAATGCATTTCTGCTGAAAACCTGATGTTACTAACCTGAAGGGCCAAAGGTGATTCAGTGGATTGAGAATTGGTTTGCCAGTTCTCAACAAATTTTTGTACATTTCCAGAACAAATGTAACAGAGACTTGCATACATAGAATATTCTCCACCTTTATCAACTTCAAGACGAGCACCAAGAGAATCTAAAATGTAAAAAAAAATGTTTGAGTTGCTTTCTTTTAGATCTTGTACCTCAGTTGAGGTAAATAGATGGTCAGATTCTATTATGAGGATATCAAATTTCTAAATATCTTTACAAATTTTATTTTAAAGTGAAAATATTACAGATTAAGTCTTCAACACTTTTTCAAGCAAATCTTTTTTTTAAGTGAGCTTCTAAAAAAAGCAGTATTCAATTTGAGGTGAAATTATGATAGGTCACAGCAGAAATTAGAAACTAAAAAAGCAAATAAAAAGTTTGTATGATTTTGTAAAACTGCCACCAAGTTGGATTTTGATTAACTATAGCAAAAAAATATCACACTTGTCAGGTCATTACAGTAAAAGTGGGAAGCTCTTTTAGTTAAAAAGGGATTTTATGTCCTAGAAATAGATTCTCTAAAATCCTGAAACTAAAATAATATAAAAATATTAACCTGCAGTCAATCAATATATCTGTTTTATTCATATGTTACATCTTCAAGTTCCTATATTTTATGCACAAATTAACTATTGGAGTTCAGTTTTACCTTTAGAGAAAAAAAATTTATTTCTATCTGTTTACTTACCACAAAGGATAGCAAATTCTTCAGGAGAAGCATAAGTGATAATGACTGCCAGAGCTTCTTTCCAGTTTTGTAAATCACAAGTTTGAATAATGTGGTTCCAATCCCGAGTCACAATGGATGATATTAACTAATACATGTAAAGAAAAAGATTAAATACTTTTAATCCACATTTCTTTATTAATCTATATAAATAAATGCGAGTATCAGTGTGCCACACTTTTTCAACTTTACTCCTAGAGGCCATAGCCTGACATATCATACCATTTTGGAATCAGGCCAACTCCATGAGCAAATTAAAAACATTCCAGGCTGGATTCAGACCCATAATCTTGAAATTTTGGATCCTCAAGTTTTCATTAGTGTGATTTTTTTTTACATGATTTTTTGCAATTAATTTTTTGTACAATAACAATTTTTATAACTTAGAAATAAATTTGGGAATAATTGAAATTAATTGTGAAAGTCACCCATGAAATAAAAATTGTTTGTATGGAAAGTAAGGACCTATGTATATGAAATTGTCTTTAAATTAAGTGGCAGCTGAAGAATAATTGTTGAATTTTTAAAAGGTAAGCTTAAATATTAATGCAATACTTAAACCCTTTGATTAATTTTGAGTTCTACTGTAGTTTATTGTTGCCTATCATATATGGCAGCAGTATGTCTTGCAAAAAGTGCCAACAGAGGATCAGACTGCAATCAAGAGAGCTAAGGCTGCAGTGATGAAAAAAAAGTCCCATGAAAATGAAAATCTAGATCAAATGGCAGCCAGGAGAGATTCCAATGCAGAAAATATGTAAAATTTACAAACTCTCAAACTTCTGAACAAGCTGAAGGCACAACCAAGCTAGCTTAAATGCCACCCGATAGGGCAGATTTTAAGCTAGTTTTAGATATTTTAAATATCTTAGGAACTGATTGTCAAAGATGCAAGATTATGATATTGAAAAATGAATCATCCAAACTATTATGACAGTTGGAAGCTGCATATTCACAGACAAGGAGAACATTCCTATGAAATTGGAATCAGAGTTCTCCTAATGTTGAAAAAATAAAAGATTGAAATTACTTAGCTACTGTTACAAGATAAATAGTATAATATAAATTAACAGAACACTAAAATTTGAAAAATAAAAAGTAAAAAACTAAATTTTCAATAATTTTGAAATAACTAACAGACTTTTGTCAAAAACCTTATTTTTTATTTCAGACGCATTTTGCTGTAAGTGAATCTTCTGAGCTAAATTTTTCTACAGTTTTTTTTTTTTTTTTTATAATTGTGAAAAACTTTTGTAATTTTTTTTCTATTCCTGATGAGTCTGAACAATAGTGAAAAACTTTTAAGGAATGCACATCTCGTCGTTCAGCTCCTGAAAACACATATCTGCTCAATTTTATATCCGAAACATAAACAAAAAATTAATGGATTTATTTTTAATCTGACACCATTTATTACTTCAAACATTATTTTTAGCATTTACTCAAACACAGATATGTAACATAAATAATATTTTAAATAATTAAAAAATGTCAGACTGAAAATAAATCCATTAATATATAGTTTGTGCTAATATTTTCTTATGTCACAAATTATCATTATTCTCCTGGTAAGATAGAAATCATAATTATTCAATGGGGGGGGGGAAAGAATGTTATGTTTTATTTGTTTCATTTAATATTCAGGATGTATTGAACATGAATAAGAAAATGTAAAAAAAAGATTTTGATATTTTATAAGTACAATGAAAAGTTATCTAAATATTACCACCATTTTTTGATGGTACAAGAAAACTCATTAATAAATAAGAACATTATTTTAAAATATATTACCAGATTTTGTATTTCAAATTAGAATTGTATTTAATGATCCGTATGCTTTCCGAAATACAAGTGACATGAAACTGTATTAAACTTTTCTTGGAATTCAGCTCATGGGATGAAAAATGGTACATTTATTAATGATTAACTATTAATGATACTAAATTAGCAAAGTTAGCTTTCAGAATTTTTCCATATTTTTATCCCTGAAAAGATTACTTGAAAACAAAAATAAACAACAGTAAATTTCAAAGTCAGTTCAAATTTTCTACCTTGTCATGATATAGGATGTAGTAAACAAAATAAATAAAAATACATTTTCCAGCTTAAATAGAATGGAAGTTTTTAAAAACTGAAGTAGTACACAAGCAGTGAATACAGATTTGCATAATGTTGTAATATAGAATACTTTTTACAAATACAGGTTATAGTTCCTTATAGCCTTTATCACTTTTGCTCCAAGAAAATATAAGGATAATGAATAAATGGGGAAAAAATAAACTGATCATTAAAAAATAATGTTCTATTAAAGATTTTCACTTAAGCCTATAACTTTTATTGAGAATCAGTAATATCTTAAATACTCACTCGACTTAGTGAACTTTTGTTACAACTAAAATATTTTTCCTGTGTGCGGCAAAGTAATTCTGGCCCTCCTGCAACAGCTAACAGGATTGCTTCTGCCATTTTGTTTTCATGGATACACATCTCTACAGCTGCCTCAAAGTTTCCAGTCAATAGAGCTTGACCCAACAAACCTTCAGCTCCTTAAAGTAAATATGAAATCATCTTTCAAATAACCAAGCAATAAAAGAAAATAGAAAATAATAAATAAAATTAATGCAGTATGAGTGGAGCTGAAGAACATCTACAAAAATACTGATTTTCTTATTTTGAAAAAAAAAAAAAAAAAAAAAAGAAAATATTCAAAACATCAACATTTTTATAAAGCCTAAAACAAATTGGTGCAATCGTTTAATCATTATATATACAAGGGATTCACAGCCAGATATATAGCTAAAATTATTGAGTGATCATTCATATATATATATATATATATATATATACACACACACACACACACACACACGTGCAATATGTATTCATTTTCTTATAACTTTATATGAATTTTTCTTTCTATTGTGATATGTTATATTTTGCTGAGAAATAATTTTGAATTATATTACATTCAGAAGTTTACAAAATGAAACTTTTCAAAAAATACACCAATTCTTATAAGTACTGACCTGCTTTAGTAGGTATAGCAAGAGGTGTAGCAGATGCATCAAACTGTGTAGAGACAAGTGGGGATTGTGTGCCTGATCTACCACTTTGTGCAGGAACTACAAGTGGTGATTGTGTGCCAGATGTACCTGACTGACCTGAGTTTGTAGGTATAATTAGTGGTGACTGTGACCCTGACAGGTTTCGTTGCTGTAGAGCAATATCCTCAAACATAGATGAAGCTTCAGAAGGTTCCCCAATGCTGTTGGAGGTCTACAATAAACAAAAGAAAGCCTTGGCGATTACCAGCAGCTAAATTCTTTCATTCACACTATATAGTCTGCTGTCAAGTGAGTCTTTAAAGCTTTAACACTTCAAAGTTTCATCTTTTTATTTTTTAATTTAAAAGCTAGTTTTAGTGAAAGCATGTTGGTAGTGTTAACTGGTTAATAAATTGTCAACGAATGGCCCACATATTTGTAACCTAACCTCTTTCTCTTTATTTATAATCAATAAAATAGATAAAAATAAAAAGCTACCGCTTATATGTACCTGAATTTGAAGCATCCTCAAAAAATAAAACTACCTGCAAATGAATGTTGTCTATCCTATAAATTAAGTCTAATTTTTTGTAATTCTAGTCTTATATGATCACTACTTCAAAGAACCTATTCTGAAGAGCTTTTTATGTCCCTGTTTCTCCTACAAGTACAAATAGTTTCTATTAAATTCTGTTACAATTAGGTTTCTTTGCTTTTCTTCCAAGACAAATTGTTGACACACTTTTGTTTTCTAACTCAACCACAATATTAAATCACTAGGATAAACACATTTAATAAAATTGCAACAACTTTTGAAAGAAAGCTGCTAGCAATGAAAAAAAATTAAAGTAAAATCCTGATAAAATATTTGTAGATAAATCCATTCAATAATTATATGGAATTAATTTCAATAGTAAAGAAACAAAAAAGTTTTTAGAAAATAAATTTGTTCTATCCATCTTTCCAAAATATAATAATGCTGCCAACTAAAAAAGTTGATATCTTAAACTTATTTACCAAGAAAAATAACTGACATTAAACCACTCATTAATAAAACACTATCTCACTGAAACTAAACCTAAAACTAACTGAAATTATTAGTCCATGGAAGAATTACCTTAGAGTCAACACTGGGCGAACCCTGACCACTGCTAGGTAAAGTGTCACTAATCACAGCATCCTGGAATGACAAAAGTGTGAAATTTGTAGCAGGGAAAAGGGATAGAACTGACCTTTGAAGAATAGGGAAAAATTTAAGAAATTTTAAAAAGTATATTGATAATTATAATATTAATTTTTAATTCCAAAATTGTTTGAAAAGATATTTTTTCAGTATTATTTAATTTATAGATCAGTATAATTAACAATTGCTTAATAATAAATATCAAAATCATAATATTATGTGTATTAAGCATGCTTACATAAAAGATAACTTTGTAATAGGAATGAGGAATGATGATAAATCTATATACATAATTGACCTTATATATTTACTTTTTAAATAATAATATCCCCTGAAATGAAATTGATACAAAATAAAAAATAACTTATAAAGAAAAATATGGAAGGGATATTATTAAACTTTAAATCTAAAGTTTGCTATATTTACAAAGGAAGATAGCATTTATATTGCAGACATAAGAATCAACACCACATGGTAACTGTCATTTTCCCATCTCAATGCGATCTTCAGACTATATATATAGGCTGAAGATTGCATTGAAGTGGGAATATATATATATATATATATATGCTGAAATATTTTTGTTTTGACCAAGAAGAGATACCCCTTATAAAGACTGATGTTTTGTCAGATTTTGGTGGGTGGTTTAATTTGAGAATTTTTCAGCACCCTCTCATAATGATATATTTTTTCTTTTTTTCTCCCTTTCTCATATAAGAGTTGAAAATATGGATTAAATCTAACAGAATAATTAAATAAGAAATAAGTAGGAAAATTTTTTATAAATTTAACAGGTTTTGCAATCTATTTAGCCTATTATTTTTATCTTCACTTTCAAAATTTCTTATGAAGCTAAATAAATAGCATAGCATCTTAAATTTATGAAGATTTTCCTATTTGTTCCTTATTTAATAATGTGTGTGAGTGTGTGAAAATACAAAAAAAAGGACATTTTTGTGGTGTTCTAATTTGTTTATTCTTTTTTCCTGTCCATCATGCTTACAGTTTAATCTGTGAAAGGTTAAATTAGCAAATACTGGTTTTGAATAGATTCAGTGAATATCAAGCGTAAAAAATTGTAGAGATCTAGAAAAGGTTAATATTAGGAACAGCGATGACAAAGGTTCACTAAACTTTGATTGGAAAAAGAATATTTATAAAATTTTTTTTAAAGTTTATAGCTAAGATAGGTAGTAGATTAAAGACAGTATGGATACAGACAATATTCAAGAATAGTGCCTTATTAACTTGATGAATATAAATTCTTAAAAATGTCTAGATGCATATCTGCTTTGGAAATAATTGCTTTCTTGTTTAACTTGGAGAAATGTAAAATTCTTTGTTTATTCAGCATAAGATTTGGTGAAATTAAGATATCAGTAAGTGGCTTTTAAAAGTACACTATGACAGTAGAGTAGAAATATAAGGAAGTGTTTTGTTCCTAATTCTCAATTTAATACTGCATTATAATGGAAATTGCATTAGAATACAAACTTTACATTTTGAGAGACTGGTTTAGAAATATCTATTTTAAACAAGAACAAAGATTAAACTAGAAAAATACAAGAAAAAATCTGGAAGAAAATTGAAACCTAACAGTAATAATAAAAAAAAAAAAAAAAGGATATGAATAATGCTAGCTGGGAAGGTAAACCAATAGATTCTAAACTATTCTACATCACTCATTTTTGTTCATATTTCTTTGTATTAGTGATAAGATCTCTATCTAGAAATTACAAACAATTATCTTTCCAAAAGTTGTTCATTCCATTGTTGAATACATTTTTTATTTTCCTGATCTGAACATTTCATCTATGAAATAAAATGAGATTACATTCTTAAAAAATAAATAAAGACTAACACTGATCAAAGAATAGAAGTGAAATTATTTTCAAACTGTTGAATAAAAAAATCTTTAGCATGAAAATAAGAGACAAGACTCCATCTACAAGGTTAAAAAAAACCCCAAAAACAAAAAAACAAAAAATTGGTTGTACTAATTCAAAGAAAATTTTTAACATTAGTGCTAATTAACAATAATTAGAAATTTAAATACCAAGGAATTAACCAAAAACTAATCATTAGTCAAATTCAAATTAGTACTTAAAACAATACTTTTGAAGACATTATCCCAAACAAAATAAACCTAATTAGAATCTAGAATTCTCATAGAAACTGACTGTGCTTAATATTGAGGGTAACAAAGACAGTAAAATCATTTAAGATATTTTTTTTTGTTAATTCACAGGTATGCAACAGTATGTGTACTCTTAAACATCTTTGCTCTGCATTAAATAAAATAGGAGAATTAGCTGCAGCAAATTAAATTTCTTAAATTAGTCTAAACTTTGAAATAATGATTATTTGTACTAGAAATCACAAAGTAAATAGCTTCTCTTTTTCAATAAAAAATATATTTTTGTTTATTTCTTTGAAATAGCCTTTCATTCTTTTTTATTTTAGATTCTTAGTTATATTTAAACAGATTCATAATTTGAACAAAAAATTTTTTATAACTTTTTTTAATGTTTGAAAAAAAAAAACAAAAAAAACAACTTGATGAAATGTAAAAAGTAAATCTTTGAAATTTTTTTCAATAAAGTTGAATAAATAATGTTAAAAAATGATAAAAACATTTTCAGGGATTGTTTATTAAATGACAAGATTAATGGATTAATGAGTTATTTACCACAAAGCAACAAAAGAATTTAAAATAAAAGAAAGAGTTTTTAGAAAATCCTACCTAATATTATTATTAATGTGCTAGACAATGTTCCTTATGAGAATAACAAAGATAAATGTTGATATTTAGTGCAATTTTGTTGAGGTTTTCTTAATATTAAAAAAATATTTGCTTTAAAATAGTCATAATTAAATTAATTAAAATAGAATGTTAGTAATTTATCATATGTACAGCTCATTGATTTCAACAGGATTCACTTTTCTTAATTTAAAATTGATTCTTTATGGTTTAAAAAAAACAAAACAAAAAAAAACAAAAAAAAACAAAAAAAAAAACAACTTGGATATTCAGAATTATTCAGACTATATACAGAAACCAATAAGTCAGTGCAAAAGTATTTTTTTTTTTTTTTTTTTTTTTTTACTTACTGTTGTATTCAAGAGAGACATTTTTTCAGCAAGTTCAGCTGCATTTACTCCATGCGCTTCTATCCTTGTTTCTAGTCCACCAGTCTGACCATCAAATCCAAATTCATTAGTAATTCCTTGTTCATCAGCTACAACTCCTTTTTCATCTGGAACAGTCCCTAATCCAGTCTGAATAACTGGATCTGGTCTTTGTCCATCTCCAGAAACACCAATAGCACCAGTTTTAGTATTAATATGAGTTACTACCTGTAAAAACATAGCTTAAAAATGAGAAGCCATTATAATATAGTTTATTAATTTATTTATTAATAAAGTAACATTAACAGATCCAAAGAAAGTTTTGAGTAAACCATTTCTAAGTAAAATTTTACCTACAATTCAAAAATTGTATTTACTAAGTGAAAAAATGTAAATAAACAACTTACCTTCTGAGATAATTCATTTTTGTCATAACCAAGCAACTGCAGAAACTTAGGTCGGGGCTCATTCTCAAAATTTGTCTAAAAAGAAATAAAAAAAAAAAGATTTTTTTCAGATTCATTTTATATCAATCTCCTAATTTGTTATGAAAGTTCAGCTGCTACCAATTAGGATGCTTACAATAGCAGAAGTACAAGTTTATAGGACAAGTACAAGTGAATACAGATTATTATATATATATATATATATCTCCAACCAAATATGTTAGCTCTATCTCTGATATTGAGCGCTTTCTAATAAGTACCGCGCATATAATATATAAATAATTATACATACTTATATTTATTTATATTTATATACACTTTATATATATATATATATATATATATATATATGATGGATACTCCCATCAAATTTGATGTATGAGGTTCTGATGACCACAAACTAATTACTAATTATCTGCATGCCTATGACAGGTATGACTTTTGAGACCGGCTCGAGAATTGCACAAAAGACCACAATGGTACAGGAGAATGTATTGCAGCAGGAACACTGTTAGATGTCTCATTTTGCTTTCACATTTCATGTAGTTGACTGATGTTTACTTCTCAGTACAGCTATATCAATGTATTTCTTTAGCTTCAATGCAACCAGAGCTGTTTTTCTTTCTGGTGTTGAGTTGTTGTCCTGGAGAGTTTGTATATTCCAAGAGCCAAGATGAAGTTGATATTGTTTTGTAGAGTTTTTTGCAGTAGCCAGATATGTGTGGAACTAATTAGATGTAGATATCAGAAAACCAGCACAATGATTTGTTTCAAGTGGTGAAGGCTTGTGTCAGACCATCCACACTTTTTGGATCTGTCGTTAAAAAAAGTAATGGTACAAAAGACTTGCCACAGAAACTCCAAATGTATTATTATCACAGAGTTTAACCTCTCCGGATCACAGTCAATATCAGCCAGTATATGCCTCTTGGCAGACACATGAAATATAATGACCAGGTCAAGCTGTAATGAGTTTTCCTTCCCATCTGAAGTTTTTTATCATGAAATCATCATACTTATAAAACCCAGGTTGTGTGTGTCTGTTCGTTTATATATTGGATCGGATTTCCTACACTTTTCAACCGATTTCAACAAAACTTCACAGGACTACATAAAATTACCTTGCGGTGGTTCTGACAGTGCCAAAAATTGGAAAAACAATTGTTTTTGCACAAAATCAATTTGAAAACACGATTAAGAGGCATTGCCGTCGCAAAAATGAAAGGGGGACAACTCATATCGAGTTATACTTATAAAACCCAGGTTGTTTGTGTGTATGTGTGTGTGTTCATTTATATATGGAATCGGATTTCCTACATTTTTCAACCGATTTCAACAAAACTTCACTTTTTTTTTGGCAGGTAGTGTTTCTTATTGTCTTGCACACTTTTTTTTCTTTATTTTACATTCAGAATGCTTTAAAAATTCCATTTACAAGACAATTGTTTATAATAAAATTCTATTCAATCAGTAGACTCATAATGATTGAAAACAATGTTTTTGTTTGAGTTTGACCAATTCGTAAAAAACAACAAAAAAAAAAAAAAACTAATTAAGACATGTGTGTCCGTCAACCTTAAACAATAATCTTTGTCAATTTTATTTTTCAGTCTTTATGATGGCCGATACTTGATCTATCTCTTACTGTTACACCCCCGGGCAATGCCGGGCTCTACTGCTAGTCAACACTAAAAGGATTGCTAAACAAAGCTCAAAGAGACTCCTTTCACCCTCATCAAGGGCAGCTAGCCTGCACCAATTCTCAACCTGGTACTTTACATAACTCCGCAGAATATATATATATATATATATATATAAAATTGTAATAATAATAAAATGTACTCATATAATTGATAATAGTTTTATACATTATTATTATGATTTTAAAAGTATAGCAATATATTGGCACATTATATATATTTTACACTGGATGTCGGAGTAAACAGATTGTCATCAATGTGCCAATATATTGCTATACTTTTAAAATCATAATGTATAAAACTATTGTCAATTATATGAGTATATTTTATTATTATTATAATAATTATTATTGATGATGCTGTTGTTGTTGTTTTAAAATATTTGAAAGATAATAATAATACAAAATTGATTAGTAGTAAAAACAAAACAAAATAACGTTATAACTGGGAACACTTTTTCAACAAAATTGAAATTACGTTACTGTAAATATATACTTGCAGCTGCTGTCTTAAAATCTCTGCCTGTGTTCCCTCTTGCATGCATCATCTTTAAGAGTATGTGTTTCAAAACAGATCTTTTTTCCAATTTCAGCTAATAATGTGTTGTTTTGCATTTTTTTTAATATATAGATTTAGAAGCTACTCTTAAAGATAAATAGAAATCACTTTGCTAAAAGGTGTTTCTTAAATTGAGTCAAGAACAATGAAATTTGGAAAAGTAGATGATGGCCTGTTTACAGGGTATGATGAGTAAATTATCGCCCTTTTATATTTTTAATTTCACACATGTGCATCGTTTGTTTTTGTTGACTGCACAATAAGTAGGGTCAGTTGGGCACCATCTGTCAGAAAAAGAGCACCATGATGCAATTCATTCCACCAGAAAATTGGAAATGGCATACTGTACTGCTTGTCATTTGTGCCAGAAGCACTCATGCAAACATTACAGAGTGTTTGAGTGTCAATCTGAGAACAGTGCAGACAATTTGCAAAGAATTGGAGGAGGTTATTACAAAGGTAGGGCAGCTTGGAAAACTTACCCTGACTGTTCTGATAAGAACTCTTGAATTTCTTGGTGAGGTCCAGGACACAATTAACAACAATCCCTCCAAGTCAATCAGGTCCATAGCCAGGGAGGTAGTGCTGCCCTGGGCCAAGAGAATGGCTGCTGGAAGACCCTATATTTGGCAACAGGATTTTGCATCATGCCACATAAGCAGAAAAACCTAGTCATGGCTGTCAGACAATTTCTGCAACTACATCACCCCTACTTAACTCCCTAGTCTGCAATCCATTTGATTATTATGTGTGGGGCACAGTTGAATGAGAGACCAACAAAGCACCTTGTAATACCAAAGGTGACCTGAAGGCAAGGATTATGGAAGCATTCACCAAGTTAAACAAGGAGACCATCCAGAAGAGTTGCAGGAGATTCCAAAGTCATCATGGTTGAAGCCAATGGCAATTTTATTGAATAAAATTTACACTTTAGTATTTCAAGATATTTTTGTGTAATTTTGGTAAACATATGTTAAAATGAGATGTCAGTGTTATTTTCATTTTTGCATAATTTAGACAACAATTTATGCATTGCACCCTGTCTAAATCTTTTCCTATGCGTATAGATTTTATCCCAACAGAAAATCATGGCAATCAATAGGCTGACAATGATTATTTCTCTTAAGATGTTTTAAAAAGTAGCAGCATTATATAATCAGTGTCACTTTTGACATCTGATTTCCTCAAAGTTAATTCCAAGTGTAGAGAAGTAATCTTTAGTTTTCCTCTTATCAAAGTGCCCTCTCAAGATTTCAAATACCTTTGTTTCTAGTGGTGTGAATAAGTAAGGAAAAACATACAGATCAAATTTGTAGAAACTGTCCAAACTTCATAATGTTTTTGCTTGAGTACATTCTACTATATTACTCATCTTTACTCTTTCTACTACTTTACTCATTAACAGGAATATTAATGTTTTCAGTGCCACAGAGTAAAGGTTTTATTCTGGAATTTTTATAACATTATTAATAATATTTATTTTTCAGTTAACAACTATAATAGAATAATAAACAAATTTTCATTGTATAATTTTAAAAGGTAATTGAAAAAAATCTTTGACCATATATTTTGTAAAACAAAAGCAACTATGAAACAGCCTTACAATTAAACCAATTTGCAATTTATAAAAATTTTCTTATGCAAAAACAATATCTTGGAAATTGATTTTAGGGTAACTTTAAAATCTTATCTTTAGCTTGTTCTAATCAAAAATAGTTATTTTTTTAAAAATGATGTTTGCTTATAATAACCAAAATACACATTTCATAAAAGAGTAATGTATTATGAATATAACACTTTAAGATGTGAAAAAAATATAAGATTAGAAGCAAATAAAGATTCTTTAAGAATATGGTTTTCAAGCATTTTTCCAGAGAAATATTAGTAAAAAAAAAAAAAAAAATACTATAAATAAAATCAAAATGAAAGAACTAACCTTGAGGAAATTCCACACATTCTGTTCCATCGAATTTGAACTGTTTTCAGCTTTCATGGTACAAAACTCCAATAGTTGATTACTTTTGAGTGCTTCCTCTAACTGACTTGACCGAGCCAAAATATCTGTTTCAGTGATGACTTGGCTAATATGAACCTGACGTGACTGGGGTTGAACTCCAGCTGCTGGACCCTGGTTTGGAGTATTGCTTGGAAGTGTATAGTCAAAACTTACCAATTTTCCTCCAAACTGAAAAAATATTATGATAAATTTATTAGTGTATGGTATCATACTTTTTAGTTTCTTTTTAAAGAAACTAAAAAGTCCAACTAGTTTTATAATTTGATATAAACATCATTGGAATTTTTCTTGTGAAACAAACGTCAGTCGTTTTGGGAGGAGGAGGTATTATTTTTGTCAATAAAGTTTCAAAATTACATTTAAGACAATATTTGAGAAGAAATCAATCAAGTTCAGACAGATTAACATTTAATTCTTTTTCAATGTTCTTGAATTCCTTTACATAGATTTTTATAAATTTAATCATTATGGATAGAAATAATTATAGACAAAGAATATGTAGGCAAAATATCTATTAAATAAAATCTGGAATTCAACATAAATTCTGAAAAAAAATTCTATAGATTTTGTTCTTAATTTTTATAAGTGAAATTGGTGAAGCAAGAAAATAAAGAATAACATGTGAACAAAAACTAATACAGTGAACTGTTACAAAGATGTAAACTGATTTTGATAAATCATTACTTTAATCAATTACAACTAAATATAACAAAATAAAAATATCAATAGGTATGGCAACCATAGTTTTCTATAACTTTGAAATTAACAAATTGTAAGGATTTGTTGCAATTATGAAAAAGAAAAAATTCCTACTCACTGCAAAATTAGCTCCAACAGGTTTGCGTAACCATTTTGGTGGCTTCTGTAAAGGAATTATAGTGGATGCATCACGAGTAACAGGATGAGCATTACCAAAAGGATCAGTGTTAAAAGATTCGGCAATCTGAAAATAAAAAAATAAAAAAAAGAGAGAGATTAAGTTTTTCAAAAAATAATTTAAGAAACATTTCAGAAAGAATAACTTTAAACACAAGGACATTTTCATAACAAAAATACCTGAAAATCTTACATGATATTCCAAAATTTAAAAAAGTATCTAAAAAAAAAAAAAAAAAAAAAAATATTCATAAATGCATTAGAAAAATTTAACTTTGCCTAATCTTTTATGAACTAGTATGCTAAAGGCTATGCCAAGATATTTAATTTTTGGAGAAATCAAAGTGAATTTTTTTCAGAGACCAAACACAAATACGGCAATCTGGATTAAGGTATAGCTTAGCCGTTATATAAAATCTGAAATTAATTTTAACAGACATAACTAGAATAATAATCTAGCTCTTGGCAATTCGGATCACACTGTAGTATCTATTGATATTTCTTTTGAGTCATTAGAAAAGAAATTCCTATTCACAAGATTTCTTCTGTTATCAGTTACTGATTGCAATTCATTTTGTGACTTTATTTGAGATGCCCCTATGATTGATATTCTTAACCTTTCTATTGAGAATTGTGCCCCAGAGGTTTCTTCTGGGGTTAAAGCCAGCATTAATGATTTTGTACCTTATCACTAATATCAGAGGAAACCACAATTTTCTCCTTGGTTTGCACCAGCCTGTTCAGCTGCTATAGCCCATAGGAATCACTTTTTTCCAGGTATACGAGCATAATAAGTTTGATCACAACACCTATTGGTGACTGCTTGAATTATAAATGTGTCCTTAAAGAGATTAAGTTTTTGTTTGCTGATAGAATGAGGCACCATGTAGCCTCTAACTTGTTTGATTCATGTGACTCCTCTCTTCCCTCAATTTGAGGTGTTACATCTTCTGTTGATAAAGCAGAATGTTGTACTCGTAAATTCTCTTTAAATTCTAATCTTGACTCATCTGGAGTATCTTTGCCTGACTTTCCACTTAGAACTGAGGCTCTATTGATTGGCATGGATATAACTCCATGGTTTCTGTTATCATTTCTAAAATAGATCCTCACAAAGCATGTGAACTTGATGGTTACCTGCAATAATCCTTAAGAAATGCTCTCCTGAACTGGCTCCTATTCTCTCTAATCTCTACACTAAATGCTTTGCTGCTTCTTGCTTTCTTGCTTGTTGGAAATCCTCTTCTGCATTTCCAGTCTTTAAGAACTTATGTTGACCTAATAGCCTTCTACATCTTTTTGGTAAAGTACTAGTAGCTCTAATTAACACCGGATTGATTAAGCATCTCACATCGCAGGGTTTTCTTTCAAATAAGCAATATTGCTTAAAGAATCTATCAAGTTTTAGATAAGAATGATGAAGCTTGGGATGTTGCTTTGGATATGTTGCAGGCATTTGACAGGGTTTGACATACTAGTCTTCTTCACAAGTTGAAAGGTTATGGTATTTGTGGACAAACTTTTGAACTTTTTCAGTCTTTCTTATCAAATCACAAAATAAAAATTATCTTGAAAGGCCACTCTTCTAGATCTTTTTGCATAAATGCAGGTGTTTTCCAAGGTTCTATCATTGGACCTACATTGTTCCTAATTTAAATATTGACATCAGTACTCAACTCGGTATCTATACTAAGGACAACTATTTACTCCTGTCTTAATAGTAAGTCTGATTGGTTCAATAAAGTCAAATTGGTAGCTGATCTCAAAAATGACCTACAATCTGTTGTTAAATGGGGCAAGGAGTGACTTGTTAATTTTAATGCCTTACAAAAAGAAACGGCTCTCTTTTAATCATCTGAGAGAATCTTTATAACTTCCATCAGTGTGGCTGATGTTAACCTCAAGGAGAGTGACTCAGTGCACCTAACATTTTCAGTGAATATGAAGCGGAAAAATTATATTGAATCAATTCCTAAGTCTGTAGCTAAGAAAGTTGCTTCACTATGTTGTGCTAGACAATTTTTCTCACCAGAAGCTATCTTACATATTTATAAGTCTACCATTCATACTTGCTTTGAATATTGCTGCCACATTTGATCTGGTGCTCCTGCTATATATTTAGAGATTCTTGATAAAAGCCAAAGAAGAATCTGCAATGTTATTTGTCCTGACTTGGCATCTCAGTTTGTCCCTTTTTCTACCACCATAATATAGCTTCTCTGTGTCTTTTCTATAAATACTTTCATGGTAATTGTTCTGATGAACTTTCCTCTCTGGTACCTAGGCTTTTTGAATTTAAGTGCAGTACTAGATTGGTGGCAAAGGTCTTATCAATTTACAGTTGAAATGGCTATGTAATCCTACATTCTACGCTAACAGTTTCTTCTATCATACTTCTCACTTGTGGAACTCTCCAGTTTCCTGCTTCCCAGTCAACTTTGATTGTCAAAAATTTAAATGCAATACCAATCATTATCTTCTGTCTTCATTCTTATTCTTTTGTCCTCTCTCTTTAATAATATTTTTTCTCATATTCTCTAACACTTTTGCATCTTAGTGGTTTTATTGCCTTGCTTGGGGTGAAATGATTAAAAAATGGCTAAAGTTGATATTTGAAAGTGAAATATGTATTTTGAGTTGGTCACATAGAAGATTTTTTTATATTGCTGGACAGCAAAAATTTTAATGTAAACACCAATATTAAATGTATATATTTATTTCTATATAATGAAAAGAAATAATTTTTATATCAGATTTTTCTCCAATTTTTCAAGTGTAATAATATAGTTATTAGCATTAAAAGATAAGATTTGGGGTGGGGGCATTAGAAATATTTAGTTTTTCCACTTTCACAGAGACTTTTTGCTTCAAACTGACTGTATATATAGTGTGAAGATAAAAGTATATTAGGACATTTATATGAGGAGAAAGGTCATTCTAACATTTTTATTTCTTTTTAGACCTTTCACAAAGCTAATTCCTTCTTTCTTTAGTAATTTTATCAAGATAAATTTTACCTTCAAATGTCATTGATATCAATTGAAAAGTTAGAACTTTTTTTGTAATGTTGCAGTTTTATTGCAAGTTATTTTATAATGACATCACACACATTATGAAATGGACAAAGTCTGACAATTTAAGACATTTTTTATGTTTATAGATAAACATACAAAATGTCTTAAAATTATTTTATAATGTTTTAAAATATTTTACTATTTTCCAACTCTTATTAATGTCATTAAAGTGGAGTCTACTTGGTTTTCAGATATAATTTTTAGTTCAAAACTACCATAGGTTTCATTTTCATTTAATAATTTTGAATAAAGTTTGTTTGATTATACAAGAGTTGAAAAAATATATAAGACTTTGTTGGATTATACAGATATTGAAAAAAATATATGTAGAAGGAAATACTAAAACGTTCTTTACCTAAAGGATTCCAAAATAGATTTTTATGTTTGGTCATAAGTTTCCAGCACGATAAAAAAAGGATTCAATAAAGTTTCAAAGCTGACACTTTTAAATTGAAACAAAGAGGATGAAACTCAAATATTGTATGATCAAAATGTTGTCTATAATAAACACTAATAATGAAATATTTATTATTACTTCAGTTGATAACATTATCATTGTAACAAGATGTAATTCTACACTCACCAATGTGAAAAAATTCTTGTTTGCTGGTATACAGTTCATATGATTAAAATGAACCAGTCAAGGCTCATGTCCAAATTTAGTATTCAAAATTATAAGCTACAGTCCACTCCTTGTAAAATGGATATAAATCACATAGATACAGTTAGCTGATGTTAAGCAGTATTGAGCTAAAGTAAGTAATTTAGGTTATGACAAGCAACCAAACTTGATCTATGTTACAAAGTTATCACAGCACCTGGAGATTTATGTATTTATAATAAAATAATAATGCTAGTTATTAATACTAGCAATTAATGTATGTAAAATATAGCTCAATATATATCAAATTTAAGAGACCCTCTGCTAACAAAATGCTCAATATTCGGTTAGATTGATAATTATTAGATATAATAATGTTCAATATTTATCGAAGCTGACTCAAAGTTTCAATGACTCCTCAGGATTTGAGAGTTAGTATATATAAATATGTGTTTATAAAAAAAAAACAGTTTTTTTGTGATCAAAGTAATCATTCTTGTCAAAAATTCTGATGAGTGATTGAAAAAAAAAATTTACAAAATTCCAAGTCAGCTTTTATAAGTATTGTACATTATTATATCTAATATGATAATGTGGGTGTGCATATGTGCATACATTTAAAATACAGAAAATAAAATAAAAATTAGCTACCTTATTTGTTGATGGACTAGGACTTTCTCCACTCATGAGTGAATGAATAGTGACATGACCATCAAATGATGCACTTGAAATGATTCCAGGATTTCGAGGACACCACTGAACATCAAAACTCCACTGGTTACTTGTTTCAATTTCACAAACAACCTGAAAATAATGAACAAGAATTCTAAAAGTAAATAGAAGGAACATACTACTTAAAATAATAATGTCTTTTCCCCCCAAGATACAGCTTAAACAATACCCCAACCAATTTAGGAATATATTGTACCTTGATTTCCTGCTGATTGCAGTATCAAATTTCATTAAAATGGTGTTCTTGAAGTAGGGTTGTTTTTCTGTTTTTACAACATTTTTAATAGGAAATTCAGTATTTGTTTTTGATACATATTCTTATATCAATCTGCATGTATAAACAAATGCTTGCATACTAGATTCCAACTATTATGTGTGTGAAAAATAATAAACAATTATAAGAACATTATTAAATAAATTTAAATATACATAACACAACAGATTCACTACACTAGAACTTTTTTTTTTTATAAACAAATATCTGCAGATGTTTGGCATAGATGAAGAGGCTATGTGGGTGCATCATTGTAAAACGTAATCTGTATGGCTGGAAAATTGTCACATGATTTGATGGTAAATAAATAAATAGATGTTTGCCACTATTACTTATTTTGAAATAAATGTGAGAAAGAAAGAAGTATGTATAATAAATTAATAAGAAAATGTGATACAAGAAAAATAACCAATTGACTCCTGAAAAGGTTAAATTTATGATGCAGAAGGGACAAAATATGCCATCAGTATAAAAAAAATCAGAAGGATGCTATTTCCCATTGCTGACCAAATAAAGACCACACAAGAATTAGAAGATATGAAAAAGTGGTTAAAGTAAGTAATCCCAGCCAGGAGCCTTTAAACTAAGAAAATGAAACTAATGATGATGAGTCAATGGAAAATAGAGAGAACATGGAGTATACTGATGTACACCATAAAGAACAATAACAAGATCACAATAATAAACAAAACAGATCTAGATCTCCCAGAAAGAGGGCAAGAGAAGGAGGTCAAAGGATAAATGAAATTGAAGCAGCATAAAACTCCTTCATTTCCATTAGATGTAGTGACATTGAAATAAGTCTTGCCTCATAAGCACATACAAGGTTCCCACAGATCTGTGTAAAAAAAAAAAAATTCAAGGACTTTTCCAAGACTATGTTAAGAATTTTCAAGGATTGAAACTGTCACATGCACGCACACTCACAAAGTGAGTGTCCATCAATTTCAAAAACACAAACTTTTTGATTTAGTTTGACATGAAATGTTCACAGAAAAGCTACAGCTGGTTCCAATAATTCATGTCTCATGGATCATTTGAAAACAGTGAAGAAATTAGTGTTGAAGGCTAAAACACAACTGAATGCAGACCTGGTTATGTTACACATTTTGTGTAGCATTCTACAGTTTAGAGTTTTACTACACTTGAAAATTTTGAATTATATACTTAAATTGTTACTGCTATTTCAGTTATCTAAAATAATCATGGTTTGTAAATATTACAAAAATTTCTGACTGCTGCACATTTCCTGTGAAGTTTAGTATAATGGTTTTAATGAACAAAATTACAAATAGAAATTTTCACAAAATGACTACACATTTTAGCTACCCCTATGACTCATGTCTTTCACTGCACAGAACACAATAACATTTTTTCAGTTCATCTAGTTTAGCATTCAGCTCCTCTTCCAATTTTGATATCTCTATGGATTTGTCCTTTGCAGATCTTCACATGGAATTGGACTTTGTGATAAGTGTGAAGTTTGGAGTCTGTTGAGCTTTCTTTGAATAGCTGTCAGCTGGCTTGTGCAACTTTCAAGCTTGTGTTTTTTGGTCTTCAGTTCTATTTTCATAAGCATAGATTTCTGTTTTTTTCCAGATGCTTCTTCCTGCCTTTTTCATCTCAGCCTCAAGATATTAGTTGCATGCTGTTCTGGCATTTGAAGCACTGCAGTGAAGAGCCTTGGCCATGGGAACATTCCCAGCACCTCCAACTGTGGCCAAATAGTCCGTGACAATGAGTTGTGCGACCAGAATCTGCTGTCTCATATTTTCAGTAGTAATTTCCTTATTGACCGAGAAATCTCTCTCCACTGAGGCCTGTCCACAAGAGAGAACTAGCAATTTGCAAACAACTTTCCACAATTTTTGATATTCTTTGTTGCTAGACAAAGAGTAGTAGAACAAAATGTCCAGACTGTCTCCATGCTTGCTGAAATTCTTGAAAACAATATTCCAACAGCTTCCTCCTCGAACTCTTTGTACTGATTGATGATGTCATCACAATCAGAGTGGCTGACTCGTTTTCTATCTATCATGTGGGAAAGACATCTTTTTAAGACTGTCTTCCACACACACACATATATATATATATATATATATATATATAAATAAAAACTTTGCTGCTACAATTAAGAACTTTATTACTATACTCATAGTTGACTTTATTTATTTTTGGCTTTAATTCTCTTAGATAAATGGATTTTAAGTTTTTACTTATTATTTTGGTGTAATATAGATGTATTTTCAACCAATATCTGTCTAAACTGTGAATGTTGATATGAGTGTTCCTTTAAATGATGTAAGATTGAACGATGCTCATCCAAGTGAAATGTAAGCCTTCTCGTCAGCATCATTGGAAAGCTAACATACATATTAACATTTTTATCAGCGATGTAACATTTAAATTGATATTACAATGTTGTACTTTTGTAAGATGCTAGTTGATGGAGAAGAATTGTTTTTGACAACTAGATTGGTTGTATTAAATTTAGTATAGTATACAACCAACCTCAGTTTTTTAATTGAATCACTATTAGTGTTTAGGAGTCTCTTTAGAATTTTTCTCTCCTGCTTACAGTTAGAATGCATTTGATTACGGTATAGTAATTTGATATGTTTAGAGTTCTTTGATGATGTATTGTATTCCTTTTTATTTATGTTTATATTCCTAACTTGTTCATCCAATTTGATCATCAATTTGAAAGAAAATTTTGGTATTTTTCTTTATCAATTTTCTATGGCTACCAAGAAATTTATTTGACTCGAAAGGATTAAAACAAAAATAAACAGAAATAGTATGTCTAAATTATTTAACCAAACTTGTTTGAATATATATATATATATATATATATATATATATATATATATATATATATGTATGTATGTATGTATGTATGCTTTTTTGCTTTTATTAATATTCACATCATATATTTACATTCACCAAAATAAATATAAAATTATCAACTTACTTCTCCTCCTTGTACAGTAGTATTAGGATTCCAACAAAGAATTTTGTTGTCTTTGCCACAACTTAACAACAAATCTGGATCTTGTGGACACCATGCAAGACTTAAAATTCCTCTAAATATTGTGAAGAAAAAAAAAACAAAACAAAAAGAAAAAGCAATGTTTTAGATTAGAAAATAAAAATGGTTTTCATCATTACAATTATAATACAATTTTTTACAAGGGTGGACAGAAAACAAAAATAATACCTCTTATAGATTTTATTTTTTAATTCCTTGTCATGTGATGTATTAAGCACTATAAACAGGGTGCGATGGATAAATTGTCACAATGTTATATTTTTTAAATTTTGCCCATGCATTTTGTTTGATTTTGTAGACTGCACAGTATAGTAGAGTCAGTTTGGCACCATCTGTGAGAAAAAAGCACCATGACACAATTCACTCTGCCAGAAATTTGGAGATGACATGCTATACTGCTTGCATTCATGCCGGAAGCTCCAATACAAACATTTCAATCTGAGGACAGTGCTGAGGATTCAGAAAAAGTTGAATGAGTCTAATGGTGATTATGAAGGTATGGCAGTTTGGAAAACTCACTCTGATTGTTCTGATAAGAAAAGAACTTCCAAATTTGTTGGCAAGATCCAGGCCATGATTGACAACGACTACTCCAAGTGAATCAGGTCCATAGCCAGGGACACAGGAGTGCTTGAGTTTCTTATCAGGCAAAAAAAAAAAAAAAACTGTCCAAATGTTCTATGACTCCAAGCAAATGCAATCTTCATGACCTGAAGATTGCATTCAAGCATGAAAGATTGTAGCCACTGTGTTGACCTCAGTGTCCATTTTTATATTTACACATGCTCTACCCTCAATATCAAGCACTTTATTGATAAATATAGCATACCTTAAAACAGTATATATAATTCTATAAATAGTTTATATATGTGCGGTGCTTATTAGGAAGTGCTTAACATCAGTGATAGAGCTAACATATTTAGTTGAATGGATGAGTTTGTGACAAACTCATATCCATTCAACTATATATATATATATATATATATATATAAACATATATACACAACATTTGACCTACTGTAATTTCAAAACAGCAGTTTAAACAACACACACCCCATTATGACTATATACAAAAATTAATTAGTGCTTTAAAAAATGTATTCATTTAATTTCAACCAATATTGGGTAGTCCAAAAACTTTATCTTTCTCAGCTAACAATTGCTTAAAGTCCCCTTTGGAGTATTCCAGGTAATTGAACTTTTATCATGAAAAAAATAATCTGTAACTGTAATAAATGTAATCCATGGGTTTGGATTGGAAGGAAGTCTTTTATTATTTGCTCGGATGAATATAGCAGATAAGTGTAAACTTCTCAACCAAGCTGTAACAATATTTGCTTTGTCAGCAAAGAAATATGTGTTTTAGCATTATCCTAATTGAATATCATTTAACTAATTACTGACTCCTATCATTGACTGCTGCTTTCAGTTTTATCTAATTGGGAGCAATGCTTGTTGAATCAATCATTTGAATCTCTAGAAGAGCCTAGTAAAAGACATCCTTCCAAGTCCACAATATACACACAGCTTTACATTATGTGAATGAAGAACAGCTTTTGGTGATCCAAGTTGTTCAAAAGTATCCACTTTATCATTTGTTACTAAATAAAAAAAAAAGAACATTTTGTAGAAGTGGCAAATTGCATAGAAATATTGTTCAAAACTTTTCTTTTTTTTTAAACTAATATGGAAGCCACTCATATAAGTGATTATTCTGGTGCAAATGATTTTCAATACTTGATTCAGATATTTTAATTTGGTTAAACCCCACATCATATAATGTTGATTATTCTCATATATTGAACAATCTCAAATGGTTTGAGTGTAAAGTATCATTCAGTGAAAAATTTCCAGAATGAAATTTTGTAAACAACTTTAGACATGTACAATACAAAACTCCTTTTTCTATGAAATACACAGAACCTTTTGTATTTGACTTACATTCTTACCTTTCTTAAAATTAAAAAGAAAAAATAGTATGTTGAAAATTTTTATTTTATTCTATCTGAAAAGCAATTAACAAAAATATGCCAATTTCAACAATTGTTTCAAAAAATGTGTGCTGATATAATGCACCCAAAATCAACTTTTTTTGAATGAAGTTAATTAAAACTAAACATTTCTAATGCAAACTAAAACAACCATTTTTAGACTACCCAATACATTAAGTATACAAAACAATGCTCTCTCTAGGACATTTACAAAGACTATGATGGGTCTATGTAGTGAATGTTTGATCATAGACTGAGATTTTTTTAGTGCTTAATTACCTTTTTTTTTTCCAACAATGTTACTTAGTTAAAAGAGTTATGAGAACATCCTAAAAACAAAATCTAAAATATTTTTTTACTAACCTTTGGTGTTTTTCAAAAACCCGCAGAGGTGATGTGGCATAACGAAGGTCCCATAACTGAATGACTGGAGAATGATCATCTTCTGATGACAAACAAAGTTGTGTAGCTATTTCTGGATTCCAACTTATTAAATGACTTTTGATCTGAAATATGAACATTTTATTCATTATATTTTACCTAATTACATTTTTAAGTAAAATTAAATTAAACTTTATGACTGATTATGTAAGTGTTTTTCATACAGGTCTGAGGTAGCATAACATCTATCAACATGGAAAATGAATCAAGTCTCCAATGGTTTCTGCTATCATCTCTTATTTGGATCCCCACTAAGCATGTGGTCCCGATAGTATCCCCATAATAGTCCTTAAAAGAATGAGCTCTTGAATTGGCTCCTGTTCTCTCTCTAACCTGTACAATAAATGCTCGCTGCCTCTACCTTTCCTACTTGTTGGAAATCGTCCCCTATTGTTCTAGTCTTTAAGAACACAGGTGAATCATTTGACCCTTTGAACTATTAAACTATTAGCCTCCAACCTCATTTTGGCAAACTACTAGAGGCCCTAATCAACTCTGAATTGGTTAAGCATCTCACATTGCAGGTCCTTCTTTCAGACAAGCAATATGGTTTTCTCTTCTCTAGGTCAACTGCTGATGTACTAATGATTATTGCTGAAAGGGTCTACCAAATTTTAGATAAGACTGGTGAAGCTTGGGCTGTTGCTTTGAACATCTCAAAAGTATTTGACAGGGTTTGGCATACTGGTCTTCTTCAAGTTGAAAGGCTATAATATTTGCGGACAAGATTTTGAACTGATTCAGTCTTTCTTATCAAATCACGAAATGAAAGTTGTCCTAAATGGCAACTCTTCTAGATCTGTTTGTACTAATGCAGGTGTCCACCTGGGATCTATTCTTGAACCTATGTTTTTCTTAATTTTCATCAACGACCTCTCTGATGACATCAATTGTCAACTTGATACTTATGCTGATGACACACCCATTTATTCCTGTCTCAATAGTAAGTCTGAATGTTTCATAAGGTCAGATTGGCAGCTGATCTTAAAAATGACCTACAGTCTGTCGTTAACTGGGCAATGAATGGCTTGTTAGTTTTAACACCACCAAAACAAAACTTATCTCTATCACCTGAAAGACTCCTTCCAACCTCCCATCAGCGTGGCTGATGCTAACCTCCATCAGAGTGACTTGTTGTGCTTTCTTGGGCTAATATTCTCAGCTAACATGAAGTGGAAAGATTATACTGAATCCATTGTTAGGTCTGCTACTAAGAAAGTTGATTCACTGTGTTGTGCTAGACAATTTTTCTCTCCTACATTTTACATATTTAAAGTCTGCCATTCATGCTTTGAATATCTGATCTAGTGCTCCTGCTATATATTTAAAAATTCTTGATAAAATCCAAAGAATCAGCAATATTATTGGTCATGACCTGGTGTCTCAGCTTCAGTCACTTTCCCATTACCGTAATGTAGCTTCCCTGTGCCTTTTCTAAATACTCTCATGGTAACTGTTTGGATGAACTCTTTGCTATGATACCTAGACTTCATGAATGTAAGCACAGTATTAGATTTCCAGCCAACTTCAATCTTCAAAACTTTAAATGTAATGTCAATCTTTATCTTCTGTCTTCTTGATTACTCTTTTGTTGTTCTCACTCCTTAATAATCTCCCTTTTTTTTTTATTCTTTCACACACAGTAACCCCTTGTGTCTTAGTGGATTTACTGCCTTGCATGGAGTGATATGATAAAAAAAATTAAGCTGCTTGTGTTCATAGCACACAAATACTTATGGAAGTAACACAAATTCACCTCTGCTAGCAATGGCACACATCCAGTTATGACAAAAGTCTCAGTATTGGTATGCCATAATATCTTGACCCACCAAATGATGTCTCATTTATAGTTTTTTTTTTTTTTTTTAATTCATATTTAAGTTGACTTTTGCACACCAAATTTATTTGCTGAAGTAATTCTAATAGATACTTATAAAAACAAAAATATTTTTAAAAAAATAAAAAAAATATTTAATCTCAGTAGTTTGACTAGGTTGACTGGAGAATTCATCACAGCAGCTTAAAATCTTAGACTTTTTGATTAGACAAATGTAGGAACATTTATTAGAAATTTTTAAAATTTATTAAATTGGTATATTATGAATTGATATTTCAAAACTTAATAACTGTTGAAAATTGATTGTAGTTATTAGAAAAACTACCCAATTTTATGAAACCAGACATTACTGCAAAACTATGGAAACAGAAAAAAAAACTTAGAATAATTATATTGAGTAGAAGTGAATTTAGAAATAGCAGCAACACAGAGACATTGCTGCTACTAGAGATATAATAATGATTGTAAATTAATTTGATGAGTCTATATTTTATAGAAATTGTCTGAATAAACTTTTGTTTTTACTAAAAACAAATACTTACCCCAGACATACTGTCACTAACTTTGATAATAGGTTCATTTTTTCTTAAATCCCATACAACACATCTAGCTGAGAATGTAGATGCTAGAATATGTTGTACTTGGCAGTTCCATGATATACATGTTACTTCCTCTGGAGGCTAAAAAGAAATACATTTTTCATATAAAACATTTAGCAAAGAAACTGAAGGTATATTCTTGACATTTGGGATCTCAAAATATTTATGGATTATCAATTTTATTGATTTTTCTTACAGCTAAAAATATGCTTACATATTTGAATTAAGAATACTAATTTATAACATGAATTAGTAAGGATATCTTTTTATATATTTATATTTTAAAAACACTCAAAAAGTTGAATTAAAATTAGAACTGAACATTACCTTGGAAAAGAAAAATTAATACTTTTGCAAATTATAAAATTCATTTTTTTTATTCAAAACCCAGCTGATAGATAATTCATGAAATTCAATTTATAAACAAAATTTACAAGGAGAATACTTACCATTGATTTTGAGCCTGGAGACATTGGTGTATCTGGTTTATTTAAATCCCAGATATAGATTTCTGAATCACATGCACCAGACGCTAATAAATTTGCCTGTAAAAATGTTATTAAATTCTAACTAAAAATGACTTATTACTTTGTAAAAAATTGCAGCAATAAGTTTGTCATGCAACCAACTTATTTTATATATAAAAGAAATAAATTCATGATGTAAAAATCTGTGTCCAGTCAATAGTTTGCTTTGATTTGAAATTATCATACCTAAAGTACAATTCAAGGAAGTATTTCATATTAAAGTTTTCAGCAGTAATATCTCCATTGAGTATAGAGAAATCAACATTGTTTTTTTTCTTTTTTATTATATTTCTGTGTATAACAATAAAACTCTACATATTCTTCAAGTGTAATAATAAAATTTCTTTTAACTCTATGAAATCATTTGATTGATAATTAATTCTAACTAGAAGAGAAATCAGTAAATACAGATAATGTATGCTTCATCTTCAGGTGATATATGTTGGAATTTCAAACTGAACTATTTATTTAGTCCACAGGGGTAGATTGTTCTAATTCCACATGCCATGCCATTTTTGGATATCTCAGTTTCAGTTATTTCTCGTTAGTAACTCAACTCTCCAAGTTTTTGTTCACCTCTGTTGATATGGAACTCACAACTCTTTGGGTCAAGTTACTTTTTGGGTCACTTCAACCAATGCAAGGACACATAGCCCAGTGGATAAAAGCATTGGTTAAATTCAAAAATCACGATGACAAAGATGAGGACAACAAGTTGAACAATGTAAATAAATTAGTCAAGTAAATTAATCTGTAATACAAGCTAATTGCTGCGAGATGAGAGAATTAATTATGGATATATATTTGTCAAATTTAATTTAGATAATGAAATTTGCAGAACCACTAAAAACACAGCATTTCATTTCTGACTATTATTTCTCTCTAAAATAAAACAAAAAAAAAAAAAAACTCTTTACTGGTACTGATAAATTATTGAAAAATAATCAGTTGATTACAAAAAAAATGTTTTTAAATTAAAAATTTATTAAACCAAAACTATTTAAAGATACTAACACTTATAATGCAGTTTTGTAAAGTAAGTTTATTAAAGTTTATTACGCCATCTTAAAGATTCTCAATGTGTGTACCCTTTAGTCACATGGCATATATTATACTATTCTTGTAGAACAAGTGTAGATAGTGTTGAGTTGGCACTGTTTTTACAAAATGTTTTAAAATGCCATTGCACAAAAATAACAGAATTTGCTTTGCTTAACTCATTCACACAAAAATCCTTCTGAAATTCTGGTGCTGCAAAAAAACTTACTGACTCACTACTAAACATACAACATTTATGTTATATTGCTGTAGTAAACTGCAGGAGTTTCTCTGTAAAAGTGAATTGTAAGTATCAGAACCGTAAATAAGTTCGGGCCTGATAAATTTGAAACTATTTCTTTGATAATCATGTTGTGGAATAAATAAAATTTACAACTATATAAAATCTTTTGGATTATTAGTTTGTGAGTTGTTACAAAGTTACAGCAATTTACATTGGTAGGACAAAACAGATTAAAACATATTTTTATGTATTAATGACATAATTTATTTCAATAAAATGTATATAATCTTTACAAATTAATCAGAAATATCTTAACTTTTATTATACAGATTGTATGCTTTAAATGCCTTGAAAAGGTGTATTAAAAACGAGCAGCAAGTTAGGTCATACAGGAAATGGATGAGAGACATTAAAATATTATTGAAATATATACAGAAAAGTGAATTTCTTGATTATTGAATTGATTATAAAAATAACATTTTTTCACATTTGTTTTAATTGATAATTATTAGAATAAAAGTGAGTAAATCATTTATATTTTATATTACAAATTAACAGTATTAATGTACATGCAATTACTTAGTTTTAAACACTTAAAATGATTTATTATTCTAAATTTAAAGAAAACAAGAGTGAAAAAATGACCTGGAAAGGATTGAAGTCTAATGCTTTCACAGCTCCAGAATGTTTGTCTTGTCTGAAAGTGGGACCTTCTTCATTTCCACCAATAAGTGCAGCTGCATTGTATCCTAAAACGCTACCATTTTCAGAGCCAGCAATGATAACACCTGATGGATTTTCACCAGTAGAAATTCCATGGCATCCCCAAAGAACTTTATAGAACCTATCAGGATCAATCATAAGTTAAAAGTGATAGGTTTTAGTTATTTTAAAAGAATCTATACAACATAAAAGGGCTTATACTTATAAACAAAGCACAAATCAAAAGAAAAATTATTAATTGATAATAATCTTACAGCAATTTAAATTTAAAATGTAAATTACTTTGGGTAACAAAATTTTCCTTCTATTATTTATCATTCCATGTACACTAAGTTATAATGTTCTCACTCATTTCCATTGTTTACAGCAGTACTAGAAAGGAAAGTGTGTAGAGTGTGGTCATCTCACCACACAACATGCCCCAGGTCTGACAATACATAAAATGTGTGTCTTCAGACGGGGATTATTTCAAAGGTGATTAATTGATATAGCACTTTTTATAGCACTAGCTGCAATACTTTTTGATTAGACTGTGCGTGTGTTTGTGTGAGTGGATTTAAACTTGAAATTTTTATTAATTTTAACCAGATTAAGTGATTTAATTTTATGTTTAAATTAATTTGATTTCAACTCCTGAAATAACCATCAGAGAGGTTTTAATAATTTAGTATTTCCCCTTTGGTTTGGAAGGGGTTTAGAGCCTTATTCAGTAACCTTCCTAGAGATGGTGTTTGGATAAAAGTGCCCAGCCTCCTGTGCTATGAACAGGCTAATAGGAGTAGATATGTTTGCCTATTATCTGGCCAATACTCTTACCCTGTTTATTGAACAAGAGTAGAAGTTTATCACTTGTTTCCTGTTTAGGATATGGTTTACTGGTTCTTTCTTCAATGCCCATAACTGTCTTAACATTTTAGTGATCCAACTGATCAGTGCTGTGATTTTCATTATGAGGATACTAAATTGTCAGTTTTCTGGTTGCTGCTTCTGACTGGTAGTAATGAGTCCTACTTGTGTCTGCTCATAATAATTGTAAACTTGTCCTCAAAGAGGCTAAATCTGTTTACTGATAGATTGAGACATCATATAGCCTGTAACAAGTTTGATTCATGTGACTATCCGTGTCTTTGTAATAGTGTGTTAAATAAGAGTAAGTCTTTTATATCACCACTCCTCCCTCAATCTGATAGAGACAAATGTTTTACTCATAAATTCTCTTTAAATTCTACTCTGGATTCATCTGGAGTATCTTTGACTGATTTTCCACTTAAAACAGAGTCTCTATTGAATGATATGCATACAACTCCATCGATGACTTCTGCTATTATCTCTAAACTGGATCCCTATAAAGCAAGTGAACTTGATAATATACCTGCAATAGTCCTTAAGAAATGTAATTCTTCCCAGTAAACTCTACAATAAATGTCTTGCTCCTTTTTGATTTCCTGCTTGTTGGAAATCCTTTTCTGTACTTCCAATCTTTAATAACTCAGGCAAACTGCCTGATCCTTCTATCAGCCTCTTAGCCTTCTACTGCTTTTTGACAAAGTACTAGAGGCTCTTACCATGAATTAGTTAAGTATCTCACCTCACAGAGTCTTTTTTCAGGTAAACAAAATGACTTTTGTTTCTCTAGGTCAACTGCAGATGTATTAACAGTTATTGCTGAGAGTCAATCAAGCTTTAGATAAGAATGGTGAAGCTTGGGCTGTTGCTTTGGATATCTTGAAGGCATTTGACAGAGTTTGGCATACTGGTCTTCACAAGTAAAAAAGTTATATATGTGGACAAATTTTTGAACTGATTCAGTCTTTCTTATCAAATCATGAAATGAAAGTTGACTGGATATTCTTCTTGTATGTGTCCTCCAGGGCTCTATACTTGAACCTACATTGTTCTTAATTTTCATCAATGATCTTCATGATGTCTTCAGTTCTCAACTTGGTGTCTATGCTGATGACAACTATTTATTTTTGTCTTATCTGTTCAATAAGGTCAAATTGGCAGCTGATCTCAATCCTACAATCTATTGTTAACTGGAGCAAGGAATGGCTTGTTAATCTTAATACCTAAAAAAACTGCTCTCTTTTAAATGTCTGATAGAACCCTTTTTGCCTTTCTTCAGAATTGCTGATGATAACCTGAGAGTGTCATTGTGCCTTCTCTGGCTAGTGTTTTCCACTGACATGAAGTGGAAAAAAATTATATTGAATCAACTGCTAAGTCTGCTGACAGGAAAGTTGGTTCACTGTGTCATGCTAGACAATTTTTCTTGACAGAATCTATCTTATATATTTATTAGTCCATCATTCATCCATGCTTTGCATATTGCTGCCACGCCTGATCTGGTGTTTCCATTATATATTTAAAGATTCTTGATAAAATCCAAAGAATAATCTGCAATGTTATTAGTCCTGACCTGGCACCTCGGTTTCAATCACTTTCCCACTACCATAATGTAGCTTCGCTGTGCCTTTTCTATAAATACTTTCATGGTAATTATTCTGATTAATTTTCCTCTATGGTACCTAGATTTTATAAATTTAAGCACAATACTAGATTGGTGGCAAAGTCTCATCATTTTACAGTTGAAATGACTTCTAGATGTAACCCTAAGTTCTATGCTAACAGTTTCTTCTCTTGTACTTCTCACTTTCCAGTCAACCTTGAATTTCAATAATTTAAATGCAATGTCATTTGTTATCTCCTATCTTATTAATTCCTGTTCTTTTACTCATATTCTCTCCACACTCAGAAACCTCTTACGTCTTATGGGCTGTATTGCCATGCTTAAGATGAAGTGATTAAAAATAAATTATGGATTAAAAAGCTAAATAGAAATAAGTACAGATATTATGGGGCACAAATTATCATTTTCTATCATAGTTCATTTAAATGCTAAACAAGAGTATTTTAAACAGATCTTTGGGTGAAATGCAAAGACAGTCTTGTAATTATTTGGTGGTAAAAGGGTAAGCAGTAATAGCAATGATAAACATTAAATTCATGAAAATCATTGGTAGTAACTGGAGAATAATGTAAAATGAGAATATTTAAGGATATATTATTACTATTATAATCAATAAAATGTACACAATGAAATCCTTTAATATTTTATTTATCATTTAATTCTTTTCAATATATTCCTTTTTATCAATAATTTATTTTTAAATTAATATCTTTATATTTTTTATTAATGAATTATTTTAATATTTCTATTTTCTTTTTAGTTTGATTAGCATGCTGATCTTGGTTGTTATACTCAAAAAATTTCAGCTGTCTGTTATATTCAGTAACCTGCTCATAATTTTGAACTGAACCCATTAATCAATTCACAGGGATTCCCATTTTACTTTCCATTTTTAGGGGATATCATATCAGTTAATTCTCAACTAGGCTAGCCAATTTTTCTGATTGTTCCTACTAGTCCACTATCATTGTTGCATCATCCTGGTCTACTGTACAATGATTTCAGCATTGCTCTGAAGGGTTTTCATAATCATTCCTTCTTCTCTTGTGAAATTTAATTTTTGCTTGTTTTACTTTCCAATTCAATTTGTTGGCCCATGTTTTAAGTTTACTCAAAACTGCTTCCTTAACCAGGATTATGATGTCTAAGTATGAGGTTATTGTGAATTTGACACCTTTGTTCAACATTTTCTCAAAGATACTTTACTGGCATTTGCGGATAATTTTTCCCAGGTTGATTGCGAACATTGCTGTATATAGCATGATCTTTCAACCATTGTAGTTTCTGTACCTTGACACTTACAATTCCTGCTTTTACAACTTCAAGATCCTTTTGAGTTCTATTTCTACAGGGTATGATGGGTAAATTGTTGCCATTTTATATTTTTAATGTAAGTTATTTGTTCTTGATTTTGTCGACTGAACAGCATAGTAGGGTCAGATGGGCATCATCAGTGAGAAAAAGAGCACCATGATGCAATTCACTCTGCCAGAAATTTGGAAACAGCCTGCTGTATTGCTTGGCATTTGCACCAGAAACTCCAATACAAACATTTCAGTGTTTGGGTGTCAACCTGAGAAAAATGCAGAGGATTAGTAAAGAGTCGAATGAGTCTAATGGTGATTACGAAGGTGTTTGTAGTGATCACTAGCGATGGTGACATTATGCCTCCATTCATCTTCCCACATAGCCTCAGACACAACACAGAAGCTTACATCAAGTGGCTTGAGGAGGTAGTGCTGCCCTGGATCAAGAGGGTGGCTGTTGGAAAAATCCTATGTCTGTCAACAGGACTCTGCACTATGTCACACAAGCAGGAGAACTCAGTCATGGCTGGCAGACAATTTCTTTGACCATATCACTCCTTGCATCTAGCCACCTAACTCACAGACTGCAACACACTTGATTATTATGTGTGGGGTGCAGTTGAGCGAGAGACCAACAAAACTCATTGTAACACCAAAGATGAACTGAAGGCAATAATTATGGCAGCATTCACCAACTTAACAAGGAGACCATCCAGAAGAGTTGCAGAGAATTCCAAAGTTATCTGGAGGTTGTGGGTGAAGGCAATGGCAATTTTATTGAATAAATTTACTCTTTAGTATTTCAAAATATTTTTATGTAATTTTGGTAAATATAGCTGTTAAAATGAGATGTTCATTTTTACATAATTTAGATGACAATTTATCCATCGCACTCTGTATCCATTTCTGATCTAGGAACTGTTCCATCTAGTTTGAGAATTCATTTGGTAATTGAGGTCTCATCCTGTGTCTATGACTGATCCTTTCCATAACCAGTGTGAGCCCTGCTCTCTTCACATCTGTTCATACTCTTCCATAATTCTGAGGTTACAGACTATAGTGGACACCCAAAGAAGGCCAAAGAGTACAATAACCAAAGCATAAGTATAACAATCAAGATGAGGATACTCATCTGAATAGAAAGGCATCTAAAAAATTCAAACATGTTCTATTTCTTTTATTAATGAACTATTTTTTATTAATATTTTTGTTTATTATTAACACTTTCATTGCTGCATTGTTACAAAACTGTCACCTGGTTATGCTGATCCATTTGGGGGAAAAATAAAAAAAAAATGCCATTTACTGGAAAATAATGACTACAAAAACACTGATGCTAATTTCTCATGGGTGCTGTCATTTTGGTTTTGGTCAGATGCTCTGTCATATCAAATAAGCTAAACAATATGACCAATGCATAATTTAATAAAAATTTGACACAGAATAGGCTGTACTGAATGCCATTAAATGACTACACTCATTTGGATATAACATTAAGTGCCAGTTATTTTATTTGTGGTGTCTCATATATGTGTATTGTTGACTGCAGGCAATGTAAGTTTCATAAGGATGCAAGTTCACAGGAGTGGAAGTGTTAATTATTTTCATTAATGAATTATTTTTAATTAATACTTGTGTTTTATTTCTAAAGTTTAAATTATATACAGTAGGTAAATATAATTTTTATTGAACAGACATGAAATGACAATGGAAAATCTATATGAGGTTATAAATATTTAAAAAAAATATATTCAATATAAAAAGGAAATACTAACCTATGAGGAGAAGGTAAGGATCCAACTAGTGGCATACCCAGTCCATTATCAGCCAAATTGAGACTATATACTTCAAGGGCGGCTGATGTACTGAAAAAGAAAAAAAAGAAAGTCAAATTCCAATTAATATAAAATTTAGAAAACTTCAGAGTTAAATGAGAAGAATGTAAAAGATAAAATAGTTACCTAAACGTAGCATCTAACTGTTGGGCAGCAGTTCCAGCAACTAAATAAACAGGATATTGACTGGCAGGAGACCATGCCACATTGGCAGTACGTTCTATTTCTTTTACTTTCATTCTCTGAAAAAAATAAAATAAAATCGATAGTCATTTTTCAAAACTGACAAAAATGTTAAATTATCTATTAGTACTGGTTTTTTGTTTTACTTTTGAAAGTATTCATTAGCTAAAAGTGAATTAAATTATACAAGTGAATTTAAAAAAAAAAAATTTACTAAAAATAAATCATATACAGGAATCTACAAAATTTAAACAAAATTTTGTTAAAATGATTTGGTAAAGATATACAAAGCCTTTTCAGTCATAAGTTATAAAAATTATTTTTCCTGTATCAAAACTTTCAAATTGAGATTTGTGAAGCTTATGATCAAAACTAAAAAAATATCAAACAGAAACATGAGAATTTATAAAGCTTTAATTACAATATTAAAAAAAGAAAAAATAATCACTATTGTTAGATATTACAAACCTACTAAAGTATAGGGATTATTTTTCTTTATCACATTAAAAAAGACTTAAAATTTGTTAAACAGACTTTTTCTATACTGATACCTTTTAAAAGAATTAACCATCAATTTTGCAACAGACAGGGTTATAAAACTATCTAAATAATTAAATAATATTTTTGTAAGTGTAATAATTTCTTGATCACTGAAACTTATCCAACTACTTATCATTTACAATCTGGAAAACAGGTAAGCTTTTTACTTAGTGTCATAAATCATTCTTAGAATAAAGTGAGATATGAAACTACAATAATTTCCCTTAAACTTAAAAAAGAAAAAACAATATCTGGGTTTTATTAAATATATATTTTCCTTTTACATTCCTATGTTTCTAATGATGAGAGCAATAAATATCCATAATCTTTTTTACTTCATACAACAAATACAAAAAAAAAAAAAAAAAATCAAGTCTTCTTTTTTTCAATGATAGACTAGTTAAACAACTTATTGGAAGAAGCAAGAATAATTAAAAAAAATATATAAAAAAATATATAAATAAACTTCCAAGTTAGTTTGAAGAACCAGGCGTAACAAAGCATAATCTTTAAATAAAGAAAGTCTGTCTTTTTCTCAAGGAACCAGTTTCAGTAACAGATATGCATAATGATCAACAATGAAAGGACAAAAAACAGATTCATTAGTTAACAAAGAAAATTATAAGAATCAATGCAAAGTATTTAAACAGGTAAAATGCTTCATAAAATGAGCTATCTAGAATATCTGATTGCATGATGAAGAGTTTTCACCATTCTCCTGAAACCATCTATGAGCATTTTAAAATCAAAATATTTTTTAAACTTTGTTAACATTAACAACTGTTAGTGGTATAATAAAAACATCATTAAAATGTTTAGAAAATAAATTAAAAATGCTAAAATATTCAAGCTTTAAAAATAAATAAGTACAGAAACAAATTAGTTAAATTTTACTTTTAATTTTATAAAAATCACAACTTTATTTTTATTTAAACATTTTGGCTAAATTACCTTCAATAATTTTACATGGAAATGTTCTTTTTAATTAATTTTCATGCTCAAAGTAACTTTTATCATACTTTAAGAATTGTATTCCATGCATTTATTTTCTAATAAAAGAATATTAACACATTTCAACTTTTCACAATCAAAAGTTTTATTGCTACTTCTATGGCAAATGTTCTGACAAGTTACATTCTACTAGTGCACACCTTCACTGTTAAGACCCACCATGCCATATACACAAGGGCAAATCATCCTTTCATATTACATCACTAAGAAGTTTGCTTTGTATTATGACTAAATTTTCCATGTTTGTTTATAATTTTATTAATTTTCTGTTATAATTTCAATTTAAATTATGAAAAACAGAAAAACATAGCACATAAATGTTAATGTTTCATTTAAGTTTATAAAAAATTTATAGAAAAAAAATATAATTTTCTTTGTTTATCAAAGCAAAATGAATTCTTACAATTAGAGACTAATGTTTTTGGAATTTAGAGGTAAATAATAAAACTAACTAAAGTTAAATCTTCCAATCTTTATTTGGTTTTCATTAACCAATTTAAATATAAGTATTTACGTTTTGTGTGCGTGTGTGTGTGTGTGCATGCTCTATTTATTAACAGCCAGCTACTATTGGTGAGAAGTCATTTATTTAATTTTAAGAAATTAGTTGCTTTTAGAATAAATATAATAGAATTTTAACTAACAATTTGATATCATCCTAAAAACCTTAACCAGTTATCCCAAACCAATGTCTTATCATCCATGGGATGAGTGGGGTGCAATGTTAATTTCAAATGATGTCTGCTAAAAAATATAAGCCCAAAAGAATAAAAAAAAGTGTTTGCAGATACTGATGATAATAATGAAATAATCATATACTTTTTTTTATAGTATTACTAGTATTACAACTTACAATAATTAATGAATGTTTTTATAAGAGTTAAATTAACTGAGAATAAGAAATGACTCAACTTGAGCATTTGTAAAAAAATAAAAATAAAAAACATCAGTATCAAAAACTCACATTATTTTATACAATAACTAATGGTAGTTTCAAATACATCCACTTATATGATGAGTTATTTAAATGAGTTTCTTCTATTTTTTTGAGTGTCAAATGAATGTCACTTAACCACTAAAGATGTAGAAAGTGGTGAGGAAAAAATAACACACACACACACACACCCCCTTGAGAAAGGCTAATGCCCAAAGCAAAATAAAATGAACAAAGGTGAGAATACTAGCAAGAATAATTTATCAAATGATAACATGTCAAATAACTCATCCAATAATTCTAGAATAATCAACTTTAAAAAAAAAATTTCTTGCATTATTCCAAGTTGCATTAAGCAAACCATTAATTACTCTGCAATTCTTTCAATCAGTTTATCATTGCAAACATAATGAACATTCAAATTAATGAACTTCCTTTATCATTAGATAGAAATGAGAAATTAAAAAACATTTCTGGCAAAAAGACATTACATTAAGTAAAAAGGAAGAACTGAATTACAACAAAATACATTTTATGCTCATTCAGTACAACATTCATTTTAGGGCTTTTTTTTCTCAATGTATTTTTTAGTGTACAAATAGTATTAAAATAAGTGGGTAGCTTACTTCTGTATTATAAAACCATTATCTTTTGTTGGATATATTTTTTGTCTCTGGTTGACAAATATCTAGCACAAAGAATGTTTTATGTATTTAATGATCAAATTTTGAGCATGAATTCTTCTGTGTGCCACATCCCATCAGAACATAGGCGATCATGGCTCTCCACAATTTCCTATCCTTGTGGGCCATAGCAGTTTTTCTTCATTTGCTAAGGCTATCAACCACTGTTCTGCCATCCATTCACACAAGCTTGTTGGATAAGTGGCTTTCTGCCTTCACCTATGTCTCTTGAATATGTCTCATGAGAGTTAAGTTTTCTAAACCCTCCTTCCTCATTATGGGTCCAAGGAATTTCAGTAGTCTTTTCTTGATTCTGAGTATAAGAGTTCTTTCTGTTGCCACTTTCTTTAAGACTTCTTTGTTGCTTGTTTGTTCCAACTATAGAATTCTTAGAATAACATTTCTCCAGTTTTCTCCTCATCCATGAAGAGATTGTCCAGCATTCACTGCTGAGAATGGATATCACAGAAATTTAGCACTCTTTTTTTTTCTTTTTTTCTAACCTGAATTAACTGTAAATACTACAAAGGTGTATATCAAAAGTTTAGAGTTAAAACATAACATAACAGAAATCATATTACAAATTTATCCAGATAAATTTATTTGAAAGAAATATAAATAGCGAGATTTTCAACTGAAATAACATGTCATGAACTATATTATAAAGCAAAACATTTCTAGTAAACTTGCTTTAAAAAAGAAGCCCCCAATTTTATCAAATACTTAACGAATGTTCAAGCAGAATTCACCTTAAATTTATGATATAACAATGTCCATTTTTCACTTTGAGGCAAATTCAATTTGTAGGGACAGGCCAGTTTTTAGTTTAATTGAATTCACTTATGGTAAAAGGCAGCATGAAAAATACAGGGTGATTATAAAAGAAAGTTTTAAAAATTTATTAAACCAAAACGGCTTTCAGATGTTGATAATCATGATGAACTTTTGTAGAGAAAATATTGAAGTTAATCTTTATGATTTGTGTTGTCAGAGATTTTTTGCTAAAATATGTAATTTAAACTCTATACATTTTTAATGCACAAATATAGAATATAAACATCTAAAACTGACTGCACCTTCCCAATGTGACTGAATACTGGTCTCCTATATGAATAGCAGAGATACTTACTTTTATTCTACATGGGCACATAATCTCCTGTTGTTGCACATACAACAATAGTTGGCAACCTAAGGTTATGTATACAAAAACTAATAGAAATACCTGTTACATAGCAATAGTGAAAGTTTTTATTATTAGGTTAATATTTTTTATTGAGTGTTTGGCAATGATATTCAGAAGGTACTTATTTTTTATTATGAAGTGTTAAAGGTAAATTAAAAGATGTTTGTAATAACATCATCTATTATAACAGTTATTTTTCTGTGAAGTTCACTAATCCATGATTAAGATCTTGCATACTTAATGTTTAAACAGACCATCTTGCTTTAATGTTCTTCAATGTAATGTAAAGACATGCTTTAATTTTTAAAAAATAAGGATTTTACTTTTTTCCATGTATTTATCACATTTTGTTGATCTTTTTTCAAAATAGTTGCTAATTATGTGTTTCTATATTCAGTATTTGTTATAATAGACTAAAGAGGGAAATATAAAATAAAGCAGTTACCAAATAGGACATATACATAAAACTGTTTTCATAATGTTATCATTTATAGTAATAAGAATATTTTGTAATTCTTTACAAGCAATTACGATACTTTTCGTTGTTACTTTCATAACAGTGCCACTCATCTGAAAACTATATTAAATTCAAGTTATTTTGACATAAATTTCTTTAAAATAGTTATGATAGGTTAAGAAAATTATATAGCCAATTTGTTATGAATACACTCCAACAGGTGCACAGGATTGCCTCATTAGTGATGTTATGACTTGGGGTCATGAGAAGTTTCAGGCCTTTCAACAACATATTTTTTCACCCAAGAGATCCTACCGAAAAAATATCTATTCCGACAAGTAATTCCACCAAGAATACTTTGTTTATTCTAATATCATGTATCAAGAATTTCATTTTTTTTTTAAAGGGAAAAAAGAAAAATATTTTAATTGTCTATTAATCAATTTCCTAAACTTTTATGATAACATAAAAATAATACACATTTAGTAATTACTTATTTACTTGTTTACAAATATTTAGTGTAATTCCACCAGTTCAGACTTTTATATCTAGGATATAAAGTTGAATCACCCTCATTTTCTCTATATTTCAATTGTACAGAGACAGTTCCACTCAGACAACCTCTCTCCCAAGTATATCTACTTTGTTGAACAGTCCAGCATGGGTGCTTCCCTGAACACTACAATGTTAACCTCTTCAAGTCAAGAGTCAATTATCTACCGTCTTTTTTTATCGTTCATTGAGGATTTTTCACTTCTTATCACCTTCTCATTCATCATAAAAATTTTAACAGTAACCCTCTAACTTGAGTGGCTCCCGAGACTTGTATTGGGTGAACTTTAGTAGGAAAACAAGTTGAATAGTTTTGCTGTATTCTCTGCATAGAGAAAATGTTTGCAATTTGCTTCCAACTGGTTATCATCAATCACTCTGTCTTCACTGTCATTCTTAATTGTGCTATTAATTGTTAAATAAACTCTGTTAGTGTTATGTATGTTTCTTTTTTTTGTTTTTCTGAGGCAAAAAATGAAAAATGTAATATTTTTTTCAAGATAATCAAAGGGAGGCGATTAGCACATCATGTGCTGTTCATAGAAGAGAAAATGAATCAATTTGTCGTCATCGATTTTTATATAGTGACTACTGAAACATATTGCAGACAACAGGTAAAGGCAAAAAAAAACACGATAAAGTAATCAGAAATAGGGTCTTCTATCGCGAAAAAAAGTTCAAAAGTCAGGTGCTTTAAGTGATCAAGAACTGGTATCTACTACTACTACTAATTGTGATGGCTCAACTTGTGTACCATACCCAAGAATTTTGTTTTGAATTGCACAGATCTCGAAATATCGAATTATTTATTCCCTGAAAATGAAATCTCTGTTTGTTATGTAACAGAATGTTTGAAAGGCTAAACCAAATTATTCTCGAAAAGAATGGTTAAAAAAGTTAAGCATTTTTAAGAATTGTAAAAGAAAAAAAAACATTTAGAAATCTGCAAACGTATATTTTAAAATTTGAATATTTTAGCTTTAAACTCGCCTAACGTGTAATTATTATATTTTCCAACAAAATTGATAAAATTTAAGGATATTTCTGTAAATTTCTGGTGTGAATTACAATTATGACCAAAAAATAACATCAAGACTTGTTTATTGTATTAATAATTATTGTTAAATAAAAATGCCATTTCATATATAATTAAGTATTCTTATTTCACATGGGGTAAACTAAAAAAATTTTAAGCAAATCAAAATGTTTGGATGTGATGATGTGTCCCAAATCTAAAAAAATAAGGAAAATTGAAATGTTACTTTCGAGAGACATATGATTTGCCCTTCGATATCGTTACTAATTATATCCAATAATAATGTATTGTATAGAATTCAAGCAAAAATTTAGTTAAACAACTTTTAAAATTGTAAAACAAAAAATGACTATTTACTTCTTAACAAAAAGATCAGGTTATTTTTTAACAGTTAAAAATAAATGGTCAGCAATTTCCTTTCGGTTATTCTTCTTAACTGTTGTAATCAGAAAAGATTTGCTGATTATAATCTTAAAAGCAATCAGTAAAAAGGGCTATGCTTTTTACTTTTTTCAACCTATGCAGACTGACAAATAATCTATAAACTCCGCGCTTGGTAAATAAATTAAATGTTATTATAAAAATCAAATGATAAACATGTGAAAAATAAATGCAATTGATCAACTTCAAGACATAGTATGGAAGGCATCTTTTTAATTGAATGGTAAAAATCTGAGTGAAAGTAATTTCATAATTAAATTGTTCAATTAGATTATAGATTTTGCAAAGAAATTATTGACGCTTTCAAAAGTATTTAATTCCTATTATTACGAGCACCTACGCCCATACATTTTAAAACTAACCCTGGCCTAATCTTCTTAACAAAAATACCGAGAGAATATAGATTCATACAATCAAAGAATAACAACAACAACAGACAAACATTATGACGATGTATAAATATAAAGAAGGATAACAGGTAATTCCCAATATTTTATAACGATCCAGTTTGTAAACTGATTTAAGAAAATTAAAATATAGACTAAAAAAGCGTCTATATGATAGGAAACGGCCATATTGTTTAGATGTTATTATTTGACAAGCCGGTTCTTCTTCTTCTTTTACCAAACAGCTGAGTTTTAAAGTCTTACCTGGAATAAAACACTCGCTTATATATATCCAAGGGTACGACAGTATAAACTGCCAAGTGACAGTAGTAAATAACTTATGCAAGGTTCTACAATGGAAAGAATAAAACGTGGAAGCAGGCCAAATCGTCAAAGATGACGGGGGAACACGTCGTCACACACCAACGTGGCAACCTGTGTTAGCATTCGGATACACAGGAGAGTGGAGCAAACAAGGGAGATTATTTACAAGGCCTCGCACATTATTTCACAGTATTTTCTTTGCCCACATTCATCGACCCTCATCTTCTTGTTTCACATTAAAGTGGTCTTTAATCAAGGTTTCTTTTAAGAGATCCTTTATAATAGGACAAACAGAAATTAATATTTTACTTACATCTTTGTTTTGTTTGTTGTTGTCTTCTGTCATTCAATATCTGTTTGCAGGCCAATATACCACCCACAACAGTAGCATATATTATTATCTAAAGCTTAGACATAGCCATGTGTGTTACCATTTCACAAGATGGGTAAAGATTTTATCAGGATATCTACTTATCACTAGCATGCATATATTGTATCCAAGTTAAAATCAGTATTATCCTTCAAGGTACTGAAATTTTATTTTGTATCAGCATATTTTACATAATTAATTACATGTGGACTATTGTCCTGATCTTTGTTGTTGTTATCACAATGTTGTGCCCTTCAGTCTTCATTAGGTGTAATTCCAGCTAGCCTACATGGAATTTTAAACTGAACACTTTATTTAATCTATGGGAGTAGATTGTTCTTGTTCCACTTTCTAGGGATATATTGTTTTGTTCTTATTTAGTAATGCTCATTTATTGCTCACTTCATTTCTACTGAATCCAAATACACATTGCCCAGCCCAGGGATTGAACTTGCAATTATTATGTCACCAAATTCCTGAATCAACAAGTTTATTGTATCTACTTACCTATGGCTATTTTAAATAACTTTAAAATTCATTTTGGCAGTGGTACCATAAACTTCCATATTTTCTAAAATAGATAATATTAGAAAATATGAAAGTATAAGTCATGTTTGACCACTACCAGCCTTTCTCCAAATTACTACCAATATCCACCTTATAAACAAATATTTTGTGACACTGAATATCAAAGAGATCACACTAAAGCAAATAAATAAAGATATATTACTTATTTTAAACCCTTGACTCAGTTTGGTTTATTCCAAAGTTTCCAGTAAAGAAAATCCTACAAACTTCTGACAAATCCATATCAAAGCACCCAAAATTTGGTCAAAAATTAATGTATCATGTTCAACTGTTCACAAACATTTCAAGTGAATTGGAAAGACTTAGAAAAGGGAATTTAGTTTCCTTATGAGCTTTCACTTGATAACTGAACACAACATTCTATCATCTGCAGCAGTCTTTTAACCAGGAATGTTATCCTTTCTTTTTTGCATCACATTATTACAGGTGATGAAAAATTGGTTTTGCATGTCAACAGAAAATAAAAAACAAAGTAGTCTCACAAAATGCCAGCACCAAAACCAGGACTCTGTCTACAGATGTCCTTATTTTGTGCTTGGTGGAATATGGAATGTGTTGTCCATTATCTGCTAGTGAAACATAAAAGGGCCATCACTGTAAACATTTATTGCCAACAACTTGATCAGATAAACAAAGCATTATGTTGAAAGTGTCTTGCTTTGGTAAACAAAAAAGGTGTTATTTTCTTGCATCACAAGGATACACTTTGCAAAACAAACCCAAGAAAAAAAATCATTAAGATGGGAGGTTCTTTCACATCATTCAGATTTAACACCAACAGATTTTCATTTATTTCACTGACTACAACATTACATAAGTGGCAGATCATTCAGAAACAAAGAAAAAATTAAAAACAGTCTTTCAAACATTTTTGGGGGAAAAACAGATTTCTTTTAACATGGATTCAAAATCGTGCCTTCTCAATGAAAATAAAGGTGATTACATATTTGATAAATAATATTTAAATAAATTTAACTTGCATTTTTTATATTCTTTCTGATAAAATGTAATTACTTTCTGAACGCCCTAATGTAAGTATAAAATATTTTAACTGAATAAATCTTACTTCCATCAACAATTATAAATATGTGCATATACAAAATAATAGGTTATATCATGGAATACTTGCACAAGAAAACTTTGTTATTAGAGAAAAACAAATAAAATTCAGTTAAGTTTTCTTAGAATGTAGTGCTTTCTTGAAAGGCAATGATATTCAGAGAACTTAAAACAATTACTTGGTGTTTATTTTAGTGCATCATTTTACTGACAATTATTAATTTGATTTGATTGATATGTTTTTTTAAAGCTTATCAAACCTTTGCAGGTTATTTAAAGCCAGAAAATATTCTTAGATCATAAATTTTTTTTTTTTAGATAATAATGATTTAATGATACAAGTCTTACTAACTAACCCATAGCTGGGGTGAGAAGTGGTAGATTCATACCTTTCCCAGGAGTATTTGCATTTAAGTGAATATAACAAACCCAACTGAAAATTGGAACTTAGCTCACCAATTAACAATTCTGAGCCATTATCCATTACACCACCTGCACATCCAAGATTACAGTGACTGGTATTTCCAAGTAGTCATCCATCTTAGTACTGACCAGTTGCTTACTTTTGATGATCATATGAGAACTGATGTTTCAATGTGATATGGCCATAAGCCAACAATTATTGCCATATGACACAAAAAATAGTCAGTGTAATATTTAAGCAAATGAGCTATAAATAATCAACAGTACCTTTTTTAATAGCCAACTGCCACTTAAACTATTGCTAACATAATCATCAACATAAATAACATCATCAACATAAATAACAAAATAATCATTCTAAGTAAGGTAGTTAACCAAAATAAGTGCTGCATAATTTGTTATGTTTTTTAAATATCTATTGATATTAGGATCCAGGGTGCACATAAAATTGGCCTAAATATAACTAAGAACCAATTATATTGTTAGTGTAGATATTAATTTTGTTTTTTCACTAAATATAAAGTCAAGGATGGGATTGTTTTTAAAACTTACATTAATGTAAATTTGTTGCTAAATGATGAAGTCAAAAAATTATGTTATAAAAAGATATGAAGCATTAAATGAAAAGAAATCTAATATATTAATTTAAAAAAAATCATTTTGAGTCTTTACACATATTCAGAGTGCACCAGGTAACTGAGAACAGATTATAATATAAAGAAAAGCAAAAATATTCAATAGAAAAAAATCAGGTTTATTTTCAAAAATATTTGTAAACATCTTCAACATAGAAAAACAGAAAAAGTTTATTCAATAAAACTATACCAAATGTTTAATACTTAATGTGGCCTCAAGAGTGATACATGTTCATGTCATCCATAATAGTTACCTTCAACAACTCTTTGGTATTATGGGACCACTGATTGGTCTCCCTCTTGAAAAATATTCCAGTACATTCAAATCAGGAGGACTAGAGGGTGTGTGGGAATTAAATAAAAATACAAAATTAAATAAAAGTACAAAATTAAATAAAAGTACAAAATAAAATAAACATTAAAATCTCCCAGGAGTCCTCTGACAGGAAAGACAATTTACGCATGTGCAAAAAAAAGAGAGATTTCCTGGCGCCAAAGATAAACTAGAAGAATCTATCTCTTTCTCGGTTGGACCTTTGACTGGTGAACACATGCCAACTGTTCAGGAAGAAATTCCCCAACAAGAGCTTGGTGGAATCCAGAAGAAAGTAATAAAATCAGTGTCCTAAACTGTCCCTAGTGTATCCTTCCGTCTTTTCTTTGTCAATTTATTTCAACGATGAAGGCATTCAACAAGTTTTTGGATGTTTAGGTGAAAGAATCAACCCAGCACTAATAGCCATAACATCCACAGGTGAGAAGTTTGTGAAAATTCCTGACCAGCCACTCCTGGGTTACATGGACCATGTGGGAGAGAGCAGAGTCCTGCTGGAATATGTACAGGACACTCCCTTGATCAAGATTTGACTGCTGTATCTAGAACTTCTGTGTATATGGTCATATTGAACTTGATGCTCTGTGAGAAGAAATGGGGTGGTATGACATGGTTTTCATTGTTTACAATACTCAGAACCATCACAGATGATATGAGTTTGGTATGCATCACTGTTGGTATCTACATGGGTACACATAAAGCTATCACTCATTCCTCCTGTTCATCTGGCCACTTTCAAGAAGATGGCTATCTCCAAATCACTGTGGCTGGCAGATAGTAACATGAGAATAACATGCTTTTACATTTCCTACATCAGATTGGAAGCTGTATTATTTGTACTCTTAAGACATCTGAAAGAGAAATGAGAATGTCAAAATTTTGTTTATGCCATGTCACATTACATTTAGTTTTCTTTGATTTATGGCCTGTAAAAATTGTATACCTGGCCCAATCTGTACATTGTGTATGATCATAACTTGTTAGGATTCCTGCTGTTCAACAAAAACAGAAACCACCTTTCAAACAGCACAAACTGACTTAATTTTAAGTCAGCTACACTTATCCCTTTCTGAAACAAAAAAAGAACAATTAAAAAGTCATAAAAAATGTTTTCTGATCACTCTATGATGCAATACCAATTACTATGATGAAATCTCTCATAATTTTTGTATATCATGCTAGGCAAAAGTGTAAATAAGTCCTCCTTTTTATTTTCACAATGCCTCATCTCTGTTGTCATGTGTTACCTCTCATTTTTTTCTGTTATCTTGAGATCCTAGATAACATATTTGAATAAGTCTCTTTTATACTCATTAGAATTGTATCTTCTGCAATAAATTTGATACAGAATTACAGAAGTGGAAATTTAGTATTCACTGTAACATTTTACACTTCAATCCTTTATGTGCACTCAGGAGGACATGGTCTTGTTACTACATGCTTCACTGAATGCCACGTTTAATTTGGTCTGTCTCCATTGGTCCATCTCTGGCAAACCCACTCTGCACTAATCCTGTATTTCCACATTATGTTTCAGTATCCACAGAAATGTCAGTGAAAAACTGCTGAAGATCAGGCTTGACTCCTCTCTGTCCTGGCTATGCTTGTGAAAGACTAAACTCACCAGTGTCACTGGTAAACTTAATTAACTTCAACAACACTCATTAACAAGTGTAAAAATAACAATTTTTGTTAATGGCACTAGGATTAAGATAATGAACACATAAACAAAATGGGTTTGAAGAAGTTTCCCTATATATATAGTGAGCTGGGAGGAAGAGGTTGACTGGTGGTTGCAGTTAAACAGCTGAGAGTCATTCAACTATTTAAATGAAAGCAGCTGATCAAGGGAGTTCAAAAGTGATGTAGAAAAAACAGGTGTTTTTGTTTGCTGATTGAAGCACCACAATCATATTGCAAGGAAAATGTTGGTCTACTACCAGTGAGACCAGTTTGATTTTACATCTGCTCTTTCAGTGACTGCTTTTATGGGGATGCAAACACCAATTTCACTGTTCTAATTGACTAACCAATAATAATGCTTGACCAATTTTACTATATGCATTGAAGAAAAGGAGGAAAAGACTGTATCTAATGACAAATCCCACAATTTTACCTCTCACACTATACTCCAAAAGTGGCACAAACATGAAAATTCATGGTATTGCATTTTTTTATTTTTCCTCCCTTAGAAATAAAAATTAGGTCACCAATTAACCTTTGACACCAGTCATGGTGTCATAACAATTTACACATCCTGTGTAAGATGTTAAACTACATCCGCGTCCTGTGTAAGACGTTAAACTATGTCCAGCAGCAAGGCCTCTGATCAGGAGGTTTTCAGGAGCATGGAACCACCTCTTAATTGCTTGTGTTCCCAGGTTCACCCTGACCCGGGGTGGTAGCACCTGTTGAGGTCCCAGCTATTGGCAAATAGTTAACTATTACAGCAATACTTTTTTGAAAAAAATTATTACCAGCAATACAATTTTGAAGGAAATATATTACCAGAAACAGATTTTTGACAAAACAAAATATTACCAGCAATAAAAGTTTTATCAGCATTAAATAACCCATTGAGGTTGATATGCCGTAAAACAAAATAAACCAAACCAATCTAAACCAAAGAATACATACTCTATTCATACGAATCTATCCTAAAAATACTGTCAGCATTAAATAATCCATTGAGGTTGATATGACATTAAATAAACCAAACCAAACCAATAAAAATTTACACTGTTGGAAATGGTTAGAAAATTTAAAATGAGGAAACCATGTTGTTTTTTTTATATCTGAATAAAGTGATGGCTATCAACCACTGAGAAGGGAATTGTGTTATGTTTTTCTACTATTACTATTACCACTGGCTGTTATGCAACAGGTTTATATTAGATTTGATACATGACCCACATAGAAATTTATATTACACTTTACACATATAATTGACTTTTCAGATCTACTATAATCTTACCTTTTAAAAAAGAATATTTACTCTGCAGAGCATAATAAAAATCATCTTGATTTTTTTTTTTACATTTTAATAAACATAAATTAGATTCATTTAGCAAAATTGACTTCAGATTATCAAAGGCAGAATTTTTTGTGTGAATTTGCCTTGATTTACCTTCCTCCAATTAATCTCATATATAATATCTCATTAATAACTTTCTATTTTCTTTCTCAAAATTTATTTTGTTGTAAACTGCAGATTATAATCTCTGTAAATTGTCATTCCTCTTAAATGAATTTGCATAAAAGTGAAAATCTAATTTAAAAGGTTAATTCTGCTTTTGTACAATTGTTCCTACTAATATTGATATTGCATGAATAGACGCCAAAGAAGTTTAATGTATTGGATACTTCTATAATTAATGCATAAGGTTTCTTACAAGAATATTTTACAATACATGAAATAATGGTCTGTCTGTATTTCTGAGATGAGATATGATGTACATTACTTACATTATTCGGACTATTGTCCTCATTTTAACTGATAACTGACATCCATCAAACATGGCACGTGGAACTAGAACAGTCTACCCCAGTGAGCGAAATAAAGGGTTCAGTTCGAAATTCCAACTACCTGAAGAAAGCCGGAGTGTACAACGGCCGAAACCTTGTGATAAATATGGCGACAAAGATGAGGACAATAGTCCGAATAATGTAAATAATGAAATAATGGTGCTGAAAAGGTATATGAACAAAATATTAGACTTATTGATTTGCAATGCAAGATGACATTTATTAAACAAAACAACAAAAGGAAAGTTTAAATTTTCTTTCCCTAAGAATAAAATTGTATACACATTGAAAATTGTTAATGAATGTATTTGAATGTGAATTGCCTGTGTAAGTGTGTTTGTGTGAGAAGTGTCCACAGCCCTTTTTGCTTCAGTGTAAAAGGTCAATGTTACATAATTCAAAAGGAGGAAAATCATGAAGAGAGTTACTTCAAGGGTTCGCATTGTTTTCTTGTACCCTCAGGGCTGAAGCTGATAATGTACTTATTAAGGCACTACAAAAGAATGGTAAATAGCCAAAAGTTACTTAGAGCAACAAAAAAACAAGAAATTATGAAGAGCCATTACCAATGTTCTAAAAGGTTTTGAAACATAAAAGAAGAATATCAATATTCATTTAAGACGATTTCCTATTTTAGCAATTTCATTTCACAGATAAATTTTATTTCAATGTTGCTCTTTATAACACTTTATTTTCAGATATTAATTTTACACTAATTTAAAAAAAAAAGAAAAAAAGATTTATCACATTTGAAATTATTGCAATTAACTAATTGAAATTATGCATTAGCAGACTTATACATATCAATCTATATTAATATTTTTCTATATCTTCATTCAATCATTAATTTATTTTTGTGTAGGTGGATTGGTTATGATTACATGAATGACTGGCTACATTCATCTTTTGAAGTTTACTTGAAACAAACGGATTAATGCTTAATAAATATGATATTGTTTTAAATATAAATAAAATCTGGAGGGTCCAACTGAAATTTAGCTGAATAAAAATATATAAACAAAAGTAGGTATTCACAACTTAGAATAATCATAAAATAGCATGAGTAATTCTATTTTAACTGTTTCTGATATTTTTGAAGAATAGGAAAAAAAATGAAAATTCCTATCAAGATGGAAATTCTTAAACAACTAAATAGCATAAACTTAAATTTAAAAATTAAGCACTTTTGACTGCATAATCAGCAAAATTTTAAAATCAATACATGTAACCTATATAAGTGACAATGTATATCTGTGTATGTCTTCTTTTGAATTTATGTACTTACAACATTTTATATATATCTTCCTGCATTTATTGGATATAATTTTCGTATTTTGTATGCTGATTTTATGTTGACCGATACATCATCTTGTTTATAGTTTATTTGTATGTTTTTTAGCGTTATTGCAAGGACAAGGGAGATAACTAACAAGTAACAATGTCTGTTATGACAATGGTGGACTGTCAAAGCCGGGGGGTAACAAACTCTTTGAAAGAGCAGAGTGCAACAATAATAGTTGGAAAACATTTAAAGACACACGTGAAAACCCAGTAATAGTAAGGAAAAATATCAATTTTATATTATATATGCTGTCATTTTACATAGCATGAATAAACTATGCTTTTTATGTAATCCTTGAAAATTCAGAAACCTGAAGAGGAATTTTGAAAACATTTATTTAAAATTTACAGTATGATATTTGTTTTTTAGCATAAAATATCTCAATTATACAAGTTCCTCTTAAATTTTGGTTAGGTGAAAAAAAAATTAACAAAAATCTTTCAGATAAATGCAGATAATATCAGTATATACAAATAATATAAGTAACCATAATGCAGATGGATCAAATTGTGAAAAATTCAATTGAAGAAAAACAAAAATAGATTTTTCAAAGCTAATAGCATTCAAAAACTGCTTGATAAGCAATTATAACTGAATAGTTATTTACTAAATTTTATTTAGCTTGTCACATAGGCTGCTTCCAGTACATGCTGTTCTAAAGTGGTCACCCATCTGTTTTAAGTATGTTCATTACTAGAGTGATCTGCAGGAATCGGTGCAAAAAAAATAAATAAATAAAAAAAATAATAAAAAAAAATGTGACTATCAGTACACTATTGTGTCTGAAATACCTATTGATGCTTGCTCAAAAAAGAAAAGAAAAAATTCTAAATTTCATTAGTTGATTGTGTCTCAAAGCACAGTTCTAACTGGAATTGCAGTTACATCATGTTGCAGATTTTTATTTAAAAAATGAACTCATCAGAATAAACTAAGTTTAAAATTTCTCAGTAAAAAAATATTATAAATTGAATATAAACAATCTTTGATTTGATATTATGATAAAATTATATACATCTTTACAATACACACTAATCATGTGATATATAAATTTATATATTAAGTATATAGTGATTTGGTGGGAGGGTGGAATGCTGTATTTTGGATTGTCAAAATTTAGTCATGATAGGTTTTTACATCCAGTGCATCTCTAGAAATTGTTCCCCCTTAACCCAGACATTAAACCTGTTTCAATGAATGAAAAATTTCCACTCCCATTGTTTCAAAAAGATATTCCAGGAATTTATCTATTTGAACCAACATGCAGTTATTACAACTCTAAATGATGCTATATTCCATCAACTTCCTTTTCTTTAATAGCTCTAAACTCTGAATTGCCATGATTATTTTTGAGAAAGATAACACTGTGTAACACAATTTTTGCTCTTAGGAGCAACTGTTATTTTTCTATTTGCAGTGGCTCCCATTTGACATTGTTCCACCCTATATTGAATTTGGTCTGTTGTGGCAAGTTCTGCCTGTGGTAGTGTGCAAAGGAATGTTGGAAGAGAATAACAGTCATTTCTGTTGCTTTCTAGACAGAAGCAATTAGAAACAACACTTACTGACCAAAGACAAAAAAAATCAAGATTTTGTTACAGAGTGTAATGAAGTTGTTTGCTGTTAATTTCTCTATAATTTTCAATTTAGAGTTGTCCTAGCCAGCCAAAATAAATAGTAGGCCAGTCTGGGCTTTAAATTAAGAGTGTGATTCATTGCCTTTCCCAAAGATATTAGTGCAAAGATTATTTATTTTTCTGCTTTAAATTAATAATCTTCCCATGAGTATTCTCAGATCACTAATAAATATCTCTGCAGATGTTACTACAGTTAATAGGCACATCTCCAAAAGTCTAGATGATCAGAGCCTAGCAGCTGATCTCTCCTCTGATTTAGCTCAAACAGATCAATGGAGGAAAAACTGGCTTGTAACATGCAATACCTCAAAAATAAAGCTATTAATGTTTCATCATCACCAAGCAGACCCTAATTTTTCCCCAGTCATGATGAGCAGTTGTACTCTCAATGAGGTTCCTTACCTTGAATATCTATTGGGAGTCAAGCTCCCAGACTTCAAGTAGAATTCATATCCATTGCTACAGATGTTGGAAAAATGATCACTTCCTTATACTGTCCCAGAAAATACATGATTCCTCCTGCAACACTTGATCTTAGAAAAGTAAAAAAAAAAGGAGATCAGACCAAAAATGAGGTATTGCTGCCATATCTGGAGAGGAGCTGTTCAATCTTTTCCAGCCTTGATAAATTTCAAAAGCATTTATGCTACCTCATGGCAAACGAATTATTATTTTCAACATTACAATTCCTTTCCCCACAGACCTAAGCCTGTTGCTATTTCCATTCCACATTGTAAGCCTATTGCTATTTCTGTGGCAAATGTTCAGATGAGCTATATTCCTTAGTTCCACCAGTTCAAACCATCACAGCTAGGGTCAACCTATCCTCATTTCCTTTGTATTCCATTGGTGAAGACAGCTTCTTCCCAAGAATTGCTACTCTGTGGAACAGAGACGATGCTTCTCTGATCATAACAATAGCCCATTCAAATTTAGTCAAGTGTTATCTATTCTACACATCCTCATAATTTTAATTTTCCTCTTATATCTGGACAACAATCTCATTCAATAACCGTCTACCGTGAGTGGCTCTTGTATTGGGTCGACATTTAGTAAAAAGAAATGCCTTAGCATTCAATTACCAGGCAAAGGCAAGTGCTGCAATCAATCCAGTGGCAGAATCTACTTGAATCAAAATGTAAGTTCATTACCTTACATAAAGTGATATATTTTTTATGTTGATCTTGTTCATATTATGTTGAAAAGAATTAAACTTACATATTCCCTCATATATATTCCATATATTATGTTGAAAAGAATTAAACTTACATATTCCCTCATTACAAAGTACCATTAAAATTAGATATTTATACAATATTTTTAGAGCTTTTCAAAATAGGAAAAATAATTTGTTGCAAAATGTTTTATCATTTTCAGTTTTTAGTTATTAAAACTTGTCAATATGAAATTTATTTTAAAGCCAACCAGTACAATAAACTATCAGATCTATCATTGTATAAAATTTGGTTTAAATTTTACCCTTTTAATGTGTATTATTGTGACACTATTTAGCTATGTAATTGGCTAATTAACCATAGAAATTAAAAACAGGAAAGACTTAAGGCAAGAAAGAGCTATATCAAAAGATAGACGGAACGACATTAAAAAGATTTTATTTTATTTACAAAGAAAGATACTTTTTGCACAAGACAGAAAATCCGTAAGAAAAATCGAGATATGAGATTCTGTCAAAACTGATTAATGTCATGTTAAGGGAGTGACATGCCAAGGGAAACAGAATTCAGAAAGAAAAACAAAGCCAACTGACACATGGAGGCCATAAAAAAATTTCGGCTTGAGACCACTGCGGTACAGGCAGAGAGAATCGATATTAGTTATCTTTCAGAGATATCATTTAATTTTAATTCCTGGGTCCAACGAAGGGAACCATCCGGTATGTGTTAGAATTCTGGCATGAGGAAGAAAATAGTATTATTACTTTTTCAAACTGTTGACGTCAGACAAAGCGTTGTTGAAAATGGGCATCTGGTGATAAGATGATTTTAAGGCATGAGAAAAATAAAGAATTTGATTCTCAGGTAAAATACGGACCTCCCAGCTAAAAGTTAACTTAGCAGAAAAACTAGGTGTCAGGTTTTGACAGTGATTGATGAGTCGGTAGAGAGACCCGACTAAGTGAATTTTGGGTGTCCCCAAAAGAAAGATGTGATAAGAATTATTTGGCAATCTGGGTTTTTTAAAAAAAAAAAAAAAAAAAAAAATGTTTTGGCCGAAGAAAAAAAGGATTTTGTAAACAAAATTCTGGATAATAATTTTAAGAGGGCCAGTCTAGCCACACACACACTGCTGAGAGATCATTGGTCAAGTGGTAGGTGAATATATGAGAAAGACGGAGAAGTTGTTAACACCTACTGAGGGGATTGGTATGAGATACCAATGTGAGAGAGGAAGAGTCTAGGAGGATAACAGAAATGCAAACATATCACAAATTCATAGAAACGGGCTGGGAGAGAAACACACTCCTGTATATAACAGACGGATAAAGATAATTTGTTATTTCTCAACATATTTGAACCTCTTGAGTTTGTTTTATTGCTTCTTTTACTTACACTTGTGCGATATCACCTTTACCCCGGATTCAGCTTGCACTACAGCCAGACGCCCGATTGATTTCGTCTACCTAAGATCAAAGTTAAAACGTGGGTAGGTTAGACTTGAGATCAAAGTAGTTACTTCGGAAGTGAGTTGGGAACGACAAAGCTGGTATCAAACTGGTGGCAGTGACAAAGAGTTAACCCCAAAACGCTGGTGGAAGAAAACTTACAGCTTTGTGCTGCAACTGGGACTTGACCATGGGCTGACAGCGCAGTGTCACATATTGGCGCTGCGACCATACTGGCGGGTGTCACATTATACTATGTGAAAAAAAAAAAAAAACATAACTAGCTTTTTCAGATTTGAAAATTGCTTTACACACTATTTCTAGTTATGATGTAGGCTTCAAGTTAATTTTCTTTTTTAATAGCATCAAACAATTTTAGTTGAGCCTGGCCATGCTTTACAAATTATCAAGTTTGAGCCTTATTTCATGCTTTAAATATATAACATTAATGAGAATTAGAAATTTCAGTTATTTTCTACAAGATGAGGAGGGTAACATTGGTTGTGTTAAAATATCTGAGCCTCACTTCATGCTTAAAATATTCTTAATTTTTGTATTAATTTGAGCCTTGCCATCCTCATACATATAAAAAAGAGAGAGAGAGGAGAGTGAGTAAATATCTTTTACCACCTTTTGGGCAATTTCTATTCTCTCAGAACTTTATCTTTCTGGAGTCTAGTCTTAAATTTAAATTTATTAAGTGAATTCTGTAAAGACTGGAATAAAAGCTAATTTGAAGGTGAAAACTTCCCAATGTATCATTATCTTATGATCTAGGCTTCAATTTTTTTTAATTAGCATCATGTAATTTTAGCCTCGCCTTGCCATGTTGAGCAAATTCAAGTTTGAGTTTATTTCATGTTTTAAATATTACCATAATGAGAGAGATTTCAGTTATTTTCCATGTTGGGGAGAGGGGAATCTGAGCCCCCACTAAGTTATGGAATCAATTTCAGCCTTATTATGCTTATAATCTTCATTCTAATAAAAAAACAGAAAACACTGTAAACATCAACTCATCCTCAATTATTCTCATACATTAATATGAAAATTTATTCAAATTTTTATGTTCACTGTATCTGATATTATAATTCTATTTTCAGGTTTCTCTAGCATAATTAATTCATTAATTATAACAACTGCCATACAATGTAAAATGTAAGTGAATAATCATTAGAAAATATTAAATATGCTAATAGCAAAAATATTCTCTAATATTTGCAAGTATTCATTGTATCCTCCCAATACAAAAAATAACTTTTTAAACAGAAAAAATATTAAGTAGAATTTACATTATTCTTGAATTTGATACTTTTTCACAATTAAATTTGAATAAATTTTGTTAAATATAATCTAAGTACAAATTTAATGAAGAGAGATGCTGAAAAGTTCTCAGCCCAAGCGAGGGATTAAAAAATCTATTTGGTCATTTAATCTGATTTTGGGAAGTTGGGCCAAGAACTTTAGAGCATCTCTCTTCATTAATAGATTTTTGTAAGAAAAGAGAAAAAATTGCAAATGTCATTGTGATTTATTGTATATATACAAACTGAATGTGGTTATTCTTTTAGTTTTCATACTTAGTAAATTCCTTAATATGTAAAAACAAAAATCATTTTGGATAAAGTGAATGTGAATATTTATAATATGTGATGAAATTTTTCCTCGATATCCAAAATTAATTTTCATATTTTTAGATAAAGAGCATTAAAGTGAAAAGAAAGTCCACATCAGTAACTTTTAAAATATTATGCATCAATGTTTTCTCTTCTTTTTCAATCTATGCTTCACTCCAAGAGATTCTTCAGTGTCCTGGTCATTAGACCGCTTTTTCTTGCCCAGTTTGGAATCACTGAGTTCCTACAAAGGAAAAAAAAAAAGTTTGATAATATATGCATTAAAAATAAAATTTATCCATTTACTAAAATTAATTAAACATCAATAATTGAAATGTATTTTAATACTTGCATTTCATTATAAAAATTAAAATTTCATCATGAGATTTCCCTTATTTACAAATATTAAATATCTTAATAAGAGAAAATTTATTCATCATTACATTGTAAATATTAGTTAATATGAATCCAATGCTTTTAACTTAATAATTTGTGAATTGAATTATTTGCTCAAAATGTTAAATCAAAAAGAAAAAGTAAACAAAGAAATCTTAGGAAACTATAAGAAAAAAATACATACAATTTTTAAAAGGAAAACAAAAAAAAGCATTGAAAACTGGTAAGATAAAAAAGAGATCTTGGTTAGAAGAATTGAAGGCTTACAATTTTAGCATATCTTTGTGCTTCTGCAACACGCTCAGTCAATACCATCACTTCCTCCTCCTCAGTTTTATACAAAGGAAGTTTCTTTTCTATAAGTTGTTCAATCCTTTGAAACAACTCAACATCATACCTTTAAGAAAAAAAGAAATTATTTTAATTAACATTTACCATTATTTTATTTTTGAGATTAAAAGTATCTTCAATTTGATTAATTCCAGTTGAAATAATAAATAAAATGAAATCTGAGATTAAATCTTTACAAAAGACATTTTGTTTATATAAGTATGAAATAAGATTTAAAATAATTCCAGTGTATTTTTTTTTTTTTTACTTATCACAAAACTAATAAATTTGTAAGTGAATTTTGTGATAGAATGAAGTATAAATCTGTATTATAATTTATGAATTTATAAGCTATTGTATTTTATAGCATATATATCTTCTGATGTAAATATATATCTTTAGATGTTTGTTGCTATGTGTGTTTTTAAATATAAAAAAAGGTTTTGTTATTTGAGAATTAAAAGAAGAAATTTATTCAAATATAATTGTAAGTACTACTTACTGTGTAACAAATGTGATAGCTTTTCCTGCTCGTCCAGCTCGAGCTGTTCTTCCAACACGATGAATGTAATCTTTGGAACGCATTGGGATATCGAAGTTAATTACCACATCAACATGAGGAATATCCAAACCTCTAGCAAAGTAAAAAAAAATTATAGGAGAGTTTGATTTTTTTTTTAATGCAAGAAAATTTACTGTTTCATCTTTAAAATTTACAAACAAAATTGGACTAATATTTGCTTTAATAAAAATAAAATAACATTGCTTGTAAATTACTTTGATTGAAAACAGAACTGTAAATAAAACTATAAAGGTATAATGTAATATTTATAGTAAGAAACAAAGATTGACTTACCTGCTAGCAACATCAGTAGCTAGTAATATAGAATTACTTTTACTTCGAAATTTGTGGAGTGATGCAAGTCTCTTTGCCTGTGTGAAAATAAAATAATTTTCTGAAAAAAATAAATGCCTCAAAAAATCCTTTTTCTGAACAGGAATTGATAAAATATTCTTTAACTGTACAAATTTTACATACATCTTGATAGAAATATTAGCAGCAAAATAGAATAGCTATTTACTGATCCCAATAAAAAAACAAAACACCATTTTACATATCTTTCAAGAACGCCACAAAAAATATTATTTTGTGAAAAATATTTCTCCTTTTCTGTCTTTTGGTTCTTCTCTAATATTAGCCAAACTTTATTTGTATGACTTTGAACCAAAATTAATAATTTTCTATTTCATTGGAATCTTTTGAGTAGAGTTAATATCATTAGACACACACACAACTTTAATATTTTCTATAAAGAAATGCTAAAAAAATTTTCTCAGAAAGATATAAAAGCAGTTCAATATAATAAGAAAGGCATAAAATAATTAATGGTTAATTACAAAGAGCATCACATGGTTGTGTCTCATTATGTGTAGCAAATCTTACCTGTGAAAGTTGTCCATGAAGAGGAATAGCATTCATACCAAGATTTCGCAACATCAATGTAATACGTTGTGTATTAGCACATGTGCCACAGAAAATGATACAAGATTTTCCAGTAAGTTCATTCAAGATATACGTTAAATAAACATCCTATCAAAGAAAAGTATAGAAATAAATGTAACAGAAAGAAAATTTACAAAGTCTTTTAGAAATAGAAAATGAAGACATAAAAAAGTTTTACAATTTATCACCTTGAATTTTGCTGGAATAAACAAATAATATTGCTGCAATTTGTCAACTGTTGTGTATTTGGTAGAGACTTCAATACGAATAGGATTTTTTAAAGCAGCTCGTTGTAATTTAGCAACCTGAAAAGATAAAAGGCATGGAATTAGTTTTATAATAAAATTTCTCATGGCTAATTGCAAGGAATTGACATCAATGAAGAAAAGTTACATAATTTCATTCCAAATATAAATTTTATGTAAGGCACTTGTGATAAGAGAAATGATTATTTAATTGCCTCTTCCTTCAAGTATATGTTTACAATATTTTGTATATTACCAAAAATGTTTAGATCTTTCTAATTCCTTTTTAATCTACTTAAAAATTTATTCAAAAAGGAAAATTTTATTACAATTATCTCTAAGAATTTAATCCTTATTTAAAATACTATAACTATAGAAATGTGTAATAAAGAATTCTATAAATATCAATGGTGTTAGTCTTAACTCACAATAAAAACTATTTAAAGAATTAGTTTTGGAAAATTAAGAACAAATGCTGGACATATAAAAAGCTTTAAATTTAATAAAATGCTATTTAGCAAGTAATCTAAATGTTTAGCATTATACACTAATTGCTCAAGTAATATGTAATACAATAAAGGTATCCAAGAAAATTATTTTAAAGTTGTCTCTTTTTGTATTTTTTCTTGACACTTCAGCTCCAAGTTAAATACAAAAGATATTCTATAATATATTTTCTTCTTAAAAAGAAAGTAATTCTTATCAATGAGAAAAATCTAGGAACATTTGTTGTGGAGTAAATAAGACACTCCAAGTAACAGAAAGAGAACTAGGCAAGACACCTTAAATAAAAGAACTCAAAATGAATCAGGAGAAGTCCATTGAAATTGGTTGAGACATTATTATAATCGTTAGTAGTGAGTTATAACAGTGGCAACGAAGGATTGAAACTCATACAGAATAGGGACAAAAATACTTTTCACTTTGGCACACATGATAACAGTGAAGATGAGAAACTAGAACAACATTGGTTTAATTCTTTAAAATGTTTTAAAAACATATTCTTTAAATATGAGAGAATTATTAGCCTCAGTGGTAAAAATACAACAGCAGTTGTTGGAACTCTAGAAACAACAACAAAATTTAATTGAAATAAAATGGAAGAATACTGAAAATTCCTGAAGTGTGTTCACTTCTGACATAGTGGCAAATGCCATAACTGAATTCACATATAATTCAGATGACGGAATTACCTTTTCTGCTTATTTTAGAAGACACAAGCAAATTTTCAGAGAAGAATGCAGCAACTGGGAAGACAAGAAAAAAAATAAAAAAACAAAACTGAAAAAGTTGGCACTGCTAGAACATGAAGAATACTGCAATTTTGTACTACTGAAAAACAAAAAAAACAGAAGAAATTTGCTTTGAAGAAACAGTAAATATTCTGACTAAAATTTTTAGTGAGTGAAGTTTGTTATTCAGTACTCATTGAAAGTGTATGAATCTGACAAAAAAAGAAGACAAAGATTTTGTCACATATGCTGGAATTATTAACAAGGAGTGTGAAAGATTCAAAATTAAACAAACTAACATATGTTTAAAGAGTTAATTTTTGTTAAAGGGTTAATGGCGAAAAAAGAAGCAGAAATATGTGCTAGGATTCTAATGAAACTAGAACAGAAGCAAAAACTAACACTACAAGAAATATCCAGTGAATGCCAGACAATCCTAAATCTGAGATGCAATACAGAAGAAATTGAAAAAGAATGTGCATATGGATAAACTAAAGAAAACTGTGGAAAAAGAAAAATTAATCCATGTCTGTTCCTTTAAGAATTCAAAGTGCTACAAGTGTGGAAAAGTAGGACATAAAATGTCAGACTGCAAAACTAAAGCAAAGAAAAATTCTCACAGAAAATTTTTCATACACAGCGTTGTGATGGAAAAAATAATTACAGAAAACCAAAGAAAATTTGTGTATGAGAAAGTTGCATTTTGACATCCACATTATTAAGAACTTCAAAAATTGCATATAGTGTGTCAGCTAAGAAATTATTTTTTATTGGTGAAATGACTTGTAATGTTTCATTTTGTAACAAGAGTGTTACGTGTTAAAAAGAGTGTAACAAGAGTGTTACGTGTTAAAAAAATACTGAACTGCTTGAGGACACTTATTGCAGCATTAAAAAGTGAAATAGAAATTAAAAATATATTATGCAATGTAGTACACAAATTACCAGTTACCCTGGGAAAAATAAAAGTAGAAGCAGAAAAAGAGGTTTATTTTGAAAAAAAAAAAAAAAAAAACTAAAAGAAAGGTAGAAAGCTAGACGATTTTTAGAATGCAATTCTACCAGAAAAAGCAAACGTATGGAAAAACTAGAGGTTGGCCAAAACGAAAGAAATACATAGTTCAGTATGTTGGCAAACTTGCCAGAAAGAGTAAGAGGGTGTTAATACTAAGAAATAAAATAAAATATTTACTAAACTCAAAAGGGAGGATGTTGTGGAGTAAATAAGACACCTCCCGGTAACACAAATGAACTAGGCAAAACGCCTTAAATAAAGAACTCAAAGTGAGTCAAGAGAAGTCTGTTGAAGTCAGTCAAGATATAATATTATAACCACAAGGAGTGATTTATAACAGCCTTATAGATTAATAAACATTCCTAATGAGTAAAATTGAAAGACTTATTACTGGTGATTAAAACTGATCATAGGCATGTTTATGCTGTTAAAGTACAGTGATTAGGATTAATAAACCTATAATGTGCAGAAATATTTTCTCTCACACATATTTACAAAGAAGGGAATATAAGTGTATATGCCATTGATTCATAGATTATAGGAGTAGCACTACTTACTGATGTTAGAAGCAATGCGGAAACATTTTCTAAAAGCTGAAAATATTTCATTTATTTTTTAAGCAGAGTTTTTATTTGAAGTGCATTTGAGTGACAAACTTTAATATAGAACAGTGAAAGAATTTCAATCAGGTGGAATTTACTTTATCATTGCAAACAATTTTGATTTAGGGAAGTAAATGTTTATATTGCTTCTGGATTTTTGGTTTTTGGAAGTGCTGCCTGTCCATCTTAATATTGTTTCAGATTATCTATTTGGTACAGTTTTCTATGTTTAATTCATAATCTATAGCTTCGAAAAAGCTCTGGCTTAGGTTTCCTATCTATAGCTTAGTGTTGATTGTTATTTAATAAATGGGAGTTTCATAAAAAAAAAAAACAACTAAAAATGACTGATAGCATTGGAAGAATTTGCAAAACAAATCAAGCTCAAAATGAATTATTCTACAATCTGAATAACAAATTTTGGAGAGGAGTCCCAAATTATATTAAATGAAGCCTTGTTCTAAATATTTAGAAAACCATGTTTTGAAAAAAAAAGTTCCAAGCTAAATATACAACAAACACAAAAATACACATTTGTTATATTATGTTAGATATTACTTCAAGAAACTATGAACGTATTACCTTTTTGGTCATTGTGGCAGAATAAAGATAGGTTTTCCTTTCCCGGGGAATAACTTTCAATATTTTGTCAATCTAAAAAAAAAAAAAATAAATAAATAAATAAATAAATAAAGTAAAACAATTTTCAAAGTTAATCAACAGTAATTATCATACTGAAGGTAATTTTTTGTAAGTATGAAGATTTAAATTTAAATTTTTTAATATTAGAATATTTGAACATGAATAGTAGAGGAATTGTGTGAATGCCAAAATGTTCATGAAAAATAAATGTGGTAATAGTGAGATTAGCCGTTTTCATACAAGAAACAAGTTTTGTTGATGTGCCAAGATCCAGCTAGAAAAAGATTTCTCTTAGAAGAATTTATCAATAAAAGAAATAACCTATTCTATTGAGTTCATTTCAAACTAATTTATCATGACGTTTTATGCTTCACATAGTTTCTTTGCCTCTTGAAAATGATTAAAAACAGCTCCCTCTCATATATATATATTATATATTTGATGCACGTTTCATTAAATAATATAGACAAGTGTTGTCTGTTTATTTTATGTAAATTCTTTTCATATTGTCTGATAAGCTTAATAACATTATCATTAAACAAAGAAAGAAAATCACAATATTGGTACATTGAATGTAATTGTCATCTTTGATAATGGCTTATGTAAGCCGAAAGCTTAGATAGAATTACAAAATATGTATCAATATTGTGATTTTCTTTCTTAGTTTAATGCTTATCAGACAATATGAAAAAAATTTACATAAAATAAATAGACAACACTTGTCTATATTATTTAATGAAACACGATCAATGAAAAAATGCTGCCAAAAATACACACTATATATATATATATATATATATATATATATATATATATATATATATATATATATATATATATATAATTTATGACAAAGTGTAAAAAGTTTACTTGTGACATGCTTCATCGGATCAATTTTGATATGTTGGTAGGACTATACATGCACACGGCAGAGGGGTGCTAGGAATTTCAGAATTTTTTTCCCCCAGCCAAATTTATTTAGAGTCTTTTTCTTTACATCACTTTTGTTAGTATGTATTCCACACTTTGATATTAGATCTGCCAGAAATAGTGAAATGTTGTAAGGGCCAGGGCACAAATTTACTGTAGATGACTTTGCTATTAAGGCATTCTCTAGACATTTACATCCTAGTGAATTACTATCTCCTTTGATCATGGTAGCATTTTTTATGTCAAAGTTGTGGTCAGGCTTGTTACGGTGGGCAACCAATGCATTTGATGTATTATTTTGTAAAATGCCCTTTTTGTGTTCATATAATCTTTTATTTAGATTCCTTGAGGTTTCTCCTATGTATTTTTCATGATAAATATTCAGGATAGAGTAAACTCCTGCTTCAGGTTTTAGCTTATTGTTTTTAGTATTGACTATGCTTACCATACCAAAATGGCTTAAACACTCTATAACTGACCTTGCTGGCATAAAAACATTTAACTTTTCAATCTCTCACACAAGTGGTTGAATTTCCTATGTGTTTCCCCAGTAATCATAATGGTAAATTCTTGATCTCAATTTTACCTCCATCCTCGAGTCTTGTCGTACTATGCATCTCTGCCCTCTTGGCAACTTTGATCATGGCTAACCTGGCTGCTGATCTCAAAAAGGACCTCCAATCTGTGGTTGACTGAGGCAGGAAATGGCTTGTAAACTTCAATGCCTCCAAAACAAAACTGCTTTCTTTTACCCACCACAGAGAACCCTTCCTGTCTCCCATTAGAATGGCTGACTTCAAATTCCTTGAGAGTTCCTCATTATGCCTGCTTGGTCTCATGCTGTCCAATGACATGAGGTGGAATAAACACATTGAATCAATAGCTTCATCTACCGCAAGGAAAGTTGGTTCTGTGTTGTGCCAGAAAGTCTTTCTTGTCCGAGTCCATCCTTCAAATCTATAAATCAACCATTCGTCCTTGCATGGAATATTGTTGTCATATATGTTCTGGTGCTCCCGTCTCGAGGTCCTTGAAAAAATCCAGAGACGAATATACAAGATGATAGGTCCTGATCTGACATCTAGTCTACAATCGCTATCCTACAGATGTCCTGTGGCCTCCCTCTGTCTCTTCTTCTACAAGTATTTTCACAGCAACTGTACTGACAAGCTACTTTCACTGGTTCCCAGACTACATGAATTTAAACAAGCTACCAGGCTGGCATCTCGATCCCACCCTTTCACCGTGAAAATGGTTAAATGTAACCGCCTCTTCTTAAACAGCTTCTTCTTTCGTGCTTCCCGTCTGTGGAACTCCCTTCCCCGGTGACTATAATCTTCAAATATTCAAACACGTCTCTTTACTCTTGTTCTCAATCCTCTGTAACCCCTTGTGTGCTAGTGGCACTCCCGCCTTGCTTGGGGTGAAATGCCTTAGGAAAAAAAAAAAAAAAGAAAAAAAAGGAGTCTTTTATTGTTTTGGATGTAGTAGTAACAACTTTTATGTTGAGTTTAGATAGATTCTTTTTGATTGTAGATTTGATAGAATTAATAGGCAGGATAATATATTTTTTTGATTCATTGGGTTTCTCAGGAGGTGGGCCGTTTTTTTGTTCTGGAATATTTTGTGAGTGTTTCGAATTGAATATAAAATACTTAGGGTGCTGGAGAAGTTTGAAAGTGTTTTCAATATATTTCTCTTCTTTGTGTAAATAATTTGAGCTGCATATTCTTAGAGCTCTTAGGTAGATTATGCCAAATTTTATTTTGTTATTATGATGGGAATAGAAATTTATTAGGTTGTTTTTGTTGATGGACACTGAGTTTTAAATTGTTGTTAATACAGTGTAGCTCAATATCTAGGAAGGGTAAGGAATTGTGTTCATATGTAAATCCTATTGTGTGTTTAACTTTGTTTAGTTGATCTACTAGGTCAGATAAATCAGTATCACAAAGACATATAAGAAGAGCATCATCAATATAATGAAGTATGTTGATTTTTTGGGTAAAATATTTTGGAAAGGACTAGATTTGAGAAATTCTAAGAAGATACATGCCATCACCCTACAGAGAGGTGATCCCATTGGTAATCCAATTTTTTTTTGTGACATTTATTATTGAATGTGAAGCAACATTGATTGGTGATGACATGGCAGATTGTTTTTATTTTAGCTGTTGGTAGAGAGAGAGCTTATTTCTTAAAAAAGCATCTAAGATAAACTTTGACATAAAAAATGCTACCATGATCAAAGGTGAAAATAATTGGCTATGATGTAAATGTCTAGAGAGTGCCTGTAAATGAATTCAGCTAAAACAAAAAACAAATTCACAGCATTCCTGTTGTGTGCATGTGTAGTACTACCAACATAACAAAATTAGCCTGATGAAGTTCTGAAGGACAAAACCTTTCCCAATACTGCTATTGATATATAAAAATATATATGATTATCTATCTCTCTCATGCATATATATATATATATATATATATATATATATATATATATATATATATATATGAATATAAAATATCGCATATTGAGTGCTGGTATCAATAAAATAGTGCTCAGAGTATAATAACAGAGCTATAATTTATATTAATAATAAATATACATTTTTTTTTCCTCACTGGTAGCACAATTGAGTTTAATGCACAATGTAATCATCAAGTGCTGATTGAAAAGTTTTCATTCTTATAAAAAATGATTTATCCACATTAAAATGCCTCAACTGTAAGTGAACTAAATTATTTGAAAATGAGAATTTTCATAAAATATTAGAATACAAAAGAATATAAAAATAAATTAAAATACTTCACCTCAGTTTCAAAATCCATGTTCAAAATTCGGTCCGCTTCATCCATTACCTAAAATGTTAAAAATTAATTAAGTTATTTTATTTCATTATAAAAAGTATTAAAGTCAATCTTTAAAAATTCATCAGCACAAACCAGGAAAGATTATTACCAATGATCAAGAAATTTACTTTCTTGATCATATTTTATATTTAATAAGTTTTATGAACAAATGTATCAACATATATACACAAAATAACCAAAATATTCAAAAAGATTTTAGGCTTATGACTCCACAAATAGCTCAAACATTTTTATAAAAAAAAAAAAAAAAAAAAAAGACTAGAAGAAAAACCTTTCTCTAAGAAGCTGTCATTCTAATACATATACAGACACATAATCTATTACTATAAACATTATTTTTAGTGGGTACAGGTGTTTGAGTTGATATCCCAGTTTGTTTTTTTTATTTTCTTAAACAGTGAAATTAATAATAATTGGTCTAAATCAAGTTCTACGAAAGAAAATGTAAGACGTTTCAAACTAGGTCAGTTAATATTAATTTCACTCTTTAAGAAAAATAAAAAACAGGGATATACACATAAGATAAAGAACAAACAGGAAAATGTATAATAATCTAACATGTTTCACTTTTATTCAACTTTCATCAGAGATTGAGAGAAAATGGACAAAAAGACAAACTTTGGTACTTTCAATTTTGTTTGGGTCAATTTTCATATGTGTGTGTGTGTGTGTATCTGTCTGTCTCTCTTTTTAGATATATATATTTTTGAAAGATATAGGACAAATTGGAAAACGTTTTTGTGATGTGTTTCATATATATCTAAATAAACTAAATTAAAAAGAAATTGATAATTGTTTACTACAATTGCATAAGATACACTTTTTCCATGTCTACCACTTGGTTATCTACTCATAGGTGAAACTGTAGTATTGGTAAGCAATTATCAATTTCCTCTTAATGGAATTCATCATAATGAAAAGATGGAATAGTATACTTCAATCTGAGAAGATTAACTACCAGTTTTATACAAATCAACTACACATGTACTTTTAAAAACACTATTCAGCAGCTTCTTGCTTATATCAATAAGATTTTCACTATCAGTCAAATGAAAAATACTTACAAAAGTTTTGATATATCACACATGAAAGTGGATCTTCAGTTATCTTTTATTAAATGTTTTAAATTTCTGGAATTACTACTAAATTAAAACCAATCTTGTCAAATATAATTGAGCCTCATCTCTATTATTCACTTCTGCATTAATAATCTTGGGAAAGGCATGTAACCATCTGTTTTCTTTTCATCTATTGGTTAACTAGTAGACTAGAACCCTTTAGCCTTGTATGGTAATCAATCTAGGAAAAAGACCATTCAAAATCCTAAACCATAAAAAAAGCAATATGAAACTATTCCACTATCATTCCCAAGAAGTCATAGCAATTCACATATAGTAAAAAAAAAGTTTTTAGAGATTGCCTATGTCCTGAAGGGGCATGGTATCTAAAATAAAAAAGTAATGAAAAATAATCTAACAATAAATGAAAAATGTTAAATATATAACTCACCAGACATTTTAAAGATCTCATATTGAAACCCTTAGTATTTTCTAAATGATCAACTAACCGACCAGGTGTTGCTGCAAACAAAAATAGGGTTTAAATTAAAAATAAGTAATTACTGTTTACATAACAATTTTTAAGAAATTATTAGTTACTTACAATAAATTTTAAATACATTTTAACTTTTGTTATTTCAATTAAATATCCATGGGTTAAAGTAGGTACCGCCACGAAATCGCTAAAAAAAGAGCATAGCTTGATGAAAAAGACGCCAAACTTGCCGAAAACTAAATTTTATTGTCTAAATGCTTATGTTATTATTAAGAGGAAAGACCAAAGTTTTTTTTAATTATTTTAAAAAATTTTCCTTCTTTTAGAACATTCTAAATTTTGATTAAAAAACCTTTTTCTATTTGTATCAGCGGAACTAGTAAATAACATAGACAATTTTTAGCACGTTTTTTTTTTTGGTATGACACACATTAATTTGAAAAATCGTGCAAAAATAGAAATAATTATCGGATGTTAATGAAACTTTCAGAAACTATTCACAGATGATCGAAATTATTATAAATATGTTTTTTTATGAAAGTCATGGTAGAAATATTTTTTAAAAATATTTATTACCCCCCATAACTAATTTTATGAAAACGCTAGAAATTGATTGCATCGGTTTTAGTGATTACAATAATTAAAAGCACAGGGCTTTGAGGAATGCAAATCATGTTTTTTTTGTTTTTAATTGGATACGCAGTACCTGAAAATCAGCTCTGAATTGTAACATACAAAACTCAATAAAACCAATATTATTTAATTTCAAATGCTTTTATTTGCTTTTAGTTGTTTTATGAATATGGACAATATTTTCTGAAAGCAAAAAAATTTTTTCCAATGAAAAATGATTTTTAATACAATTATTTGTTATTTCATTAATTATAATAGATTTTACATTTAAGTTGTTAAAATATTATAAAATTAGTTAAAAAGTCAGATCGGCTTTCATAAGTGTCCTTATGAGATAGATCTTTTTTAAGCGCGTTATAAATTGTATCATTTTGACTAATTAGAAGATACCCAGTAATTAAGAAATGTAATTTTGTGCTTATAATCGAGCTGTAATTATAAAATACGGAAGACCAACCAAAATATAATTAAGTTGCGTTATTTGAGTTAAGCATTGTTCTCCGCTGTTAAGGCCTTTACTTTTGCAAAACACGTGTGGAGAAGTTAATTTGATTTTTCAATTTCAACTGAGAAGGGTACCTACAAGTATCAGTATCATCTTATGAAATTTATATGATCTTATTTTTATATTAATCTCAGTTACGACATTTTTCCATAAATGAAATATCAAAATTAATAATAAAATGAATGCAAATACAAATAACAGTAGAATGTAATAAATGTACATAAAATTATAGTATTTTATGTACAATTCTGATAAAATTTCATAAGAAAGGTACCTATAAATTAATTAGATACCTTTCTTAAGAAATATGAAATTTAATGTCACTCTTAACAGTTTTATTTTAATTTCTTTACAATATATTTCCCATAAAGCATCATAAACGTAAAGGTGAAAGCTAAGTAAAAAAAAAAAAAAAAAAAAAAAAAATTACACGCTGAAAGTTTTCGTTAAAAATAACGGGTAAATAATTTGTTCACGTAAATGTAAATTATTTCACTTTTCTCCTTCCATAGAACAAATTAGCCTCATGGAATTAAGTAAATACATCATTCATCACATGTCAAGAGGCGAAAGTTTATGACCGCTTTGTTTTATTTTCAAATTACATCTTTTTGACACAAAAGCTAAGTTAAGTTTGGTTCAAAATATTTTAAATAAACATTATAATTTCTGATTTTCTTAAAATAAGTTTTGAAAAAATGATAATTGATATTTAAAAAATTTCAAAGTCAGATTTCCAGTTTTTTTTAAAATGGAAAAAATGGTCAATTTTGCCGACTCAAAAAAAAAAAAACTAGATTTTTAACGAAAATTTCGGACGTGCTAGGAACGATTAAAAAATGGAAAAAAACACCCCCAAAATACTTTGACCTTTCCTCTTAATAATAACAAACATTTAGACGATAAAATTTTGTTTTCGTCAAGTTTGGCGTCTTTTTCATCATGCTATGCTCTTTTTTTAGCGATCTCGTGGAGGTACCTAGGTTAAAGTTATAAAGTTAGCTAAGAGTCATAGAAGCAGCAAGAAATCCATTTGCATGCAATTCACATACCAATTATGTAAATCTTTCTCTAATTTCTTATATACAGAGACAATATATGTGTTTAACACATATGGTTTTCAGCATTGAGAGAAGGGGGCGGCGGAGAGTTCTTTGTTTTTATTAGCCCCTCACTACTTTTTTTTGACAAAATTTCTATGCTCTTCACAATATTCAAGAACAAGCTCCAGAAATTGATCTTTTGCCTTTAATGCTTATGGTTTACTTTTCTTGTTACCACTTTCTATCAGAAATAGAATGTTAACATTTCTGTCAAAAGAACTGTACATATACAAGTTTAAAGATATATTGGTTGGTCAAGAAGTTTGTTTGGTTTATTAAATAAATTTTCTACTCAATAACCAAGCAAACACTTTTTAGTCAATTCAAAACATAGTATTATTTAGTCAGTTATGTGCCATATATGATACATGCTTTGGCGATCATGTCTCTTTCAATCCATGACTAAACAGGCAGAAGATTTTCCAGCAGTAGGTAAACTGGTTAACAACTAAGGCTATAAAACCCAGTCTGTCCTGCTATTCAACCCATAGCTGGAGGGAAAAGAGATGGATTCATACCTTTCTCAAGAGTATTTGCACATAAGTGAATGTAATGAACTCAACTGGAATTGGATTGGAACTTGGCTTTCCAATTTCTTCTTCCGAGCCGATATCCATTATATTGCAATGCACATCTTATTATATTACTATATTGTCTAAAAATTTGATGGCAGACATTCTTACAAAATATAAAAGCAAAAACATTGGATGTTTTCAAGCCAAATATTCATTTTATCTTTTTGTCTTTATCCTCATGAAATTGATATTTTAAAACAATCCAATTGTGTTGTAAATAACATTTAAAATATAGGTCATAAAACAGTTACTTAAAAAATTACTTACCAATCACAATGTGAGGTTTTTTTGCTAACATCAAAGATTGTGTCATCATATCAACACCACCAACAATGACAGCTTGTAAGTAAACAAAGAAACAGGTTATTAAAAGGAGAAAAGTTTAAAATTCAAATCATATTATAATTCTGCTTGTTCCTTTATTCATTAGCATGTACATTATGCCTTGCCAATAACTCATAAATAATGGACTATTCAGTTTTGATTGCAAGGAAATACAGAAAAGACATATCAGAGATGCTGTTTGGTTTCAATGAGAAAAAGAGAGAGAGAGAGAGAGAATGCAATAATAAATGTGTTTAAATGTCTACTTCAGTGAAATAGAAAACCTTGTTAATTTTTAGTCTTTTCATTTGTATTCTCTTCTTTAAATAATGACCTGCATTCATACTCAAGATTGCTATTGCAATATGTTGTTAAAGTTGTTAAGCTCAAATATTTAATGATGCATTAGAGGAATTTCCACAGGTATTTTATAGTCATAGAACTCACAAGGAACTTATTCAATCAGTAACTTCAAAATTAAGATTTATCAGAAAATTCAAATAGTAAAACCATGAAATTTTCACAGATACCACAAATTATAAAAGTAATGAAAGGCTAATTTTAATACTTAATTTTTCTACCATTTTTGAAAGCATCATTAAATAATGCCATTTCATTATTTCTCTTATTAAATAAAAAAAATCATAATGGTAACTTTACATGATGTTTTCCCCAAGTTAACTCTAAAAGCTAATATGTTTTTTTTATCAGACCCATTTTAAGTGCAAATGAAGACAAAAAATTGTTTAATCTTTTGAAATATATATACAAGACAGCATAAAATTACATTCTTAAGTATTTGACATGAGATTAAAATTATTTACTTTAATGGAAGCAAAGTAACCTTAATAGAAAGATTTTAGAATTCTGATTTAAAAAGAAAATATTTCCAATAAAATGTTAATATCTATATAAAATTTTATTTAAAAAAATTACATGAGATTTCAAATTTAAAGATATAGACACAAATGCAAGAAATGACATTAAAATAAATAAAGACAATTACCACATTTTATACTGATAGATGCACCCAATGCTTCAAATTGTTCAGATATTTGGTAAGCCAGTTCTCGGGTAGGAGTTAACACAAGACAGAACAGACGTTGTGGATTTTCCAATAGGGCTTGGAGTATAGGAATTGCAAAAGCCCCAGTTTTTCCAGAACCTGTTTCTGCTAATCCAATTATATCATTGCCTATAAAAAGAGGTAGAGCAGGCATTTATCGCAAAACAAGAAATTGTTAAAATGCAATACCTATTCAAATCACTGAAGTTGTTATTGTACATGGATTAAACACAAATTTTATATGGTTTCATTATAATAGTAGCTTTTTGCCTAAAATAAATCATAATTTACAAAGAACATGACCTATTCAAATACACCTTTTTACTAGGGCTATAATTTTTATCTTAATATCAATCTAATATCCTAATACTAATTTACACAAATAACTGTTTCAGAGAAAGGAGATTAAAATGGAACAGTTCTGTCTCAAATTAAATAGAGATGATTCTTGAAAGGTACTTGTTTTAACTACTTTCCACAAAATCTATTTCAAATAATAACTGAAATTAAACTGAACAGATCTATATTACAGTACAAATGGGCTACTTTTATGATACACAAATTTTAATGACAAACTCAAATCAATTTTTAGCTGTCACCAAATTTACCAAAATCAATTTCCATGCTTATATCACTAATAGTATATTTTTTAAATCAATGCATTTATTTGCACCACACAAAACAACAACAAAAAACTATTTTTTATAACCAATAAAATAGTATAAAGATGTACCTTTCTATAAGATATACCAATCAAATTTGCTAAGTGTTTATTTATTAAATTTTATTTTGCAATATAATAACTGTAAAAAATAAATCAATTTCAATTCTGAAAGCAAAATAAAAATTACTAACCTGCTAATGCAACAGGAATTGCTTCTTTCTGAATTTTGGTTGGTTGAGTCCATTCCAATTGTTTACAGGTTTCACAGAGAACATCAACAATACCCTGTCAAAATAAGAAAATTTACTAAATTTAGTTTTCCTTGCATACAAAGTTGAAAGGATCTTTTTCCAATATTTTTTAGAAGATATTTTAGAGAAAGTAGACAATCTAAAAAATGAATTTTATATCAGAATCAAAAATTCATACTGTTTTATACTAGCATATAATGAAATTTCAGTTTCATTATTATAAAATATGAAAGTTATTTTCAATTTATTTGATAAAATGTGTACAATTTAAAAGTTTGTTTGCAATGCAGATTACCTATGAAGAAAAAAAAAAAGTTACTTTATCCCATAAAAAAATCTTCCAAAATAATACTTAGTAAATTTTAAATGATTCATGATTCAGGCATAAAATTTTATCAACTTTTGGCATTTTGAATAAATTCTAAAATTATATTGGAAAACATTTTAATTTTAAATATTATCATTATATTGCACAATGTGAACATAATTTTCAGCAATGGGCAGAATATATTTCAATCACCAAACATCAGAATACTGATTTTTTGGGATATGGGGTTAGGCCAAGAATTTTCAGCAGCCTCTTGTCTCAGTAGGTCATGATATTGAGTATTCATATAAAATCAACTCCTACACAACACCTCCAAAATGAAACTGCTCAGTATTAATCATGTTAAAGAATCTTTTTTACCTCCCATCAGCATAGCTGATATTATACTCACTGCACCTTCTTGGTCTCATATTTTCCATTGACATGAAGTGGAATGATTATATTGAATCAATTGCATCTAATATTGCTGCCACATCTTGTCTGATGCTACTGCGATATATCTGAAGATTTTTGACAAAATCCAAAGAAGAATCTGCAATGTTATCAATCCTGACTTGGCACCCCCCCCCAATATAGCTTTCCTGTGTCTTTTCTATAAATATTTTCATGATAATTGTTCTGATGAGCACCTCAAGTATCTCTTTGGTATCTCTAGTTCCAGAATTTAAGCACAGTACTAGATTGGCAGCTAGGTCTCATAATTTCACTGCTGAAATTGCTAGTTGTAACTGTAAGTTCTATGTTAATAATTTTTTCTCCCATACTTCTTGCTTGTGGAACTATCTTCTAACTTCCTGTCAACTACAATCTTCAAAAATTTAAATGTCAATAGTCATCATTGTGTCTCCTTTAATTCTGTTCTTTTATTTTATTATCTCTACTTCTTTCACTTTTAGTAACTCTTTGCATTTTAGTAGCTTTTATATCCTTGCTTGGATGGTTGATTAACAAAAAAGAAAAAAAAATTTAATTTTAAAGAGTATATTCTTTGCATTTATAAAAGAAATTACTGTCAAAAATGCATTGTCTTTTTAATTAATTTAAAAAGTTTTAAAAATTTAATGATTTTTTATATTGAGAGAAAAAAAAATTAAACTAATTTTTGGTGAAAATATATTTTAATATTGTCACATAAAATATCAGAAATCAAAACTTTTAAGCTATTTTCTAAAGCATGAAAATTTGTAAAATTTTCTATATAATTTACCTGATGATTTTTTTGTTATCATGTAAAGATACATTAAGCACTTGCTATCAGTATCTGAACAGTAGATAAAAGTTTGACTAGCATATTTAAAGGCAAATATCCTTATATTGTAAAAGGAAAATTTGTACAGAAAATTTATATGTATCATTATCATTTCCATTGATTGAAAAACAATGAGAATAGTAACATTTTCATTATTATTTACTAAGTATTTATATTATTATAGTTTAAAGGAGTCTATAAGTGTTCATGCCTTACAAAATTAAATTTTAATTATTGAATTATTCTTTTGATGCTGATAGAAGCAAATTCATTGAAAAAAATTTTTTTTCAAATAGAAATCAAACAATGTCATTATTTTTAATTTCTTTTTAATTGTATTTTTATTGTTTTCAATACTTATTCATTAAGTTATAAGAAAAAATATTCATGAACATGCAACTAAGAATCATGAAGAAGAGCAGTTTTTGTATGAGGGCATGAGTGTGAAAGAGACACAAACAGACTGGAATTCATTCAATTTCTTGAATCTGTTTTATTGATAAAAATTTACACAGCCTTCTGCTCCAATATGTGGGCATACCCCCAAAAAATTAATGTTCATGTCCAAAATGAGATTCAAAGAATAATCTCTTAATTTTTCATTCATTAAAAAAATAAAAATAAAAAAAACAAATAAATAATTCTTAATATCTATATAAACGTTTTTGAAAAATCTACACACTTTAAACTTTATATTCCCCTCCAAACAAAAAGAAATTTAACTAGTACAATCTGGGAGCAATAAATGGAGTTAAAAAAATAATTAAAATGGATAAATAAAGTAAATTGTTATGTTTATTAATTATGATATAAGCAATGTACCCTTAAATACATTTAATTCTTCCTTTTAAAACTTATTCAAATAAATTTGAATAAAAAAATATGCTAGTTTGAATAAAATTTGTGATCTTGGTTTTTTTTTGTATTTTTTTTTAGAAATTTGTATGCTATTCCAGAAACATTAAAATTTTTTTTTATATTCAACATAATCATTGACTTTTCTTAAAATATGAATAAAATCTTGCTTTCTCCCTTGGAAGGTTAAAGTGTAGGCTTTTTTAAAAATTGGTTCCCAAACATTCCCAAATTTTCATGAGGTTTACAGTTTTTACACAGTTTTCCAAGATTGGGGATGGGTGTATGAAGTTAATCTGGTGGAAAATATTGCAGATACATTGGTTGATATTCTGAAATTAATCAAATACTTTGAATAATTTTATCAATATTCTCATTTTCTTTCGATTTGTGGCGGACTTCACCATATTAATTTAACTTCAGATCAGGAAACAAAACTGATGTTAAAAAGGATAAGCAAAAGACATCATTACACATAAAATATGTATTTAACGAGATGTACAAGGATGTGAAAGAAGGCATATGCATTGAGTAGGAAAAAAGGTTGAATAAAACAAGAATTGTCTCTCTTTAACTATTATTTTGTATTCCAAAGTTCACTGAAAGAAAGTTTATAATAGTTTCTTGTAATAAATATTCTCAAGTTTTGCTGTGTAAGAAAAGATCATGTGAGTGTAAGAAATGTTCAGCATGTGAGTGGTGAGTGAGAAGATTGGCACATGGTTTCAACTGTCGTGGATTCGTTTGGCAGGTGAAATCTCACTAATTATCTAAGAATATTTCTTGCTTATATAGGTGACCCTAGGCTCTGAATCGCTGTGCAGGAAGAGTTATTCTTCATGTGCAGACAATCTGATTGGTTGTCATTGACCAATTAGTGAGCGAGTTTTGGGGAGACTCAAGAAAGCTTCTGAGATCCGTTTATCCCAAAAGTGCACAAAATTGACTACATGAAAATAGAGTGATTACAAAATTGTCATATTGCTGCAATTTGTAAATTGTCTATAATAATGTAGTGGTGAGTTATTAACCAATGAATGCTTGTCGTTGTATGTGATTTGTATTTGTGTATATGTACGTATGTGTGTGTGTGCGCGATGTAGATTGGCACAGATCGATCTGTGCAATCCCTAGTCTTCTGTGAATTAAATCATTTACTTCATTTGCCTAAAAAAGTTAACCAGATGCAATGGTTGAAAAAAAAAAAAAAAAAAATTACTGAAAAAAAAAAAAACATTTAAATGAAGATGCTCGTCACAGTTGTTTAAAAGCCTTGTTTTTGTCATATAGGAAAATCCAACATGTCACGTAAATTAAATATTCGGCAAAAAATCTCATGCGTCAGTAACATTTTAAACACCTCATAGAATGTAAAGTTCTTAAAGCAAATCTATGCCAAACTGTTTTCCTGAATCCTTGATCACTTGGCTGTCCAAAAATGATAATACCAAGATGAAATAATGGAAACTGACCGTGAAAAATACAATTATGCGCAACAGGTATTCGATCAATCAGTAAACTTCTGGACCTTTTAGGGTGACGTTATAGGATCCAGACGGCTATTGTTTGCACATGGAATTATTCACTGGTAATTAATCTTCGATTTGGCTGTGGAAAATGTCACTTGGGGTTAGCATTAAGAAATTATGCCTAATTTTCTGAGAAAAATCATCATTTTTTTATGAAAAAATATTTATTTTCGCTTCAAAATAACATCATTCAAAATTCATTCCTTTCTCTTTCATTTGACATGAACATCATTGAATAAAAGGAACGGCTAAATGGCCCGGCAATGGGAAATACGAAAGATATGCGACGAAAAAAAACAATGTCATCTGCTAAATGTTGTTGTCGTCACCCGGGTCATGGGGTGTTAAAAACAAAACAAAACTCATCAAGCCATTGTTCAAACATAGGTTATATCAAGCCCTAGTAATGCTGACCCTTTTTTTTTCACTCTTTGCTTTTATCTGGGAGTGGTGGGTTTTATTACAACTTGTTCTAAGGTTTATTGCTGGCTGGCTGGCTGACCTTTGACCCAGATGTCAAAGTCAATTAGGTTTAATTTTCCTTATCGCTGCTATTTTTTTGAAAAAAAAAAAAACTTTTGGTTTCTGGTGGTTAGGAATTGCAGATAAATCTTTTGCCTTTTACTAAAGATTTCCGTGGCCGGGTGTCAATTTTTTAACCCTTGGCAGCCATATAATTGAAAATTACCAATGGATTTTGTTGCATTTTGATCCCCTAGGAATGTTGATTTCCTTCAAAACTCTCAATTTTATGCCTGAAATAGTTTGATTATGATTTAGGCTTTCTGATTTTAAAAAAAAAAAAAGTAAAAAAGTTAATTTCCCATTAATGGGGAAAATATTTGTTTAGAACAAGAAAAAATGCAAAATTTTCACTAATTTTTCACATTTTACCCACTGAAAAAAAATTCTTAGTCATTTACACCAGCCAATTTTACTTTTAAATGAAAGAATATATCCTTTGCTTTCAAAAAATACCTAGTTTCATGGGGTTCAGATCAAAAGTTTCCTTGATATTAGTTTAGGTGATGATAAAACAGTCATTTTTCAATATTTTACCCCTATAAAAGTATGAAAATCCATTTTTTGAGAGAAAATAAGCTGTGACAAAATGACTTTTGGGAAAGAAAATTTTTACCATAGCAAACCTCAAACAGCTATGCGTTTGAATACTGACAATATGGAACAGAAAACCTTTCAATATAAATGGCTTTAGAGATGTGATTTCAGAACCTGTATTTTTTTTTCTTGTTTGATTGAATGATGCATTGACTGTCTGTACAAACGACAGTACCATACTTTTTGGGTGGAATTTGTCATTTTTCATTGAAGTTTTCAATTTGAGTAATATACCTTTTTCTTTAAGTTTATAATTTCTTTTTACATAAAAAGTCCTTTTTAAATTTATTTTTACTTCAGTTTTCAATAAAATTCAATCATTCTTTCTTTATTGCATTTTTAATTTTACTTTTTTCAGAAAAAGAATTTCTTACTCTAGTCTTGCACTATCGATTTAGTTTCCAAGTTTTTTTCCTACTCTAAACGCACTTAAATTTTAGTTTGAAACTCATCTTCAGATTTTGTCATCATTTTTAACTGTAATATTTAACATTTTGCGTGAGTTATGAGAAGTAAAAACATATGAATTAAAAAGAAAATTATAGTTTCATAAATCAGCCCAATCGTGTTGAGAAATAGTAAGAACACATGGTTTTTAAAAAGAAAAGTTAGTTTCAATATTTCAACAAAATTATTACCACGAAAAGAAAATGTGACATAACACTTTAAATTAAAAATAAAATCTAACATATTACCAAAGATTTAAATGTAGTCAATTCATTAGATGTTGTTTCTGTTTTCACGTTAGACTGTTGATCAAAAGCAAATTCTTCAGCCGCCATTGCCGATCAGTTTACAGGAAGTAATGTTAATCATAATAAAAATAGAAACTTACTTTAAAAACGAAACGAAATTATTAATTAATTTAATTTGATTTCTTTTAAAAAAATTGATTTATCTGATTTCTTTTTAATTTCTGCAAATTTAAATGATTTTATCCGGATCACTGATAATTTTTAAATAATAATTTAATGATATTAAGTACAATAATTTCATGTTTAAAAAGTTTAGCATATAAATTTTAATAATCGTTTATATTGCCTGATAATTTCTCATAAAGGTAATTATAGTGAAACATAGTTAAATTAATGTATCCCAAAATAATAATCCAAAAGAAACTACTCAAACATTTTTTTAGGGAAAAAAAAAGCATTATTGTTCCTATATTATTTCTGAATTCCGTTCCTAGATTTTAAATTTTTATCGTGCTTCCTCGTGTGCGACCTTATGGCTAAACATCATCCAGATTTGATTTTCTGCCGAAAACAGCCTGGCGTTGGTTTGTATTATTTATTTTATGAAGAACTATGATTATTTATTATTTATTTATACACATGATTTCTTGCCTTTATTTTGTTATTGTTTATCACTATTTTTTTAAATCATTAACCAGAACTGTTAAAATTTTTACCGGCGTCAATTTTCTACCGCTTTTACAAAACAAATGTTTACTTATTTTTCAGTTCGCTAAAAATACACTTAATCATGAAAACATAACCCTTAAAAATCTTATTTTTATCTAGTCTTAAGAAAATAGTGTAAGTATTTATTTATCAACATAATTACGTTGAATTCGCTGAGAACTCTGGCGTAGTTGAAAGAAAAAAAATACACAAAAAAAACCCTCGTAAAATTCAAAATTGAAATCGCTGAATACTAACAAAACTACGTCTCCATGGATTGGAAATAATGAAAAACATCCCATTGTTTTAGAAGTTTAAAACATAAAACTATTCATGAAGGCCTGGCTAGTGCTACCATTAAAAAAGGAAGCTGTTATAAACTTAATCTAACTTTTGGAGTAGTACTATTTTTACAACACCCTAATTAAAAATTGCCATAAATAGTAAATTGTCAATTAATTCGTGTTTTAGGGCCATTTTTTTTTATCTCTGATTGTGCAAAAAAAAATTCATGTACACTTTCCTGACATTGAGTATTAATTTCCTTTAAATTCTTAACAGTTATTAACACGTTATTTAACATCGAATAAATTTCCATAAATGTTTTAATTAAATTATTTTTGAAAATATAAACTAGGATTCTTTTTTTTTTTTTTTTTCATTGATTATGTCTATATTGTCCTTCAAAAAAAAAAAAAAAGATAAAAAGAAATATTTGATGTTAAAACTGGGAAAAAATATTGATTTTCATTTTTCAGTCTCTATACACACTCTTTTTCAGTAAATATTTGACTTTTCTTAACCATCAAGCATTCAAACATGCTCCATGACTTTTTTTACTATAATTTCCTCGAGTTCAAGATTTACAATCAGTTCCAATGTAGTTCATGTCTATCATATTGTACGTAAAATGTAAATAAAAATATTTTGTGAAACGATCAATACCTTTCTCTCAACCATAACAGAAGCGAGTCTTCAAAAAAAAAAAAAAAAAAAAATCAGCATTCTGTTCAAATATGAACTAATCAATATTGAATTAATTTTCATTGAACTTCGTAATCTAGTTAAAAAAAATTTTTTTTTAAACTTCATCAGGATAAAACCTAGTTTTGTCTGGCACATGGCAACAAACTGTGGAGTGAGAACACTCACTGAGAATTGAATTCCCAGCATTTACATAAATAAATAGACTGGAGGATCAAATAATTTCCCAATCTTCCAAATATCATTATGGTTCGTTAGGTGTTAATGAAGTTTCTGGAACATAAAAGCAATATTTGTTAAAAATATCTGGTTTTAATATCAAAAGGCAAGCAAGCATTACATGTCACAGAAAGAATAGGAACTTGTCCAAACTAAGCAACAAAAGTTAAGTTAATTAGACATGATGCACAAATATCTTACTTTGGTTTTACTATTAAATTAGGTTGAGTGAAAGAGTAAGTGTTTGTCTTTGGAAATTTCCACAGTATGTCTTTCTGTTCAGATCAGCAAGCATGCTCATCTTTTTATAGTCATGACATTTTGCCTGTTGTACTCTTCAGTCTTCTTCAAGTGTAACTTCTCAGAATCTTGAACCAAACTTTTATTTAATATACAGAAATAGATTGTTCTCATTTTGCATTCCATGCTTAGGGAAGATAACCCATATCAGTTCATTCTCTCTAGTCTATTTGCCTTTGTTTTGGTTGTCTGTTTCATACACTGAACCAGAATATATGACTTTTCTGCATTACCTAGGATTGCACACAAACTACCAAAAAACCATACGTTTTAACAAATGCTTTAATCCATTAGGCCATGTCTCTTGGATAATCCAGTGATCTAATTTTGGAACCTTAGACCTAAGGTAACAACTATCAAGTAAGCATAACATTAACTTTCATGAGCAAAAATAGAAGGACCAAAGACAACAACAATGTCATAATGGCACTCAAAAGCAATTCAACTTTTGTGTATTCCGTCTCATCCAGTTTTAGGCAAGGAATACAAGGACAAGACTAGCTGCTAAAGGTAAGGTTGAAAGGCTGCAACCCCCCCCCCCCCCAGGAAAGCAGAATAAGAACAATCTGGACCTGTACAGTAAATAAGTTTTGTTCAAAATTCTGAAAAGGTTACTGAGTACAACTGATACCTGAAGAAGGAAAAAATTGTGAGAATAACAATGAAGATGAGCATTCTGGTCCAAATAGAAAGAATTAATCTTTTAAAACCTCTGACATAAAATATCTACTGATAATTCATTTTTAATGTTGAACAGATACAAGAAAAAAAAGGAGTTGATGAAAGTTCTTGGAGATAAGCAATATTAGACAGTTAATTTCTGCCAATAGATGAGTAAAAAATGTTCTTGCTTTGGAAGGACAAAAACTGAGTGAAGAATTTACATAGAAATTCACCAAAGGATTATTTTACAAAATTCCTTTTTATTTATTTTTTTTAAATTGTAAAAAAGAATTTGGCCTTATCTTGAAAGGTGTTAGTGAGACAAATCATGTTGGTGCAAAAGCATGCATTCATAGATTGGTTTCTTGGAATTGCTTCCATAGATAGACCATTGCTAAACTTTTTTAGTTGTTTTAGTAATAGAGAATTTTGGCCAAAGATAGGAAGCTAACTAGACGGATCTTGACTATTGGACATAACAACTGGTAAGATGTCTATCATTAGATTTGTACCAAAGTTGGCTGTCTGCATGCTTATTCAGAATTCTTCTTGTACTCTCCTTTTCAAATATGTGAAGCTAAGAAACAAAAATGTCTCATGATTTCATTGAAGGTCTATAAATTTTTGTTTTTTGGTGTGGTTTTTTTATCTCCATTCACAAGGACAAGGTTGCAAGTTTGCATTTTTATACGTTCATGTTTAGAAATGAATACTTTATACATCCAGTTTGATGTAATCTGATAACAACCAATATTTATCTTTGATAAAGTGCAGCTTGCCGCAGTCAAAAGCAATTATTGATGAGCAGAGAAATTTCTTGGTAAATCAAATCCCAAACAAACATTTTACTTCATCCTAATCACCTATTTGAATCAAACCAATTGAACATTGGTTAAAAGTATTGATTTTTTTTATATCTATACACAGATACTTGAATTAGTCTAATGCTACTGGGTATAATTTTACCCTTTATATTCTAAAAGTTTATGATGCAAGTTTCCTTGGAGCAGAATGTCATGCAAGATATCCATGAATAAATGTTCCCAAGTTTCATTACATTAGGTTTAATGATATAAATAGAAGTAGTTTTGCTTTGTTTTTATCTGTATCTATTCAACAGATTAAATAAATAGAAAAACATCCAAATAATGCTATAAACTGAAATGAATGTAAATTGGTAATATTAAAACCCAAAGATGAAAAGGAAAACAAAATGGTTTCGATTATAAGATGCTTTTCTCTTGTTATTGAAGAATATGCAAGAGAATCTGAATCATTTATAAACCAATAAAGTTTAAGAACATTCCCTGGTCTTTTGAAATATCTTTAATAAAAGATTTGTTATTGATATAGCTTTGTCTATTATGAGCAACTCTTGTCATTAAAATATATATGTATTGAACATCAAATGGTATTTCAGAATTACAAGGGAACTAGTTTATCTATATGTACAAAAATAATGACCAAATTAATTTTTCAGTCACATTGGTTATATCTTAAATGGATTTAATATAGGGTTTTAATATATACAATTAACTTTATCCACATTTGCAACCTGTTCTTGGTACTTGTTAAGGATATATTTGGTTTTTATAGTAATGGGAAGCAAGTTCATTTACTGGCATCAAGTAATATCTATTTACTGTAACAATGGAATATTTCATTAAATATGGAAGATGGTGTGACTGATAAATATATAGTCACATTGTGTTTTATTTTTACTGTTTTATTTTTTGTAAGTCTACCAGCATTAATTTATTATGTATAGCTTTTAAAATCTTTCTTTCTCATATTATAATAATATTTGGGGATTGAAATAATAAGTCTTTAAAAATTGTTATTATTTTATGCAATGAATTATTAATTTCATTTTATTTTGCTTATTTTTTTTAGCTATTGGAAGATTATGTGAAAAATGTAAGTATCTTCAGTTACATTATTTGATATCAAGATTAATTTTAAATAATTCTTCAAATAAATAATTTAGTAAAATAGATAAAAATATAATTGCATAAAAATATATCTGTTCTTAATTGTTCCTGTGTTGTATTGTTAGGTTGGTACGAAAGTTACTGAAATTTTTGTTAATATTTCCCATATTAGAAACATTGGACAATTAAATGAAACAGTTTAATGAAGTTTAAACTGCTGTATGAAACTAAAAGTAGATATCTAAAATTTGAGAGATTGACAAAACATGCAAAAAGGTGCAA